CGCAAATTTCATGGATGCCTGCATGCAGGCCATGGCCCTCCGGCAGGCTCGCCAAGACACCCTTCATCAGCGAGCCCGTTTTCCGGTGGATCTGCTGTTGCCGCTTGCGGTGACTGATGCCAGTCGCAAATCGTTTGCCAGCACTCTGGATGCCCCTGGATCGGATGCTGCGCGTGCGCAACGATCCCCACTGCCCCTGCGGCTGCTGGTGATGGCCCCGGATGAGCTTGAGGACCTGGGTCTCGGTGATCAAAGCGTGCCAAGTGCTAGTGCTGGGGAGCCCACCGTATTGGCCCCGCCCAGTCCGTCGGCTCCCCAGCCTCTCACTGTGCAGGCTGGGAGTGTGAAGTTGACTTCTGCGTCACAGCTGCAGCAGCTCCGACCCCCTGCACCACCCGTGCCCGTCACCCCTGCGCCCCCTGCCGCTGCTTCGGGTACCCTGCGTGGCGTTGACATTGAAGTAGCTAGTCTTACGTTGTACGACAATGCTTATGTCCCCACGCCTGCGGCCTCCGCGTCCTTTGATCGTGCCTTGCAGCAGGCCCAGTCGCATGTGCCTTGTGGAGTGTGGCCAAGCCAGGAGCTCTTTCAATTTCTGCACTCTGTGCTTCCGGCCCAAATCGCACCCGGGACTGAGGTTGTACTGGTTGTTGGACATGCCTTTGACCATCTGGTGGCTCACCTCCACCACTGGTGCTCTTTGTGCCCATTTGTGCTGGTCGCACCCGCCTTGGAGCAGGCCCTGCCGACTGTGTTAGAGTGTAGGTGCTTTCTGCCCCCACCTTCTGGCAGTCACTGAGCATGTCATGCCTGGCTTGTTTCCCAGCCTTGCCGACCTGTGGCACGTGGTGTGCGCATCGCAATCCCTTGGCTCACCTGTGGCATTGGAGACACTTCCTGGCTTTGCTCTTGTTCACTGGGGATTCGCCAACCGTTCTGGCCCGCTGCTGCAGTTAGTGTTGGGGACCCTGAGGCTGCTGAAGGCTGGAGGGTCACACTCCCCTTGGCACCGCGCTGTGGAGGGCTTCATCATGCTTCGCGATGTCTGCCGGAGCTTATCAGAGCACTCCGCGATTTCGAGCAAAGTGGCATGCCTGCACTGTTGCGTCCATCGCCCTGCGCCTCAGTGAGACTAGCAGGATGCGGTTTGAAATTAAGTTCCCCGACCCGGGGATTGTGTCTCCGGCATGGTGGGGGGGGGTGCGCGCACACATTCATCTGACTACAGCGGGAGGCGCGTGGCAAGCGCTCTGTGGCTGTTGCAATCGACCTTGTCAAGTGTCTCCATCCAGCGAGGTATCCACCTGTATGTTGCTGGCGGGGAGACTCTTCTCACTAGTGGCGCTCCCTATGCTAGCCAGGGGGGCCTGAAGTTTGAAGGCATTCACCCTGCTTGCATTTCCGCTACGCATTCTCCGCCAAGGATGTCACGGATACGGTCACGCGGGGGGAAACCCCTGTGGAGCAGCACTCCTGTAGACGTGTCTGCTTCGGACACAGAGCAGGCTGCGGCCACCCGGCCGGCCCGAGTTGCAGGAGGTCCTGGTATTCCTGACCAATCAGGCAAGGGCAGTGTTGCCTTCTCTACGGCTGAGTCCCGTCCCGAGCAGCTCGCTGGAGATCAGGCCGCACGCGCTCCTTGCTTTGGTGGTACCGCCCGGGAACCCCAGGGTGAGGAGCCGCCTAGTGTGGCAATGGAAGTGGATCAGAGCAGACGTGCGTCCCCTTGTATTGCTCCGGATGAGGTTGCGGGCTTTGACGGATGCGAGTGGCGCAGCAGGGTAAGGTTGAATCTGCCTCTGACACGGAGGCCTCTGACACTGAGGTTGCGCCGCACCTTGCTGCGGTTGACAAGGTCAGCGTGGCCAGCTCTGAGTATCATGATTGCTTGCCTGCTGCCGCTGAGGAGGCCTTCCGACAGGGCTATGCCGCTGCGTTCTGCCCTGGGCCTGGCGACTGCCCGGTGGGCCGTGGTCATCAGGACGACGCGGAGGTTGAGGATGAGACGGACCCTGCAACCCTTGAGGCCTTGGATGTTCGCTACGGGCCTGGCCAGAGAGGTGCTCACCTTGGCTCACCTTTTTGCCAAACTCCCCACCAGTTACCCGTGGGGGGATGTCGTGTTCAACACACAGCCGGTCACTGAAGCTGGCCTGCGTGCAGTGCGGAACACTCTCGCTCTTCGGCGTATGCTGGCCACTGCTCCCCCACTTGAGGCTGATGAAAAGCTGCGGTTTCTCCGTTCTTGGCTCACAAGCCTGGCAACGTCCTTGGCCAGAATCTTTGCGCCCTTGGCCAGCATGGATGCTCCACCTCGACTGCAGCAGTTGATGCTTGATCGCTTGGCGCAGCTACAGTTCTAAGTTGCACCGCTCACCATTGCCACCCGGCAACACGCTCAGCTTCTCCAAATGCCAACTACCGTTGAGGAGTTAGAGGCAGGCGCCGGGCAGTGGTATGGCAGAGCTGGCCCAGGTGACTGGCCCCTACACCGTCTCAAGGTGCATATCCCGGTGGCGGCCATGGCCTACCTTTATGCCCATGCGGCGGGGAGGTCTCGCTCAAAGGCACTGTGCTGTGCGCGGCATGCGTTTCGTCAACGCTGGCGGCCTGCGGTTTTTGTATGAGCCTCCGTGTTTTGCTGAAGTTGAGCCTTACCGTCTCCAGCTCCTTCAGCAGCTGCAAAATCAGCAAGGTTTCATGTGTGATACCCAGAACTATTGTGGTCTTGTGGGACCGATGACAGCTGGTTCCATTCGCACTGATCTGTGCCTTCCGCTCAGGCTTTCGCTGACTTTGCCCGCAATTCCCGTGTGTCTTTGCCGCAGTGCTTGCCACGCCTCCGGTGCTAGATCGGGCAGCTGCAGATGTTATTCTGCCTTCCGTGGATAGCTTCCATGTTGCGCCATCGGGCATCACCTTGCAGGAGCTTATCGATCGCAACCGCAGCGGCCGCATCGCAGTTGCTGCCTTTCTACTCTCGCTGCATTCAATGCTGTCACGAACATTGTGCGCAGCCTACAGGCGCCGCCTCATGGCCAGATTGTTGGGGGCGGTCGTAGGCGACGTTGAGTGGTTGAGCAAGTCGGCCTCACTGGTCTCTGGACCCTGCCTCTCGTGTCCGCTGCATTTGATGATTTGGTCGTGCTTTGCGCTACTCGCCACGCGCTTGGAGGTCTGCGGGCCATGCACTATCAGGCCCCGCCTGGTCTCATGGTCCGCTGTGCCTACCATTGCGCATGCAGGTACGCTTTGATTTGGCCTTGCACGCTTGCTTGATTACTTCCTGAATGGTCCGCGCCGGACTTTGTTGATTAACCCACCCTGCTCTAAATTTGCGTTGATTTGGTGGGTGCATTTGGGCTCACTGTTGCATAAGCATTCCCTGTAGTACCGAGCCCTGCTTGGTCTCTTGGCATCTCACCACTTGCTTTAGCCTGCAGGGATTTCGCTCTCCCAACTGTGCCTTTGAATGCCTTGCCCTAGGCAACGAGTGCAATAGCTTCTGTGTGCAGTGCGGTTTTGCTCCACCTTTGACACTGATTACATTCCAGTCGTGCTTCCACGTGTGTGCAATTGGCCTGATGGCCGCGGGGGCCGTGCCATGCCTGCCCCCTTGGCGTTCTCTCTGTCACTCTTTGACATCTGGCCTTGTCGGCCATCATGATTGACAGTTCTCTGGCCTGCCTTGTCGCTTTGTGAGCACTATCCATACAGTGCAGTTATGCGCCAATGTGACGGTGTATATGTGTGTGAACTGCGCAGCGCCGCCCTCGGCGATACCAGGTGATGCCTGTGCGCTGCAATAATTCGTGCATGTTTCATTTTGCTTGGCCACTGCCAGTGGTCCCTTTTGCCCGTGAGAGACTTTTAATTTCTTTCTCTGTTCTGCATGGCGACCTTTCTTGCGCTCTACTTGCGCATGTTGCTTATCCGCATGGCCATTCATGGGGGTTAACGATGCGCAAATGTGCCCCCGGCGGATTTTAGCGCGCATTTCTGAGCCACTTGCTCGCCTTTTTCATTCCCTTTGGGCTCAATGTAGTCCAATTCTCGAACTTTTTTTGATTGAGCTGCGGATTTTTGTTCTCCATCATCTTCGGGGCTAGGCTCTTCGTTGTCGTTTGTGTTCTGCGTGTTTGGTTCCTGTTGGTTCGGTTCGTTGCTTCGCGGTCTCTTTGTTTGGTTTCGGCCGTTACAGTTTGACCCGGATGATGATTCTGTGTCTCACTTGTTTCACCTCTTTCTGTATGATTGACGTCATGTTTTGGATTTGTTTCAATTTTCGCGGTTTCACCCCGGGACAGTGTTCATGTATTTTTGTGCAGCCTTCTCTGTGTGGGCCGAAACCCCTTCCCAGCCCGCACGCCAGCAGCACAGGCGCGGTGCGAGACGTCGGGATTGATGCATCCGCTCATCAATCCCGCAAAAAGGGGACGCCCCCAATCAAAATCCCAATCTTGGGTTCCCATGCAATTGAACACATCATGCAACTGTCATCCAGACCTTGCTTTGGACCGGTTATCAGTTTTTACAAACGGTGGCCCAAAACATCCCCAACGAAAACTATCAGCTTCTTGGTAAGTTGTTTGTAGCCTTTCGCACTTAGAGACTTGCGACAGGGGCAAATGGGTTAGTTTGGGAAAATCAGCGGGCAGGGGGGTTGGACAAATAGTTTTCTGCTTAGAATTCCCGTCCAAAGAAGGCGGAAATCAATCAACAAACAGGTTCCCCTTTGAATTTATGACTTAATGTTTAGAGGGTTTTTGTTCATCGATGCCAAGAGATTGGTGAAGATGCGGCCTTTGGAGGCGCAATTATTCTTGGGCGTGTTTCTCCAAAACTGGTACTTTTGGCGGTTGTGTAAAGGAAACAAAAAGGTCAACGACCCATTCTGGGAGTTCCATATCTTTGAAACAGATGCTTTGGTTCCTCTTTAAAAGGGGTCAGGATCAGGATGTCCAAAGTGCCAGGTGCTGCTGCAGATATTGGTAGTTTCCATGGCGAAATGGAGCGGCTCGGCCGTTGGGGCTCGGCCGCTTGCGACAACACCCATGTGGGCAGAAAAACACAGCATGTAGTTAACCCCCACAATACGCCCAACAATTCGAAGTTTCGAGGTGACATTCCCAAAGTGACACGACAACCATGGTTAACCTCTCAACGTTATCACAGACAGGGTGGCGCATATCCTTTTCTTTAAAGCCAATGACAAAGAAACGGAACCTCGAAATGGATGGTTTCCGGTTTCTCATTGCAGCCCAAAAAGGGCTTGTTTTTTTGGGTTCCCTTTAAATCACCCAACAAAATTCTCTTTTGCGTTTCCTTTCAAAACAGCGCGACTTGGTTGGCATTTCTTTGCGTTGGTTTCCTTTCCCAAGCCCCGAAACGGGCGAGTTGGCTTTGGCTGGGAGCCCCAAGCTGGGGTTTGTAGGCCCTCCTTTTTCAGTATATCCATTCGTCAACAATTCGAAGCTGGTACGTGCACCCCCGTTGAAATGGAGTAACTGGCTAAGCTCTGCGAAAATGCTGCTGGCCTTTAGCAGATCTAACAGTCCCAGAAGGTCTCTGCTTCAAGCAACCGGCAGTGCTGCGTTTCCTTGCAACTTAACTTGGGAGCCATAGAGACCCTGCGCATTCATCCAGCACCCAAGAGTGTGCGTCTTAAAATGGGCTCCGTATGGAGAAAGTCGCAGAAAGACGTCGAAGCCGGAAATGCCTCCACCAGGTTTGCTTCATCTGATTGGTTTCGCAGCGTAATTTGAATACAGCACTCTCCTTGTCCAGCGCAAAGTCATCGCTTTGGGTCAGGATCAGTTTGGCCAAGAAGCAAATGGATGGGAAGCGGATGGGAGCAAGCAATCTGAGGCATTCTGCTCTTGGTTGGGTATGCGCTGGCAGCCTGCTCGGACGCCGCTCGGATGGATTTTTTCCGGGTTTGTCTTGGTGGTGGAACGGATTTTTCCGGTCGTCACCTGTCCTCTCCATTTCCCCTCCGGTCCTCTCTGTCTGGCCAACACGACAGCAACACGAAAGCAAAAGGAAACTCTGTCTTTTTGCCAGGGCTGGAGAGTTCCAAGATCAATCGGGCTGTATTCTTAGGGTGGGACTTGCCTTGAGGGGTAACTGTCATGTCTCAACCTGTTTCAAAGCAACCGCCTCGTTGCCGGCCAGCGGTTTGTGTGGGTTTGTGCTGCGGGAAAAGCTGGGCCTTGTCAAGATGGTACGGCATAAGGTCCCTAAGGTCGGTCTCCCTTCGGGTCCCATGGCAACCATCTTTCCGATGCGCTGCTAAAAACCGATTCTGCCTCGACCCAAGCGGGGCTCCCTCTTCCAGAATTGGAGGGGTACCCTCCATTTCCATTCTTTTCAGGGATCCCGTCTTTCTAAAAACCGCAAGAAGCCCAAGGGAAATGGCCGTTTTTGAAAAGAACGATGGTTGGAAAGAATGGAATTGGAATCAAGCCCTAGAATGTCTGGGAGGCAAAGCGCCATGTTGCGATTCGAAAGCGCCATGTTCCGATGTCCCACACCCGCAATCCGGCGACGCGACCTGCGAGGACGATTGCGAGGTGGAGGCTATGGAGGTGACGCTCCTGCAGAGCCCCGGCAGAGTAAGTCAGTTTGGAACTAAAGGCCATGGCCCGGTGCTTGCAGTCACCCACAGAAGGTAGGCATTTTTTTTGTTATCTATAGTGGCCTTGCCTGGAAGCACCGTGCAGAAGGATGTTTGGACAAATGTTGGACTCCAGGATCAAGTGGAAAGTGCACTCTCGCTGTGGGGATTGGTACACTGGGTTTGGGTGGAGCTCTCTGGCTCGGCGCGGTCTTTTGCTATCAACTTTGACTTCTGCTGTTAACATTAAGGAAACACATTGTTGCATTGCTGCCGAGTTCTGAGCACGTTGGTCCCAGCCTGTATCGCGAAAGGTGTGCTTTTGGGAAACCTCGTTTGAGCTGGCAAAGCACACAGGATTTGCTGAGGCTTTGCTGTCGACAGTTTGGGGGGGGGGGGCTTGGCATCTTACGGGAATGGTGAGCTGTTCCCGTCCACGCAACAGTGCAGCCCGTGCTCACCACTTTTGAGATCACAAGTCACGCAGCAATGCGTGACTTCGGGCAAACGAGTTTCGAGCACATGAGAGCGGTCAAGGGAGCCCTGTTAGACATCAGGTCCGTTTGGAGGGTACTTTGGCGCTTTGAGGACCAAGATGGAGCTTTTCGAGACCCCCACTGACGTTCCCCCTGGCACTGCCGCGGTCGCCGCCACGGCGGCGCCCGTCGCGGAGCCCTTGGCGCCCGTGGCCGCGGCGCCCGCCGCGGCGCCCGCGACCGCGGCGCCCGTGGCGAAGAAGTTGGTGCCGGAGGAAAACTGCAAGCCACGAAGTTAAGTCAGAGGGGGAAGCCGATTTGTAGCAAAGAGCACGGCGGCGATGTTTTTAATGGATCACAAAAGCTGGCTGGACGTGAATCCCCGTAATTTGACGTCCACCAACAGGTGTCTCATCAAAGAGTCACGCCCATGTGGCTTAGACAACCGGACCCTGGCCCCCAATAATTGGCTTTCACGGAAACCAAGAGTTGTTGCACCAATTGTTTCAGCGATTCAAAGTTGATCTTTTCGACTTGTGTTCTGGAATCCGAAGTGATCATATTTGAAGAACCCTAGTCATTTGTCGGTTTTGGGTCAGGGTACCCTCCCTCCAACTAACATGGCAACTGCCAGGGGCTTTTTTCAAAAGGATATATGATCTTTTTGCTTCCAGGTACCTCCCCACAGGTGCCATGTGAGTTGGAGGAAGGGTATGGTTCAAATCCCATCGCCACGTTTCAAGCCGCCAGGACGCAGCGGCGGCAGCCTATACCTCGCCCCCGTGCACCGGGGATGGGCGCTTGGACCAGCGTCTCGGCGAGGGCGAGTTGACCGGGGTGCCTGGGCTGGGCACTGGGCGCTGAATTCGGGGGAACTCCACTGCGGCCTTTGGTGCGGCGGAGGGTTGGGCTTTCTGCTGGTTTTTTGGGTGGCGGTTGTTTTCGCTAGAGCTCGGAGGGCCCGACTTATTTGAGGCGAAGTTGGCTTTTTGGCAGGTGGTGCAAGGCTGGGCTGCTGGGTTGATCCAAGGAACGCAGCGTGCAAGTACAACCCGAGCTGGTCCGGCTGCGCCGCTCGCCACGGTTTGGCTAGAGGCAATGGTTCCATGGTGCTCCAATGGCTGTGCTGTTTCATGTGGCTTTGTCTTTTTCTGAGGGTATCAGAGAAGCCCTTCTGAAACATGATTGGTGGGCAAGCAATACGTGTCAATGAAGGAGTTCCCAGGTAGAATTCATACCCCATGGAGGCCTCAGGGTCAAATCTGGGTGACAAGAAGGGGCCAAGGCTTCGAAACATTTGGATGTCCATTTGCAATATGAGGGACACCTGCAAAGCCCTGTGCTTCGCCCCCCCCTCCCTCTCCCGAGACCTTAGCACAGCCTCAAGAATCCTTTCGAAAGAACCGGCACCCAACCAGTCCACCCTGGACTGGAAACGGTCACGTTTTTGTTTCTTTAGCTCCTTCATTCAGGGGTGCTAAGGCACTTCCTCTATTCTCAATCCTATCCTTGGGAACCGAGCGGGATGTAGAAGTGATGGAGTGTGAAAGGAATAGAGAGGTATGTCCCATCTCCTGTCAAGCCTTTCACTCTCTTCTACATCTTCTTTACAGAGATTTATCTTAGGGAATAGACGTGAAAGGAGAAGACAGAGGGTGAACACATGCATTAGATCCCGCCCGTTGGCTGTCTCTTGATTACTCTTCCCTTAGGATCTGAGATTCAATAAGATGTAGATAATGAACGAAGGAAGATATAATCCTAGATCCTAAGGTAAACAGCATATAGTAATACTTGGAAGGAATGGACAAGTTCTTATTGGTGAGGCCTCTTCTCTAGGTTATTCTCGAAGACATTCCATGGTGACCAACCAACATTCCTTAAGCTGAGGCACGACATAAAGATGAATTAGAAATGGAAAGATGTGACCAAAGGGAATCACCAATCATTTCTACCTTCAACCTCAGTCACCAACCTTCGGTCTCTTCTGTAATGACTTTTGGTGAGTCCCTCAACCTCCTTCCCATAGCCTCCCTTCTCTTTCCTCTCTTCTCTTTATGGGGGCCTCCAAATGACTGAAATGTTAGCTCACTTCCTGAGTTCATGAACTTTAAACTTTTTGGGAAGACCATTTTAGCGGTAAATATAAGTTTGAACTTTTTTTGGGCCATCCACTCAGCAAGTGAGTTGGGGAAAGAGCACCATGATCTCTGTTGACATCTTTGGCATGTCCCCGATTGACCTTGTGGCCATTTTTTTTGCTTCAGTTATTTGAGCCATGGTCAAAGTTCACTGTTACCCCTGGACACGGGACATAGGAGAGTCCTCTAGTTTGTGGGACATTTGGCGAGTCCATGTTCCTCAATTCCTCATGGACCACTTCCGAAAATCAATCCCAAGCCCATTGGAGAGGTCCACTCGCCCGGGTGCAACTGGCATGGCCAGAGCTACTTCGGCGGATGGTGCGAAGGCACGAAGTCCCGAAGTCCGAATTCACGGAGCCGCGCGAAGGTCCCGGAGCTCGGGCTGGCTTTTGCCGGAAGAATTTTCCGAAGATCTCCGGTGGCTGTCGGGATACCACTTGACCCAATTTTTGCTTCCAAAAATGAGTTGAAAGCTAACCCGCCTGGGTTGACCCCTCCCGGGTTGCCATTGAGAGATGCGAGCTTTGAAACGCCCAGGGACCTCGCTTTTCTTTTTGGTGGGTTCAAAGGGAAACCATGGAGGTCGTGCTTCTGGTCTAAACATCAGAAGCGTGCACCCAGAAGCACGACTCATAAAGAGGTTGGTCATCATTCACAGGATCTTTTCGGGCGATTTGACATTCCACCCTTCACTTTTGTTTTGAAAGTCTCCGTTTCTCTACTCGGGCCACCACTTTTACTTTCTGCAGGGGGAACGGCCAGAGCCCCGCCGCCGCCATGTTTGTCGGCGCCCGACAGGCGGCCCCACCTGCGTGTATCTGCCCAGCCGGGCCGTGTGCATGGGCATCAGCGCGGGCTGCGCCTGGCAGGAGGCGGGAGGTTGCGGGAGGTCGCGGGAGGTCCCGGGAGGCCCCGGGGCCCTCGAGCGGCTCGGGAGGATCGAATCGGGCGACTCCGGTGGCTTTCTCTTCTTCTTTTCCCCACCTGGAAGAAGGTGGTTTGGTTCATTTGAGGGACTGAGCTTGGAGTGGAAATGGAAGTACCAGGGAAGTGCCAGGGAATGGTTTCCCCTTCCAAGTAGCCCCGAAAGCTTGTGGAAGTCTATGCGAGAGGCCGCAACCCAAATGAAATCGAACTCCGTAGTGCCCCGTGTGTGGGCAGTAGGCAGTCTCAACGCCTCAACCATTTGCATGCACATTCATGTCCGCCACACTTTACTTCGAGGGTGCTCCAAATTTCGAGCTGACAGCTGAAGACAGGATTTTTTAAAGGAAAGTCCAGTCAAGCACTTCGTGGCCTGATCTTCGCATGTTGTCCCACAACCATGAAAAGGCACATCTAAGGGGGTCCCTGAGAAGACCAGAAGATCCTTTCCTTTCTTGTTTGGGGTCCATCCAAGCATTCATCTTTTGGCCGGATGTGTTGTTGTGATGCAAGCTCCCTTGGGGGTGATTCTTTTGGTCAACCCCTGGCTGCCGGCTTTTCTCCGGCGTTTTGCGCCAAACACCCGAGGGTTCCGGAGGGTTCCGGAGGATTCCGCCGAGGATGGGCTTGACCTCGGCCTCAACATATCTTCAATTCGTGTAAAATCATTCCCTATTCCTATTGCATTTCCACAAACGCTATAATCATATTCCAAATCGATTAAATTGCATAAAATCCCATAACTGTCACTTTTACCGTCACTGCTACCATTACTTGGAACTAGTTCGCAAAAAATCTGAAACGCACTCTAAACGCACATAATGGCAAGAAAAGTAAGAAGAAACATCAAGTACGTTCTTTATCACCAGTCGCAACTGTGGATTGCACATATGCACTGTTGTTTGTATTTGCTCCAATTGCAGAGCAAAAACAGGTTTTCTTGTTTATTGAAAGTATGACTTCAAGTTCAAGAAATAACAACACTCAATGACAATGGCAAAGCTCACATCCACAGAAATTAATTGTTATTAAGCAAACCAAAGAAACAGGAAATCGAAAATTGTTCACTTGATTAAGAAGATGTCACTTTTCGAGTGGCTCATGCCAAAGTAGCTTTTGCGAATTGTACTTCCAGATGTAACACAGCAATGAGAATCAGGTCAATGTAGACCGTAGACCCATTCTGGCTCATATTTCGCCGGAGTTTTTGCTTCTTGAGGATGCAAAGGTCGGGACCCTTGAGGATGCAAAGGTCGGGACCCATTGTCAACTTCAGGCAACCAATTTTCGATGGCCTTGAAGTTCTGACATCAGGATTCCTCACCGCACAACCTAAGACATAAGCACAAAAGTTGGCATGACATGTGAAAGTCGCGCCTTGATCCCGTGCCCGCCAGCCCCGTTCTGTGGTTCTCAGCTGCGGTGCGCAGGCCACGGCGCCCTTGAACCTGACGGAGGGGGAGGTAGAGGCGGCCATGGCCTCCCAGGAGCGGGCTTTTTTTTTTTTCGGGGGGGAGAAGTGGGGTCTTTGTTTGGATTCTCAAAAGGTGAAGGAAAGAGTGACAAAGAAACAGGTGTTTGATTTCCTGGTTCCTTTGGTGGCAACGGAAGGTTCTTTGGCTTGAAAAAGAGCAAACACTTTACAAGGTAAATCAGGGAACTAGGTAGGTGGTTTCCTTGGGTTTCCTTTTAACACCAAAAGGGCCCCCCCTCCTGTGTTGAGACACTCACTTGGAGCGTATTTCCCACTGGGGTGGTGGGGATGAAAGTTCACTTTTTGATACTTGGGCAACATCCTTCGTTTGGGTTTAGCGTCCCCTTTACTTACATCTACTAGGCATTGGGAATTGTGCCGTCTACTGTCTCAACCGTTTGGCTACATTGGAGTTGGACCAACCTGAAAAGAAGCTGGTGGACATGAATCTCCCAATGCTGTCCCACCAAAGCGTCCCCAGCCAAAATCAATACCATTCTATGACCAAGGTAGACGGTAGGTGTTGTTGATTTGGAACCCCTGCGTATTTGCGTCTACTTTGGGGGAAATCAGAAGTTGGAAGATTGAGGGTGTTCCAAGGGCAGTAGAAAGGCATTATGTCATTTTTTGTCCGCTGCCATTTTTCTTGCGGGTTCTCAGTGAATCCCCCAGGGAACCAGTTGGATGGGTTGTGCATTCCCCTCAGCTCCCAAGAAGAGCTCCCCGTGGCCACATAGTACAGCTCTCATGACCCTTCCAGTGGGTGGTCTCGGTAGATGTGGATTGGGGTCTTTCTTGTTGTGGTTCGGCTTTCGGCCCAAATCTTCTGGCCGGAGCAACAAAAAAAGGTTGGCCCAGTTACTGGAGGAATTCCTGTAGCTTGTGCGTGTCCTAGATGGTCTCAGAAGGAAGAGTCTCAGAATCTTAGTTCTTGTAGGATTCGGATCGAAGCTTGCGTGTCTGAGAAACCAAGTCTCGGGTTTCAAATCCCAATCCAAGCCACCTGGAACATGCCGACATGGGAATGAGTTTCAATTCGTGACCCTTTGGGCATCAAAATTCGCTGAAGCATGTCCACTCTTGAAGTTCAAAGCCAAAGTTGGGCCCCTGAAGTATTCTTCAACCAAGGCAACGGCGCTGTCAACGACAAACGCTCAACAACCCCCCCCGACAAAAAAAAGCAAGCGCACAACAAGTGTCCCCCCCAACAAAAAACAGCACCCCCTCCCCCCACGAAGTAAAGTCAGTTAATCCAACATCACAACAACAAAAGATCAAAAACAGCAAACCAACATCGCAAAGCAAACCTCCCCCCCAACAAAAAGAAGAGAAAACAAAAGAAGAAACCAAAAGAAGAAAAAGAGAAAAGAAGAAAACACACAGCAGGAAATAACTAAAGCAACTGCAGAACCGCCAAGTGGGGGGTTGCTCGCGCCGGCTAAGCAAACCCCAGGTGGCCGCGGCCGCCTGGAGCGCGGCGGCCTCCGCGGCGCAGGCGGCGCTGGAGCACTCCAACTGCTTCGGCGACGGCGCCTCCGGAGTTTTGTTTATAACAATATATTTTTTGGGAAAGCCGGGGGTTTCTTCTTTTTTTTTGGGGTGGGGTTGGGTGGTTGTTTTCTTTGGGGTTGGGGTTTTTGGGTTGTTGTTTTTTCTCATCTAGGGTTGCGTTTCTAGAGGAACCTCGGGTTTTGGTTTTTGTAGTGGGGTTGGGTGGGTGTTTTCTTTAGGGTTGGGTTTTTGGGGTTGTTTTTTTCTCATTTGGGTTGGGTTTTTTGGGTTGGGTTTTTCGCATTTGGGGTTGGGTTTTTTGGGTTTCTTTACTCATTTGGGGTGGGTTTCAAGAGGAAATCCTCGGGTTTTGGTTTTTGCAATGGGGTTGGGTGGGTGTTTTCTTTGGGGTTGGGGTTTTTGGGTTGCATTTTTTCTCATTTGGGGTTGCGTTTTTAGAGGAAATCTAGGGGTTGATTCCCCATTCTTTTCAACCATCGTTCTTTTCAAAAACCGGCTGTTTCCCCTGGGTTTTTGGATGGTTTCCTGAAAGAAGGATCCCTGCAAAGAATGGGGAAGGTACCCCTAGAGGAAAGCCTCGGGTTTTGGTTTTTGTAAACCATCTGGGGTTGGTTTTTTTCCCGTAAATGCAAGCCTGGAGGCCGGAGTTAGGGCGGTTCGGGTTTCATAAACACCTTTGGCTGGGTTTCAATAAATGCAAGCCATTGGGAAAACCTTAGGATTTCTCATAAGAACCCAATGGTCTTTGTAAACACCCAGTGGTTCTGATGTAAAAGCCATGGGGTTTTTAGATAACAACTCGATGATTGTACAGAGGATGCAATTTCCGAGTTCTAAAATCCCCTGGTTGACAATCCAAACGGGGGTTGGAGGCAAGCTATAGACAAATCGGCTCAAATTCTAACCCCCTTTGCTTTGGGGGGTGCAACCCATTTCGGGGCCAACTTCCCGTCGTTGTCAGCTTAGCATTTTGGGGTTTACAAACCGTGCTCGAAAGCCAGAGAAGCACCAGGAGTTTTCAGATCCGATTGGAGACGACTGGAATTTGCCCTGTTCCCCGATTGAGCCATGCAGCAAATGGCTCATCTTGAATGCTTTGAACACCTATGGTTGCTTATCCCGTAACCTCAAAAGGGGAAGAGTTCTTGGATTAGTCTGACTGGTTGTTCCTAAAAGGGTGGCTTTCCTTTGCATTTTTTTGAATCCAACAAGGACTCAGCGAATAAACAACACAGCGAATAGCCACCCACAACTACGCTCATTGGTCCATCGACGCCTTTCACACCTACCCAGGTGAAACGGGGAGCATAGTGAGGCCCCGTGGAATGGTGACACCCGCGGTGGACATGGCCAACAGGTATCGGATCGCGAGCCCCAGAAAAGACACAAGGAGTCGACATTTCTTTAATATCCCCTAGCCAGTTTAATGGGAAGTGAGGCATCAAGTTGCTTGCTTTTCCAATGGGCTATGATGTTCAATGGAACACCCTCAATGCTTGGTGGACATATTATTTTTTGATGTCCGGTGCAAGCTCCCTAGCTAATCATTCCCATTGGTTTGTGGAGTCGTATTACTCGGCCTTGAAATTTTCCAGTTTTTGGAACACAGCGACTGTCTCCCACCAGGACATCACTTCTTGGCATTTTGACCAACCCGGTCAACTTGGAGGCCCTTCAGGTTGCAAGGACTGTTTTTTGGGTCCCCTATCGCACGGCTTGTGATAGACCTTTCATGATCCGGCTTTCCTTTGAAATGGTTTCGGCAAAAGGGACCAGGGGCAATAGATGTACGTTCTGGTTTGCAAGGAGGGTCCGAACCTAAACCCAAAGGTGGTGGATTTTCCCTAAACAAGAACCTCTTGGGTTTCTGCAAATCGTGGCAATTATTCTCAAACAAGCGGAAGGGCCTATCCTGGTTGCTTCACCTTTCCCTGAAGCCACCACTTGTGGATACTTAACAAATTCTTCTTCCGTCGAACTGGCATTTGAAACGCCCCGTCCACCCCTTCGCGCTTTGAGGTACTCCCGCGCAGAACCAGGCCTGCCGGTACCACGTCTACTGGGGTACCTGCGCCAGAGCCTCAGGGCTTTTGTTCGGGCCGCCTTGGGCTGTTGGTTAGGTTTCATTTAGGGTTGGCTGGTGCTTGTGTGGGAATGCGCGTAGGCTTTGTTTCGGGTTGATCTCAATATGGCCAATGCCGGAGGTCATTCTGGACGCAGATTGGTGGTGGTGGTCGTGCGGGTGGGTATGTTCTCCACCACAACATTCCCCAAAACATCGTGGCGTCCTTTCGGCGTGGTGGAGAAAGAAGAACGGCCAAATGGCTCATCTTTTCAGCGAGCCCCGTGTACTCACAGCGCACCCCGCCCCGCCCCGCCCCGCCCCGCCCCGCCCCGCCCCGCCCCGCCCCGCCCCGCCCCGCCCCGCCCCCGCCCCCCCCCCCGCCCCCACCCCAACCCCACCCCAACCCCCCACCCCCCCAACCCCCAACCCCCACCCCCACCCCCACCCCCACCTCCACCCCCACCCCTCTCCACCCACCCACCCACTTACCCACCCCACCCCACCCCACCCAACCCAACCCAACCCAACCCAACCCAACCCAACCCAACCCAACCCAACCCAACCCAACCCAACCCAACCCAACCCAACCCAATCCAATCCAACCCAATCCAACCCACCCACCCACCCACCCACCCACCCACCCACCCATCTGTTTAGATGCCCGAGCCATGAACCGTCTCTTCCCAGTGGCCCCCTCCGATCGATGGCAGGTGCTCACCGCCGGGTGCAACTGGCACGGGGAGTCGGCGCTGGGCGGGTGGTGCACCGGCGGGGTGCAGTGCACCTACCAGCCTTTGGCCGCCACCTGCGTGGCGCGGGCTCCCGGCACTGGGGGGGTTGTGGAGAGCTGGGGGGCGTTGTTAGTTTTTTTTTTGGGGGGGAAGAAACAATTGGAAGGAGAGTTGAAGCCTCACTCCCGGCAATTACCACTTTTTTGGTTGGTTTTACTCAAACCAAAAGGAAAACCAAAGTCAATTTGGGGGTCCGAATCGCAAAAGACACACCCTTCTGGACTTGGTACTTGGGAAGAGAAATTTCATTCCAGTTTCTGGACGTTCTTTCTAGTGGCCAAGCCAGTCACGTGAGTTATAAATAATTTTGTTCTGAGCCCTTCGCAATGAGATGAACCTGCAAGGGCACGTTGGTTTCCTTGGCTTGCTTTCGTCAGGAGCTAGTGTTTCCCACTTGTTCCAGGATCTTAGGAGCAACCCATCATTTACAGTGGGTTCCCATCATACAGCAGTGAAAAGGGGGGGGGGTTGTACAGCTTGCCATGGTTTGGTAGATTCCGTCCCCAAAGTAAACCCAGACCTTCTCTTTTGCTTCCAGGGCTGGGCGAAGCGGATTTATGTTAAAGCACCTTTTGGGTTCCACAGGCCAGGGGTTACCCCATCTTTTGGGATCCCATCCTTTGATTTGCCGAACACGTACAGCGCGATCACAAGCCCGTCATGAAGGCCAGCTGGCTGGCTCTTGGTCGGATGGCCCAACTCAACGGAGCTCTCCTGGCGTTCATGGGCTCTGGTCAACGTGTCCAGCTCGGGTCCCGTGAGAAATGGACCTGGGCCAGTTCAAGCAGTAAAAAGCAACAGCCACGACCAAACAACAAGCCGCAAGTCAACATTCTTATTCTGATTCTTTTAAGAAAAGAAGCGAACAACAAACAAACGCCCAAGTCAACACATGTTTTTTCTTTTTCTTTTTTTCTTCTTCTTTTTTAAAGAAAAGAGACAAGTTAAACAAACAAAGCAACAACGACCAAACGCAACCAGGGGACGAGTATAAGAAATTCCCCGCCCTCCCAGGCCACCCCGGGCTGCTTCTGGGCCACCGCCACGGCCCCGCTGATGATCCCCATGTGAACGGTCGCTTTCGGGTGTTCTTTTGAGGCTGCCCTGTTTTGGGTGTCGGTTTAAAAGGTGAATCCAAGGCTTTTTTGATTGTTTGTTGTCATATATATATATATAAAGCTATGTATATATATATATGTATATATATATACTGTTACTTTTTTTGGGGGGTGGTCCCTCCAAACAAACAACTCTTGCCCGCGCACGTCTTCGTTTCAAGCTCGGATCTGTGCGACGCGGTTTGAAAACGGAAAGCGGCGTGCGGAGAGCATGGGTGAGGAGCGGCAACGCTTTTTACGTGAAAGTTATACCATTTGAAGACTCAGAAAACCCGCCCCATACTTCGGCTGTGAGAAAGGCATTAGAGCCCCAAAGGTTCTAGGGGGAGGTTGGGAGCTTTGGCTACGGTTTTGCCATCTGCACTAGCGAGTCTTGCCGAGATCGGGAACGGAGGGGGAGAGGGGGGAAAACGAGCGATTCTGCTGAGGAAGGTGCCTGCAAAATACCATCATTTCCGGGGAGAGTTGAAGTGCCGCAACGTTTGCGGAAGACGGTTTTCCTCGAAATTCAGGGGCGCTGGTGGATCGCACGCGGATCAAAGCAACATAGCCTGGCGCAGTGACGACAAGAACTGTGATGGCGTAACTGCAAAGTCGAAGGCATGTGCCCGAAGAGAGCTCTGGGCCACATCGGTTTGCCAATTCTACGCGACAAGTTAACAACTTGTCTGAAGTTCCCGGATGGTTCCAAGAAACCAAGAAGACACATACTACCAGCAGGGGTGCCTTCAGACCCACCACCCACCACCTTTTCCGGGCCTCCATCTCACCATTGGGGGGGGGCGGGGGGTTCCAGCTCATTTTCGGAGCATTGGGATGTGTGTGTTTTTTGGGATTCCCTTGGGGTTGGTCGCTTTCAGGAGGCCAAAATAACAAGCCAGAAGCCCATGCTGATTCCATACCCTTTGACATAGTTTTGACATGAGCCCCCAGATTCTTTTGCTGTTTGTACGGGTTCGTACGCGTTTTTAAAAAAAAAACAGATTCCCCGATTTTGTCGCTTCACGGGTTCCGAATCCCAGCGAACACAGGGAAGCACGGGGAACGACGCTCGCGCGTCCGATGCGCCATGGTGGGGCGCTTCGAGAGCGCCGAGCTGAAGCGGGACGCGCTGGCTCATGAGGAGCTGAGCTTTTTTTCTCCTTTTTCGGCGGGAGAGCAGCTTATGTCAGGGAGCCCTCAATGTTGACCCAGGATGAATATACCCGTCCAATGATCAGAGTGTTCCCTCCAAAAGTGCCCCACAGAAAGGGGCCACCCCATCAACCAGTTTATCAATCTGGGGTTGGTTCCTGGCGCTGAGGGTTCATATTTTTTTCCAAAGGGTGCAACACTCGCCCCTTTTTTGCCAGGTTTTGAGTGTCACACTGAACGCTTCCATGATCAGCTCTTGGTCGGAAATCCAGGCTCGAGCCCTCCCAGTTGACTTGCCCTCGAACCAGAAACATCACGTTTGGCAGATTTCCCAACGGCACCCGGGCACCCAAGTTTTAACCCTTTAAAAGTTGACTTACATGGAGGTTTCTTTGTCTCCCCCAACCGTGGCTTTCTGGGCCAGTTTGAGCGGGAGAACTTGCCAAAACCAAACTCGCTCGCTCGCGCTTGCCAGATCGCTCTCGCTCGAATGACTGCTTGCGCACCAGTCAAGCTAAAACCATAGCCTCAACAAAAGGACCACACACATCCCTCACAAGAAGAGCAGACCCCAAGCCTGATTCTTGGTGTGAAGCACCTGCCAACCAATCCCGACCTGCACCAAAAGAAGAAAAACAAAACCTGCAAGTTTGAAGCCCAAGCTGCAAACCAATCCTCACCTGCACCAAGACTCTGTGAGGTCTGCAGATTTCCCCCGCCTTGGCTTCAATCCGCGGGCCCGCCGCGCCTCGTGTCGCGCGCCTGTCGCTTCCCATGGCCGCGGAGCAGCGGCGGCTCCTGGCCGCCGGCGCCTTCGCCGCGGCGGCGGAGGCGGCGCCAAAGCTGGCGGCGGTGGAGAGGGCGGCGCTGCTGGCGGAGCTGTGGCCGAAGGTGCAGGCAGGAGATGGAGGAGTTTTTGGTGAAAGAGTGGGGCGCCCTCTTTGCTTTTTGTGTGTTTTTTGGCAGTTTTGTTTTTGCAGTTGGGGGGGGAGGTGTGGCGCCCATTTTTATTTTTATTTTTGCAGCAGGTGAGGGGGGAGGGGAGGGGGGGGGTTTGCCCTGAATGGAGGGAGAATGGGTGCGCTTGGTTCTGAGAGAGGTTTCTATCCTTGGTTCCCCTAGAAATCCCACATGTCTGGGAGTAATGATCACCACTGATCACCATCCAGGGGCTCCCTAATATAGATCCACAGAGCTTCTATTTACTAGCTTTACCTACGGATTTCGGGGTGACTTTCAGGGGATGGGTTGTTTGCAACCAGGGTTCTAATCACATAAAACGGATCGCTTTATATCATGTCCCAACTTCCTGGGGCCCCGTAATTGCTCTCAGACATGCAGAGGCGCCCAAGAAGGCGGTTCCCCAAAAGGAGACTCCTCCGAACATGCGAGCTTGCTGAATTCCATGCTCTGAGCACTCGAGTAGATGGACACATATTCATGATCCAAGGTATCTTTGTAACCACCCCGCACCCCAGATCTCAATGTTGAAACGTCGGCTCTGAGACTATATTAGTGGGTTTCACTGGGTCCTTGTTCCTGCACCGGGCAAAGATACCATAGAAAGAGACGGGAGATGAATCCCACCCTTCACGCCCTTGACAGGTAAAGAGAAGCGAGAGAAGGGATGATGGCTCTCTCTCACCCACCAGTCCATCGAGATTTGGGGCATGGGGTAGATTCATGGAGAGCTTCTCACTTCCTGAGTTCCTGGACTTTAAGCTTTCTGGGAAGACCATTTCAGTGGCGAGCAACAGGCTTGGTTCCCATTTCTTTTGGGCCAATCCGCTCAAGTGAGATTTTGTCCATCCGCCCCTAGTTCTTTTGGGATCCATTGTCCTAATCCGCAATCCGTAGTGGGACACGGAATCCCGGAAGCGGATGGTTGGCTGTGAAACCTTGGTGGAGTGAAGGTCGACTCGCTTCGTTCCAACGAGGTGGCCCTCCGCGCGGACGCGTCCGCGTCCGCGCCAAACGGCGCGGCGCTAGCGTGGCTGGCGGCGGCCGCGGACCTGCGGCCGCAGGAGCTGGAGGCCAATGCGTGCAATGCGCAGGGGGGAGAGAAAAAGGGTTTTGTGAGGGTTGGTTTTTCATGGGGGATTTCTGGAACTGGATTTTGATGGGGATTTCTGGAGCTGGATTTTTGATGGGTTGGGATTTCTGGAACTGGATTTTTGATGGGTTGGGAGTTCTGTTCCAGGGATTTTCTTGAGCTGGGTTGCCATTGGTGTGTTGAAATTGTCTGGGCTTGCACCGCAACTTGCTGGGTAAGGTGCTGAAATGTCTGGACCAGAATCTAGCCTGTCTTACATCATTCTTGGTTGGTTGGCATAGTGGGGGTGGGGTGTGGGGTTGGGGGAGGGGGGGGGGGTACGAGGCAGGGTTGGACGAACCGCCTGTTTCGACATGCTTAATCACTGTTCTTGTCCGAGCAATCTTCTTTTGATGTCCAAATTTGGGTGGGGTTGTCTTCAAAATCTATGAATCAAATAACAAGGGCGTCGGATCTGTCACCGATCCGGCGGTAAACCCATCGTTTCGAATCGGAAGAACCAAGAATCACAAGACTTTAGGAAGCCATGGAACTCACTTGGCGGGGCGGGATGGCGATCATTTCTGTTCATTTGACGAGAGTGATCTATTTGGTTCCCAACTCGAAAACACTTCTTTCCCACTTCCTCTTTGGTGGCTCTTGGATCTGGCAGTTGCGCCTTGGGGACTCTTGCAGATCATGTTTAGTGGGCAGCCACGAGATCCAAAGGACCCCTTTGATTTGAGGAACCCTTGGATTTGAAAGAACAACCACTCAGAATGCAACTCTTGAGTAAGAGCTTATGAAGGGAACCAAATGGAGACCCTGATAAACACAACCGCGCACACAAGGCAGCTGCTTGGGGTGGCCCTGAAAAAGCACATCTGGGGAGCTTGGCTGAGGTCATCTGGTTTCTAGAGAGTTTAGTATTGGCTGTAGAGGGTTTGGTCTTGGTTTAGAATTGGGCAACTTAGAATTTGTATTGGCAACTAATGGGGTCGGCTGGGGTTTTCATTGGGGGTCCATGTATCAACAGGAAGAAGGGATTCCTCGCTCTCGCTCTCGCTCTTTCTCTGTCTCTCTTTCTCGGGCTCTGTCTCATGGAGTTTAATGGGCTGTTGAGATCGGGGGAAAAGCAAGAAGAAGCCTTCCCCTGGTGTCCTTTTACCATAGATGCCTTGATTTGGTGTCAGGCTCCCCTTGAGCTGCACGACGCCTTCTCTTTTTCTTGCTGGTGCTCAGCAGGGAATGATGACCCTTATAAACCATCCAACTGGTTTCCCTTTATTCGGGGACCAAAGCCTGGGTTTATTCAACCACATTCCCTACCGAGCGCACCAGCAAGTTAAGGCCTTCTTTATTGGCTTATTTTGGGCTCCAGGGATAGCCCCCATAGCCCCCAATCCTCGTCACTTGTCACAGAGACAAGAAAAAACCAATTCAAACACACAACTTCTTCCATCAGCTCCTTCTCCCTCGCTCTCTCTCCCAAAACCTCCGTGAAATCCGTCAAATGGCCCCCTTTTCGCCCCTAGCTCCGACTTGAACTCCGGAATTCGGGCGCCTCGCCTTCCATCGCCGCCGTCAGCCTGCGGCGCTGCAGCCTCTGGCCGGGCTCGCCGCCCTGGCCCCCGACTTGGCGCACGCCGCGGAAGCCCCGGGCGCCGGGCCGGGCGCGGCGGAGGCCGGGAGATTCGGTCCGCGTGGGCGGATTGAAGCGGGAGGTGTCGTTTTGTTTTTGGGGAGTTGGTCTCTTTTTGTTTGTGGCTTCAAAGGAAAACAACATTGAAAACCAGAGTTTTATTTTGTGGGGGTCGCCTAGGAAAGGACGCCCAAATCCTGGCTGGTTCTTGAGGCAGGCTGCTTAGGAACTGGTTGGTGGCTGGCATAGGGTGGATTGCCAAAATATGCACGGATGAAGTTTTGTGAATTGAATAAACCACCTACCGGAGTTGTGGCGGCTGAAACCAAATTGCGGGTTTCTCAGAATGGACCCCTGTTTGGATGCTGTTACAGGGTAACCACATGGCAACAAACCATTCCGTACTGTGGATGGACGAAATCCTGCAGCAGCCAAGACACCCTGGAATGAACAACCATGGTTTCCCAGTGGTGCGGTTTATGGATTGTGGCACCATCCACCGTATTTTGAGGCTCAGCCCCTTGGGTCGTGGGTCAAAACCCTTAATCTTACCACCACGCGTCCAATAACGCCCCAGGCCGCCTGCCGCGCGCTGCGGAACTTGGCGCGGCTGCCGCGGCTGCGGCGGCCGCTGGCGGCCGCGGCGGCCGCGGCGGTGGCGAAGCTGGCGGAGGCGAGCCGTGGAGACGCGCCTCTCTAAGCGGATCCTTACTTCTTTGGCGCTTCCCAACCGTCTCCTTGGGTTTTTGGCTTCTTTTGGGGGGTTCCATCCAACTCTTACTTGGGTGTGGCTCAAAATGACACAGCTGGGGTTACGCATGTTTTGGTCTTTGTTTCCATATACCAATTTGGTACACGTTTTTGAGCCGCGGCCATTTGGGTGTGGTTGTCAAAAATAGGGTAACCCCAAAGTGGGTCTTGTATGTGGAAACAAGGGGTTAAACCAGGGGTCCAATTCCTGGTGGTTTAATTTGGCCCATACCCATTTGAATCCCTGTACCCAGCTTATGAATTAGAGGAGGGATGCATTGGGGAAAAAATCGTGCTATTTGGGGTCTATGCTGGTGTATTGGTGGAAGGAGGGTTTAAGTTCCACGTTGATTTGCAAGTGCCCGTTTCAATTCGCATAGGGAGGGCTGCGTCTTGCATAGGGGAACCTCCAGAAACACGCGAAAAAAAGCAACCATCTTGCCATGGAGATCCCCATTAAACAGGGAGCTAAGGCGCCTCAATTGGCCCTAGCATCGCTGTTCAACCCAGTTATTTCATTTCCCTGCATAGGAACCTAAGGAAGGGAACAGAAATCACCAGGTATCCGTAAAAGTCAATAATGCAACAGTTTCTTAAAATACCGGTTTTCATTTGATCAAAAAAAGGCGCAACATTTTAAAGCACTGCTTTCATACCAAATGGGGAAAAGGCGAACTGGTCGCCCCCTGCGGCGTAAAATGCCCCGCCGATGCGCCGCATAGGACGCGGCGCTCTGCGGCTCCGCCGCGGCGGCGCTGTGCAACCTGGGCTGCTGCCCGGAGGCCTCCTCTCTCCGAACCGAACGGGCGTGTCTGGGCGAAGCGCACCAAACGTCCGGCAAGGTGGTGCAGGAGGCCTCCTCGCGCCAAGCCGATGGGGGGTGGCTGGGCGAATCGCACCCAAGGTGTGGCAGGTTCAAAACTCTTTTGTGGAGTGCCTCCAAAATGTGATATTCTTCAAGTAGAAGGGTGAAAGGGCCCACAGGTTTCTAGGAATTCTTTCAAGGGCCCTTTGATTCTTTATTTGAGAGCTGAAATTGTGGACCGTCCTTTTGGGCCAACGGCAAGCCAGTTCATGCCAGGGGCGCCCAGCCACGGTGCGCGCTCTGCCAGCGTTGCTGCGCCACCTGCCGCACCTGCCGCCGGCAGAGGCATGCAATGCTGACATGGGGAGGTGTACTCCCTGTGCGAAGGGCGGCCGGGATTCGGATGTTTTTCGTTTTTTTGGCGTGGGTACCATTTTTGGGGCTGGTTTTCCAGGGAAGGCGAAGGAAAAGCCACCCATGTTTCGGGCCAATCCTTCTTTTGGGGTTTTAAAGCGACACGTAGAAGCAATTTCACGCCTTTGCACCTTGGCTGAAGCACAAACCTGCGTCATCTTAACCATCACCCAGGTTGGAGCTTCCAAGTTCTATGGTTGTCTGGTGGCTAAATGGTGGCTATAGACTTTGCGCTTCCCTTTGTTGTCTTCGCCGCCTTTGTGTTTGGGCTCGAAACGAATCACTAGTATATATATATATATATTCACATATATATATATATACACATACACACATATATATATATATATTTACATATACACACACACACACATTGTTTTTGGTGTCTTGGCAGCTCCCTTGGGTTTTCTCCACGGAAACAAACGCCCCGCATGCCGCCCTCGGTCCGCCGAGCCGCCGAGCCGCAGGCCGACGACGTCGCGGCGTGCGTGGGCGTGGTGATCTCGGGGCCCTTGGAGGCGGTGCCCCTGGAGAGCGTGGCCCGGGACCCAAGGCGAGTCGATCCGCTGGGCGCTGATCCGCTGGATGCCGATGGTTTCTTCTTCTTTTTCTTCTTCTTTTTTGTCTCCCTTTTTATTTGTTTTTCATCATTTTTTTGGTGGAGAGTTGAGAAGCCAACTGGGATGGATGGACGCTGGATGTCGATCTATGTTTTTTTTTTGGGGTGCCTTGGGGTGAACAAACGCCAAAGGCCGAAGAAGGCCTTGCAAAAGGTGAAAAAGGCCAAAGGTCCAACCAGGCCAAGGGAGTTGATACCTGGGATGGATGGCATTTTTCTTCTTCTTCTTTTTTTAGGGAAGCCAACAGGAAGACTTGTTGAAGTGATGGCTAAGTTGGGGGGGGGGGGGAAAAGGAGGACTTCGAGTTGAGGGCTTAGTGAAAGGGAAATCCTGAGGAAAACACCACCGTTGGGGATCGGGTTCCTATTTTGAGAATCCATTCAGGGACCAACAAGTGCCAAGTTTCTCCCTCACAGGAAGCAGCTCTTCGAGTTGCCTCCCCAAAAAATCGACCGCCTTTTTCCCCAATGGTTCCTGCAGATTGTGAAGCGTCATCTGCCACTGTTCTGAACTCCTGCAATTTATGATTTGGTTTGAAAGGGACATTGTTGAATTATGCACATAAAACCTGTTTGGTTTTAGCAGGACATGACCTTGCCTTTGACTGCCGCAGATGTCCGGCGCTTTAGGTCAGCCCTTTGGTGGATGCGCTGGGGCATGAGGACCCAGTGCTCACGGGCACGCTGCTGGAGGCGCTCCGTGGTGAGTTTTCAATGGGGAAGCACCTCAAAAGTGGAGTGCGTGGACATGATTTTCTATGAGGGAATGAATCTAGGGATTCCCTTGAAGGCATGGATGGTTTAAAGGGTCATTCCCTCATTCCCTGCTGATAACCAGCAAGATGAATCTGCAGAATCTCACCTTGATATCCACCAAAGGGTCCGGGACATATTGAAGTTTGTAGGTAATAGAAGGTTACTTTACTTGGGCCAGCTTTTCTTTGGCAAGCCAGAATTTACAAGGACAAAGTCCTGTTCGGGGAACTTTCGCCGGCTGCCCGGCGGGCTTTGGGTTTACACTCATTTTGACCCGAAGTGAAGGTTAATCGGAACCCAGGATTGATCAACCCTGTGATGAATCAGAGGTGCTCCAGTAAGGAGGGGAACCTTCCCCACAACACAACTGCAAAACCATTGTCATTGGAGGAGTTTGTTCCCCCCCCCTTCCCCCCTCCCGGTTTTTGGGCCAAATTGGATGGTAACCCACTCCACCCCCAGTAAAACCCCCTCCCCCCCAACCCCTCCCCCCACTTTTCCGCCCCCCCCCCCCCCCCCGGCCGGTTTTTGGGCCAAATTAAAAACCCCACCCGCACAACAGCGCACAGATCCAAAGCCAAGGTGCTCTGCGATCTGGTGGTTGCCTCAGGCCCCGGGGGCGCCGTGGCACCCATGCTCGCGGCCCAGAAGAGGCGCGCGAGTCAATCGCATGCGCGCGCGCGAATCGCTCGCGCGAGTCGGCGGGTCCATTTGGAGGTCTTTTCGGGTGATTTTGGTTGGAGATGGAGGGGTCTGTCAGTCGAAACTAAACTAATTGGAGATTTGGCACTGAACGGAGCCAAATTTGGTGGCACATGGGTGGTCTACATACAAGAACATCCACAAGACACGCCGCAGAGCCGGCGGGTTTTGGTAGCATACCAAGCTTTGGGAGCAGGGAAGCGGGAAGCTCCTTGAAAGAAATCCAAACAACAATTTGATGCGATACCTTTTGCACCACAGTAGTGGACACCGCCATTGTGGGGGTAATCTTCAGGTGGATATGCAGACTTCCATGCCCTTTACATGTTAATTGAAGAATCCCTGAGCTTTGGTTGGTTGCATCGGGAAGAAGGAAACCACCCTTTTCGCGGTTATCTTCAGGTGAAGAATCTAGAAAACCCCGACAGCCAGGTTGAGTCCTTTTACCCCCGAGTCATTCAAGTTCTCTATTTGGACCTCCAAAAAGGATGTGTTGGCGCCCACCAAGTAAACTGCCACTTTTTTCTGGGGTCTATCTAAGTCAACTTTGTGAATGGGGAGCTACGGTGAACATTTCTTTTTTGCGCCTCGACCCGCGCGCCGAACGGGCCAAACGGTCTGCAGGTTCGCCGCGGGCCTGCCGGCGCAGCTTCGCAGGGCGCCGGCGCTGCGGCTCTGCGTGCTGCTGCAGGCGAGTGAATGGCACGGGCTGGGGTGCGGCGGTGGAACTGGGGAATTCCTCCCCAGAATGACAACTTTTTTTTTTTTACCGTTTTGGGTACCATGTTTTGAGCCACAGCCAAGTAGGTTTCCTTTCGGCCCGTAGACAGGGCTTAGGCAGCTTTTGAACAAAACCAAAAGGAGACCGCCAGTTTGGGGGGGCTATCATTTTAAAGGATGCCATGGACCTATGATCCTAAAGTTTTTGGCTTGCCAGTGCCATGGATTTGCACGTCCCTTGTGACAGGTTGCTCCCCGCCTCTTGCGACTTCAGGGCTTCCATTTTATTGTGGCGTGAATTCATTTGGGTGTGCCTTGGTTTAGGGGGGCCCCCAAAATGTTGGTTTCCCCTTTGGTTTGCGGTACTCGAAAAAGACATACCCATTTGGATTCTCTCTGCGATCCAGAATCAGCTTCCCCTTCGAAAACTGCAGGCTTTGAGCCGAGCCACAGGTTGAAGTTGCTCGTTGAACCGAACATCACCTAGCCTGTTGGACATGACAAAGTGCGAATTGCGCTTGCAGTTCTCAATCTCTTCTTGCGGGTCAGTTTGACCGGGCTCGAGCAATACCATGGGAGAACAAATGAAAGTCAGTTGCAAACGCAGGTTTGCTCCAAGGATCTTTGTTAATTTGGAAGTTGGCTCTATCTGATTCCTTTCTTGGTTTCTGATTTTCAGGTTGGCGAATTCTCGGCTTTTCGCAGATGGATGGCCTCTTCCTTCCAAAGATTCCGGAGTTCCAACAGCGGGGGATGCCCTTCTCCCTAGTTGCCAATTTTCTGTGACACTTTTGGGGGGAACCATAGAATGATGCGGCCAAGTAGCCAGTGTTGGATCGAGCAAACCCTTCCAGGATCCTCCGCCGCGAAGCCATGTCGATAAACCAAACTGTGAGTAGACAAGCCCGCTTGTCCTAAATGATGGGCGGCGCTTTTTTGACCCAATCCTAAATGGGCGCCGCTTTTTTGACCCAATGGTCAAAAGATGAACCAACAAAACACCTCCCCCAAGCCGCCCCCCTCCGAATATCGTCCAACTGGGGCCTTCATGGCCGCCGCCTGGTTTGGGGTTTGGGTCCTGCGGCTTAGGACTTCCCTGGCTTTCGGGACGCCTTCCGGGCGGCTGGGGGCGCCGCGGCGAGCTTGGGGATGGCCTTGGGCAGGTTTGGGGGTACTTTTTTTTTAAAAGCATACCAGAGCTACGTCCCTGCAAAATGAGTCCCTGGGAGTTGTCCCTGGCTTTTTGACAACCAGAGCAACCTGTCCCTGGGTATCCTCATGAAATGGGTCGTGTCTTCTTTGCAGACTCGTTGCAGGTGGCGCTGAGCTTGGATGAAAAAACCTTGGGCTATTCGGGTGCAACTCCCCCCGCACAAATGGGTGAATCCACGAGGAGCTGGGCATTTTGGGAAGACTCGCGGGGGACTCGCGGGCGTGCCTCCTTTTCTTCGGCCTCTGTTTGTCGTGCCAAAAAGGGCCAACCTCCGCTTTGCGGAGGTGGGTTGGCCAACCCCTCGTTGAAACCCTGTATTCGCCCTTGTGAGGTTCGGTCGAGAGTCTGGGGTCATATTGGGAGGGACATGGAGCTCACGTTTTATTTTATTTTTTCACGCAGGCGAGTGGCATCCATTTGGGGAGAAATTCGCTGCACCAAACTTTGTAGATGTCAGGGTTGCTCTCCCAAAGGCTTGTATATAGTGAGGGAGTTCCGCCAACCTGTCTGAGTAAGTTTAGCACATGGCTGATTTTGCGCCTGGCTCTTGCACTTCCTAAGTTTATATTTATGATGGTGAGAAGGTATTATGCAGGAAAGCAAACAACAAGATGTGGTAACCTGCAGGGCTTTGCAGATTGTGCCGCACTTGCTTCAGATTTCGGGAATCAATCTCACCCCACACACACACACACACACACACAAGTTACAAGAGACAGGATTTTGACTGCATGGCTTGCAAGCGAACACACTATCCAGTGGATCAATTGTCATTGCATACCCGCTTCCCTACTGTAAATATTGCTGGGTGGAGCTGCGGCTACCCGCAAACCGCGCGTTCCGCGGACTCTTTGGGGATATCTTGCAGCACCGAATCCCCAAAGCAAATTACCCTCATGGACCCTAAATCGTGGTCCCTGGGATACGTTTGGTAGTTACAAGATCACCTTCGACTGATCCAGTCAGATGGTCACCTTCGGCTGAGGATCCAAATCTTGGCTGCGGATCCAGGAACTTTGTCGTGTGTTTGGCCGGGCTTCAGCTCCAGTCAGTTTCTTCACTAAGCCCGCTCACTAGCTCGAGCTCTTCGCTGAACCTTTGCGTTTTGCGGGACAGGGATGCCCCTACCAGGTCCCGCAATCGATTCGAACGGAGGTCCCTCTGGTTCCTTGCGATCGGAGCGAGAGGGGACCTCTCTAGGTCCCCCAGCAATTGGTGCCCGTCTCTACCGTTTCTTTTCTGGGGGAGGGTTCCTCTACTACAATAGATTACAGAAAAAAGTTGGTACCCTTATTCTAACCTCTCTACTGGAGGACCTAGCCTATATAAAAGAACTTTCTCGAAGCTTCGGCGGTCTCGCTCTCGACTTTGGGGCGCCCCCACACCGAACCCCGAGGCGTCGAGGCGCTGCGGGCCCTGATACCACCTCCTTCGAAGGCGGCCGGGTACAAGGTCCAGTTCTGCCAGCTGAGGCCGGGCCCCGGCCTCAGGATCCGCCTCAATGGGATGGACACGTTGGATCCCATGGTGGATGTCCCGTTGATTTCCTTTCGGATGCACCTGGAAAGAAGGGCGCCCTAAAAAAGGCAGAAGCCAAAGGAAGCCCAAAACGAAGAATTCAGCCCAGGGCCCTTGCGTTTGAGTCATTCTTGGGGTGCTCCCAGATCTTCTCGGCTCCCCACCAAAAACGGGAGTCAACCCCCAAGGAAGGACGTGGCCCAAGATGGCCCATGGGAACGAGCAGTGGATGCAGCCCCTCATTGTTTGGCTGGAAAGCGCACAGATCATTCGAGCGAACAAGCAGTTGCGACGCGCGATGCCACTCATCCCTTTTCTTCGGGAAGCTGGAATGTGCATGTGTTCTGTGAAGGTTCCGGGGCTGGTGCGGAAGATCGTGTGGGCCTATTTTGGGTGGAGGGGCAACATCTGAGGTGGAGTTGGAGTTGAGTTGCAGGCGACTCTCTGGGGGATCAAGCTCCAAATCAAAAGGTGCCCTCTTTTCCCGGCCATTGTTCGGAACCCATCTTTGAATCCGGTTCTCTTGTTCCACAGGTGCGAAGGCCCGGACTGCGCGTGTGATGGTCCGGGTGCCCCGACTGCGCCGCCGAGTCGACAAGCTGCTCGGCGAGAGGGGAGAGGGGAGGCTTTTGGGGCTTGGCGGTTTCGGGGGGTTTGTGGGGGTTTGGGACTTTGGGGCTTCGGGACTTTGGGGCTTCGGGACTTTGGGGCTTGGCGGTTTCGGGGGGTTTGTGGGGGTTTGGGACTTTGGGGCTTCGGGACTTTGGGGCTTGGCGGTTTCGGGGGGTTTGTGGGGGTTTGGGACTTGGGACTTTGGGGCTTGGCGGGGGGTTTGTGGGGGTTTGGGACTTTGGGGCTTCGGGACTTTGGGGCTTGGCGGTTTCGGGGGGTTTGTGGGGGTTTGGGACTTTGGGGCTTCGGGACTTTGGGGCTTGGCGGTTTCGGGGGGTTTGTGGGGGTTTGGGACTTTGGGGCTTCGGGACTTTGGGGCTTGGCGGTTTTGTGGGGGTTTGGGACTTTGGGGCTTCGGGACTTTGGGGCTTGGCGGTTTCGGGGGGTTTGTGGGGGTTTGGGACTTTGGGGCTTCGGGACTTTGGGGCTTGGCGGTTTCGGGGGGTTTGTGGGGGTTTGGGACTTTGGGGCTTCGGGACTTTGGGGCTTGGCGGTTTCGGGGGGTTTGGGGGGGGTTTGGGACTTTGGGGCTTCGGGACTTTGGGGCTTGGCGGTTTCGGGGGGTTTGTGGGGGTTTGGGACTTTGGGGCTTCGGGACTTTGGGGCTTGGCGGTTTCGGGGGTTCAGGGGTTTGGGACTTTGGGGCTTGGGGGGCTTGGCTTTGGGGCTTCGGGACTTTGGGGCTTGGCGGTTTCGGGGGTTTGTGGGGGTTTGGGACTTTGGGGCTTCGGGACTTTGGGGCTTGGCGGTTTCGGGGGGTTTGTGGGGGGTTTGGGACTTTGGGGCTTCGGGACTTGGGGCTTGGCGGTTTCGGGGGTTTGTGGGGTTTGGGACTTTGGGGCTTCGGGACTTTGGGGCTTGGCGGTTTCGGGGGGTTTGTGGGGGTTTGGGACTTTGGGGCTTCGGGACTTTGGGGCTTGGCGGTTTCGGGGGTTTGTGGGGGTTTGGAGACTTTGGGGCTTCGGGACTTTGGGGCTTGGCGGTTTCGGGGGGTTTGTGGGGGTTTGGGACTTTGGGGCTTCGGGACTTTGGGGCTTGGCGGTTTCGGGGGGTTTGTGGGGGGGGTTTGGGACTTTGGGGCTTCGGGACTTTGGGGCTTGGCGGTTTCGGGTGGGGTTTGTGGGGGTTTGGGACTTTGGGGCTTCGGGACTTTGGGGCTTGGCGGTTTTCGGGGGTGTTGTGGGGTTTGTGACTTTGGGGCTCTTCGGGACTTTGGGCTTGGCAGTGTTTCGGGGGTTGTGGGGGGTTTGGGATTTGGGGGCTTCGGGACTTTGGGGTACCTTGGCGGTTTCGGGGGGTTAGTGGGGGTTTGGGACTTTGGGGATATTGACTTTGGGTTACTTGGCGGGTTAGTTGTTTCGGGGGGTTTGTGGGGGTTTGGGTTTTGGGGCTAAGGGACTTTGGAGCTGGCGGTTTGGGTGGTTTGTGGGGGTTTGGGACTTTGGGGATTCGGGGACTTTGGGGCCTCGTGGCTGGTTTCGGGGGGTTTGTGGGGGTTTGGGAGTTTGGGGCTTCGGGACTTTGGGGCTGGGCGGTTTCGGGGGTTTGTGGGGGTTTGGGACTTTGGGGTCTTCGGGGTCTTTGGGTCTTGGCGGTTTCGGGGTTGGCGGTTTCGGGTTTGTGGGGTTTGGGACTTTGGGGCTTCGGACTTTGGGGCTTTGGCGGTTTCGGGGGGTTTGTGGGGGTTTGGGATTTGGGGCTTCGGGATTTGGGGCTTGGCGGGGGTTTCGGTGGGGTTTGTGGGGGTTTGGGACTTTTGGAGGCTTTCGGGACTTTTGGGCTTGGCTTGGGTTTCGGGGGGTTGTGGGGGTTTGGGATCTTTGGGTCTACGGGACTTTGGGGTCTTGGCGGTTTTCGGGGGGTTTGTGGGGGTTTGGGACATTGGGGCTTCGGGACTTTGGGGCTTGGCGGTTGCGGGGGGTTTGTGGGGGTTTGGGATTTGGGGGCTTCGGGACTTAGCTTTGGGGTTCTTGGCGGTTTCGGGGGGTGTGGGGGTTTGGACTTGGATTCGGGGACTTTGGGGCTTATTGGCGGTTTCGGGGGGTTTGTGGGGTTTGGGCCTTTGGGGACTTCGGGACGCCATGGCAGCTGGGCGGTTCGGGGGTTTGTAGGGGGTTTGGGACTTTTGGGGCTTTCGGGAATTGGGGATTGGCTGTTTCGGGTTGGGGTTGTGGGGGTTTTGGGTACTTTGGGGGCTTCGGGACTTTGGTTGATTGGCGGTTCGGGGTGTTTGAGCGGGTTAGGGGACTTTGGGGCTTCGGGCCTTTGGGGCTCTTCGGGACTTTGGGGCTAGGCGGTTTCGGGGGGTTTGTGGGAGTTTTGGACTTTGGGGCTTCGGGACTTTGGGGTTGGCAGGGTTTTTTTCGAGGGGTTTGTGGGGTGGGGTTGGGACTTGGGGTCTTCGGGACTTTGGGGCTTTGCGGTTTGTTGCGGGGGGTTTGTGGGGGTTTGGGATTTTGGGGCTTCGCGGACTTTGGGAGCTTGGCGTTTTTGGTGGGGGTTAGGGGGGTTTTGGTTTGTGGGTTTGGGACTTTGTGGCTTCGGGACTTTGGGGTTTGGCGGTTTCGGGGGGTTTGTGGGGGTTTGGGTCTTGGGGGGCTTCGGGACTTTGGGTGCTGGCGGTGGTTTAGGTGGGGTTTGTGGGGGTTTGGGATTTGGGGCCTTCGGGACTTTGGGGATCTTGGCGGGCTTTCGGGGGTTTTGTGGGCGTTTGGGACTTTGGGCTTCTTTCTTTGAGGGTTCTTGGCGGTTGCTGTAACGGGGGGTTTGTGGGGGTTTGGGACTTTGGGGTAATGGCGGGTTTCGGGGGGTTTGTGGGGGTTTGGTACTTTGGGGTCTTCGGGACTTTGGGGCTTGGCGGGTTTCGGGTTTGTGTGGGGTTTGGGACTTTGGGGCTTCGGGACCTTTGGGGTCTTGGCGGTTTCGGGGGGTTTGTGGGGGTTTGGGACTTTGGGGCTTCGGGACTTTGGGGAGCTTGGCGGTTTCGGGGGTTTGTGGGGAGTTTGGGCAACCGCTAAGAGTTGCGCTTTGTGGTCTTGGCGGGTTTTTTGGGGTTTGGGGGGGTTTTGGGGACTTTGGGGCTTCGGGACCTGTCGCTTATAGCGGTTTTTCGGGATTTGGGTTTTTGGGGGTTTGGGACTTTGGGGTCTTAGGGACTTTGGGCTTGGCGTTTGGGGGGGTTTGTGGGGGGTTTGGGACTTTGGGGCTACGGGACTTTGGGGGCTTGGCGGTTTTCGGTGGGGTTTGTGGGGGTTGGGATTTGGGGCTTCGGGACTTTGGGGCTTGGTGCGGTTTTCGGGGGGTTTGTGGGGGTTTGGGGACTTTGGGGTCTTCGGGGACTTTGGTGGTTTCTTGGCGGTTTCGGGGGGTTTGTGGGGGTTTGGGGACTTTGGCGGCTGTCGGGATTTGGGGCTTGGCGGTTTTCGGGGGGTTTGTGGGGGTTTTTGGACTTTTGGGGCTTCGGGACTTGGGGCTTGGCGGTTTCGGGGGGTTTGGGGGGTTTTGGGACGTAGGGGTTCGGGATTGGGGGCTTGGCGGTGGTGTTTCGGGGGGTCTTTGTGGGGGTTTGGGACTTTGGGGTTCGGGACTTTGGGGGCTGGGCGGCTGTCGGGGGGTTTGTGGGTGGTTTGGGACTTTGGGCTTCGGGACTTTGGGGTCAATTGGCGGTTTTGTGGGGGTTTGGGATTTGGTGGCTTCGGGACTTTGGGCCTTGGCGGTTTCGGGGGGTGTTTGTGGTGTTTGTGGGGGTGTGGGACTTTGGGCTTCGGGACTTTGGGGCTTGGCGAGGGTGGTTTCGGGGCGGTTTGTGGGGGTTTGGGACTTTGGATGGATTCGGGTCTTTTTTTTGGGGTTCTTGGCGGGTTTCGGGGGGGTTGTGGGTGGTTTGGGACTTTTCATGGCCGGCGCCTCGTACTCCCATAACGCTCCTTGGCGTGGTTTGGGGGGGTTTGTGGGGGTTTGGGAACTTTGGGCTTCGGGACTTTGGGGCTTGGCGGTTTCGGGGGGTTTGTTGGGGTTTGGGACTCTTTTGGGGTCTTGGCGGGTTTCGGTGGGTTGTGGGGGTTTGGGACTTTGGGGGTTCGGGACTTTGGGGCTTGGCGGTTTCGGGGGGGTTTGTGGGGGTTTGGGTCTTTGGGGCTTTCGGGACTTTTGGGGTCCTTGGCGGTTTCGGGGGGTTTGTGGGGGTTTGGACTTTGGGGCTTCGGACTTGGGGGCCTTGGCGGTGGGTTTCGGGGGGTTGTGGGGGTTGGGACTTTGGGGCTTCGGGACTTGGGGGTTGGCGGTTTCGGGGGGGTTTGTGGGGGTTTGGGGACTTTGGCGGCTCGGGACTTTGGGCTAGCCACTATTCGGGGGGTTTTTGTTGGGGGTTTGGGACTTGGGGCTTCGGGACTTTGGGGGGCTTGGGGTTGCGGGGGGTTATGTGTGGGTTTGGACTTTGGGGCCTACTTCGGGACTTTGGGGACTTGGCGGTGGTTTTTCGGGGGGTTTGTGGGGGTTTGGACTTTGGGGGCTTCGGGACTTTGGGGACTTGGCGGGTTTCGGGGTGTTTGTGGGGGTTTGGGACTTTGGGGCTTCGGGACTTTGGGGCTTGGCTGTTTGGTTTCGGGGGGGTTTTGTGGGGGTTTGGGACTTTGGGGCTTCGGGACTTTGGGGCTTGGCGGTTTCGGGGGGTTTGTGGGGGTTTGGGACTTTGGGGCTTGGCGGTTTCGGGGGGTTTGTGGGGGTTTGGGACTTTGGGGCTTCGGGACTTTGGGGCTTGGCGGTTTCGGGTTTGTGGGGGTTTGGGACTTTGGGGCTTCGGGACTTTGGGGCTTGAAGGAATTGCGGTGGGGGGTTGTGCGGTGAAGCGATGCAGTTCTTTTCAAGTTTTCTGCTTTGTGTAGGGCTGATCAGTTAGAAATCATTCTGTGCTGCAGCCCTGACAAGCCCACATTCTTCCTGTGAAAGAAACTTCTGAGTGTCCAAGAGGGCTGCACCAACTCCTTTTGCTTGACAGGTTGCCAGCAGAGAACACACATCAACAGGTTGATCCCTTGAAAACAAACAGGTTGCTGACTGGGGCTGGGCCGATCCGCAAAGGATTTTTTGTTAACGTCCAAGCTATACGGGGAGTACAGTTCGTTCGGGGTGGTGCGTATGAGTATGTCACTTTCAGGGGACCCCCTCCCTCCCCCCCAAATGGTGGTACCAAAAAAGGGGGCGGGGGGATAGGAGTACCCTCGAAAAAAGGCACACCCGTGTGACAATGTGTGCCCTTGTATCAACTCGTTCTCGCCCCGTCCATCTCTCGCCCGTGGCCATTTCCACGCCTTTTTGCGGCCCAGGAGGTTGCAGAACAGCTCTTGGAAGTCTTCGCGGAAAAAAGGGGGGTTTTGCGGCGCTTTCATGATGGACTGTGGTTTCTCTGGGTCCCTTAAAGTGAGCATGAAAGAAAGAATGCTTTAGGGGCGGTCCCTTTACACCCTGTGGGTAGTCTCGAGCGAGGATGTCACTCCAGGCTTCCCATGTTCGGTTTTCAGGGCGGCATCCGAGACGCGGGGGCCGTGTGGTTGAATGCGTAAACCGCAAGACGTCGCTGGCTTTTGGCCAGTCAACTCAGCAGGTCAGTCCCAAAGCAGGTCCCTGCGGTCTGACTTTCCAGGGGACCATCGATTGAACTGTCCCCAACATGCCTTCAAAAAGAGCTTGCTGAAATGTGCGACAGCGTAAAGCAGGGGAAAGGTTGCTCTTTTCACACGCGTGATTCGTTTTACGTGTTTTGATTGGAAGGGCGTCCAATTATTCACACCATTCTGTCGTTTGACGCTTGACCAAAAGTGCGTCCAAAATTTTTGAGGGCGGCGCAATCGATCCCATCCGATCCAGCAGCTTCGCTCCCCGGACAAGCTTTGACTTGGCAAGAAATCCAATGACCCGGTCCAGTTCCTCGTTGAGAGGTCCAGTTGCTGTTGATGCCATGGGCTTCTTTGTTTTGCTGTTTTAATTTGGACAGTTTTCCTCTTGGATTCCTTTCTCAGTTCGGAGCCCAACTAGACTAAAGCCAACGAAGCCAAGCCACAGGAGCTCTGCGCCCGGGGCCTCTTGGGCCACATGGCCTGCCTGCTGGGCGTAGCCATCGCCGCCCGGGCCCCCAGGGCTTGGCCCGAGTCCGTGCGAAGACGGCCATGTGGCTTTTTTCGGAAGCGGAAAGGGAGAACTGAGAGAACCAAGTGCACTGAAACGCCTGGCTCTTTGGTTTCACTTGGGGGGTCTCCTAACAAATTGAAGAATGGCAGTCTGTCGATGCCAATGATGACATCTGCTGCTGACATTTTCGGGGTGGCGACACATCATGTGCATGGTGCCATGTCCTGAGAGGGATCTTCTGCACCTGTAGGGGTTCTGATCTTCATCCAGGGGCTCTACGAGGATAACGTTTTCCGGCCGGGCGGGCTGTCGTTTATTTATTTTTCCCCCCCCCCCCCGGGAAAACGCAGATCAACAACCCTGGAAATGAGACGTTGTTTCCAACCATCTCTTGCCGTTTTCTCTTCTTTTTTTTCCTTTCTCCGAATGTCTTCGCTTTTCTAATTTTTCTCATGTCTTCGCGTTGTTCGTATCTCCCCCCTTTTGGTTGCCTCTTCGCGCGCGCATCGCGTGCTCATCGCTCGGTGTCGCTCGCGGCTGAGGTGCTGGGCGTGGTGGGCATCGCCTCCCCCCTGGTGGCGCTGGATGCGCGGCGGCCCGGAGAAGCGCGAAGCGGCGGCTGCGAGTTTTTTTTTTCTTCAATTTTTATTGTTTGAGGGTTTTCCCCCTTTTTCTTGGGTGGTTTTTCTTTGATTTCCGCCAAAAAAGCCAGCACGCAGAAGTCTGGGGGTTGATTCCTGGTCCATTCTTTGCAACCATCGTTCTTTTCAAGAGCCAGCAGCCACCCATGTTTGGTCTTTTTCTCGGTTTTGGTTGTAGAAGGGGACCAACAAGGACGGCCATGGGTGGGTGCTTGCTTCTCCTGTGAAAGTGGAAGTATTCTAGGGGTTGATTCCTTTTCCCTTCTTTTCAACCCTCGTCCTTTTTCAGACACCGGATCTGTTTCCCTGGGGTTTCTGATGGCTTTCTGAAAGGAAGGATGTTTGGAGCTGAGGTGAATCAGTTTTTGTCAATCAACCTGGACACTTGGGGTGCGTCTTCCCAAAGGGTTGCCATTTTAGATGGGGCTCCCTCCCACAAGTCAGTTGGGGGGTGGATCACGTAATTTCGGGGTACTCACATGAGCAGCGTGCAAAATGCCCGAATACTCTTTGGTAAAGGGGTGTACCTTCTGCTTGATACGGGCAGTGAGGATCTATGTGAACCGTGTCAGTCATGGTTGTTGGCAGAAACAATCGTAGATACTTTGTGTGTTGTGGGCTTGAAAAGCCACGTTTGTTGATGCCGAGTTTCAAAACCTGTCAGCTTCAAACTGGGTCAGGTTGCTCCGAGCTGTTTTGCGGGGACAAAATCAGAAGGCTCCGCCATTGATCGACGGTTTACTTCGGAATCCAATCACCGGGATCTCTAATCACCGCGCCGATCGGGGGGCTTCGGATGCGGAATTTGCGGAGGCTTCGCCGGTGCCAAACTGGGCCAAAGGGTCCAGGGGGCCAAGTACTCCAAATGGTTTACTTGCTGCTGCTCACTTGGATGTGTATGCCTGGGCAAGTCTGCCACGGTCGCAGTCAGGAATGTGGGAAGAAACCGGGGATTCCCTTCAAGGAAACCACCAGTGGGGTGGTTTATAGGGGTAATTCCCCCATTCCCTACCTATTGCACCAGCAAGTTTAAGTTGGGGGGATTTGAAAGCCGGCGCCTGACATGGGAAGGCACCCCCACAGCTCTTGGTCACCAGTTAGAGATGTCAGGTGATGCAAGGGGCCTCTTATTTTTTAGACTTATCAGGGCACGCAGGAGTCTGTGGAGGGAGCCACAGAAGCTCAAAAGTATATTTTTCATGGTCCGATTCAAAATCAAACACCGCAAAAGGTGGCTCCCACTTAAAAGGAGGTTCTCCCACGCCTTAGGAGTATGGTACTCATTTTGATTGGGGTCATGAATTCCAACACTAGCCGTCACCAAGTTGGAAACATATCTTTGCGTAACCCAACTCCCCTTATCACATCGAGTTTTGGGTACACCCCCAACACTAAATCTCATAGCATCCCTACCGACTTCCCACAAAAATCCCGATACAATCTCATAAACTCCCCGTTAAGTCTCACGTGAAGTCTCATAAACTCCCTACATCCCCCTCAAATCCCCATCACATCTCATGAACTCTCCATTCAATCCCCATCAAAACGACTTAAAAGCTGAGGGACGGGACCCGGCTGGGGTTGTGCCCACCTCCGACCGAGGCGCTGCCGGTGTTCCACTTTGGCAGCCCGGCCCTGCCGGCGCCCAGCGGAAGCTCCGGCGCAGGTGACGGAGTGGGAAAGCGAGGGCTCAGGGCAAGGGGGAAGGGAAAGGACGATGGAAGAAGTGGAGGAAGGAAAGGAACAAGGAGGAGGAGAAGTGGAGAAGAAGAAGAAGAAGCAGAAGAAGAAGAAGAAGAAGAAGACGGAGAAGAAGGAGAAGAAGGAGAAGGAGAAGGAGAAGGAGAAGGAGAAGGAATAATTATGATGATAGCAGGAAGAAGACAAATACAAGCAATTGCCACAATCAGAAGAGTGGGACTCCCAGATCCCACCAAGGCTTGGCAAGCCGAGCCGAAGAAAGGCCTTTCCCGCAGCCAGCCTAAGGAAGCTCAACTTACAGAGGCCAAAAGGTTTCTACCAAAAAGGGGGGGACTATGGGGGAAAAAACCTCCCTCCTCTAGGTACCCTTTGTTTGGCTAGGGTGACATGGGGCCAAGTGGAGTTCCTTTGGTTTCGAATACTAGGCAGGTTGACCTGGGGCTCGCTTTGGCGCCCTTCATTGGTGGGTTGGATTGGTGCGTGAACCCTTGGCTCTAGAGCCTGCCTCCAAACCGATCCGAGTCGCAGGATCCGCTCCTGCCGAGCCCTATGCCTACGCTTCCACTGAAGTGGGCCATGTCGGCAGCGCGGTGCTCAGACAGAGTGGCGGTTCTCGCGGCGCTTGGAGGGTGAATGTCGATGGCAGAACTTCTCCCATGGTTTAGCCATTCACATCCACCCCGAATTTGTACTGTTGTACCATCCACTTTCAGCCTCTCAGAAAGAGAAGGCGCCCGGTCGCGCTCATGTCCGCTGGCTTCCTTTCTGCCACCTCTCCACCATGCCGTCCTTGGAGCAATGGGGAGGGAGTGGACAGGGGGATTTTCAAGATGGCAGTCTTTCAAGACCGTCCTGTCCAGCATATGGGACAGTGCCCTCGCAACATAAATGGATGCAGATATCAAGAAGCCGCATGGATGCTTTTTCATGAGTATTGCATGCAGAATTTGATGCCTGACTTTGATTATGACTCCGGAAGATGAGTTTGAATCACATGCCGTGGTTTGTTCAGGGGTGGGAGGCGAGTGGGGCACTGTTCTGTTCAAAGAAACAGTGCCTTGGTTTTGACAATTGCATCACCATCATTGGGAGGAGAATAGTCCAGGGGTCAACTTTCAATAATGTGTGTGCCCGGCACCTACAAAAGACCTTCAAGCGTGTCTCTTTGAAAGAGTGCCCTTGGGGGTTTCAGGTGTTTTTTTTTGCAGGGTACCCCTTGGTAGATATGAAGGGAAACCAAAAGGGAAACCAAAAGGGAAACCAAAAGGGAAACCAAAAGGGAAACCAAAAGGGAAATCACAAGGGGAACCACAAGGGGAACCATAAGGGGAACCACAAGGGGAACCACAAGGGCCACAAAGGGAGACCAAAAGCGGAGCCAAAAGGGGAACCGCAAGGGCAACCTAAAATCCATTTTCGGGGGGTGCTCTAAAACAAAAGACCTTTTGGTTTTGAGGCTATGTGGACTATGGCTGGGCGCCGGAGGTTCCTCCGCGGGAGGCACGTCGGAGGTTAGACGAGAGTTGCTCTGGCAACCGCTAGAAAAGTTGACCCTGAGTTTACTCCGTGGCAGAGGGACATCGGGGCCAGAAGTCGTCAGGTCTGATGTGAAAGATCTCCTCTTGTGGGTTCCATGTTAGTTTTTGCAGGGGAATATTGCTCAGATATATGTGATAATAATTTGTTTGATGATTGTGGGAAAAGGGTGCAAGATGGCGGTTCACAAAGGCATTGCGGGACTTGCCTAACCTCTTTGCCCTTTTGCCCTTAAAAGGGGGCCAGGGTTTTGTTGGAGCCGATTTTGCCCGACAGACCAGCCGCTTGCACGTGGACTTCTCCCTGATAACGATGATGGTCACCCTGCTGGCGGTTTGTGCAGGGATCTCGGGTTCGGCTTCGGCTTTGGGCCAACTTGGCCCGATAGGGTCCAGATCTGGACCACTGGAGTCGGGCGACTGCGTTTGCTCAACTTTGTTGTGGAGGGGGTTCCCTTTCAAGTCAACCAACAAAAAGGGTGCCCATTTCTTTGGTCACTCACTGCAGGTCTATGTAGTTTCAGCAGCAAAAACCCGGTTGCTCAGCTGTTTGGGGGCCCAGAGATGACGTGAGATTTGCTGACTTAGATCAGATTTAGGTTTCATGTCGCAATAGTGCGGCCTCCACCCCTAGCAACAAGTTCTAGGCTTCCGCCCCAATACAGCTATGGGGTCTTGGCCAATCCTGGGTTTGAGGCTCCGTCATCCGAATTCCCTCTTAAATGGGACTCTCCGTCCAATCAAAATCGGTTATTCATCCTGGGTTTCCATTTCGCTATACCAAACAACCCACGTTCCATACCCCATTTCAAGCCCCCCTTGTGCTTTTTCGTGTGGGGGTGACATCTCTGCCTTCCTTTTTGGAGCGTAAGATGCTGATGCTCAGGCTTGCTTCGAGCCTCCAAAAGACAGCAAGAACCCAAAGACAGGCCAATTTCGACCTTTGCGCCCGAGTTTTTGAAGCAACCCGGAAGAGTTCTTTGAGGGGACCCGTTTCGGAGGTAAGCTTTGATCTCGGATCCATGTCCTAAGCAGTTGAGTGGGGAATGGGGCCGTGTACTTGAATCAGCTTTCACGAAATATGGGCGTTCTGTTCTCCAATCGGACCCCACCGCAAAAACACAAAACAAACAAACAACACAGAATATCATAAGCACAATAATAATCATAAAACAACAATAACACTAGTGATGAACATAAAGCAACCAATACTACCACTAATGGTTGGTTTGCTCTATGTTGCTTTTAATACGAACTATTAATACTGAAAATACAATGTTTTTTCTTCCTGTCGGTTTCCCTTGCACCAAGCACGGGGTACCGAGCCTCAAGAAGCGAAGAGCGCCCGAGGCCCTGCCGCCGCTCCTGCGAGCCCCCGCCAGCCCGGCCTGGGACGCCAGCTACGCGGCGCCAGGCGCAGTGGGGCCGCGCGTGGCGTGTCTTCTTTTTGTTTTTTTTGGGGGGTAGCCGCACTTTTTTCTTCTTCCTTCTGATTTTGTTTTAAAAGAGGTCCTTTTTTAGGGGGGGAGGGGGCGCATTGTTTTCTCTCTTCGGGGTCGTGTTTTTTTTTTTGGGGGGGGTGGGTGTTGGTTTTTGCGTTTTGCTTGTTTTATTTTTTGTTGGTGGGCGGGGGGCCAGAGGTTTTGGCTGGTTTTGAAGGAAAGCCAAAGTAAGCCGGACAGGCTGGTGCCAAACGTAGGTGTCCTTTCTAGTCAGTTTGATTAGAAATGAATGGATTCCAATGGTGTTGGCTCTGATCACTTCCCTTGCCTTATTTCCAGCTTGGCATGTAGCAAGCCCAGATTCCTGTGAACGCCTCCCCATCGACCCTCCAAACAACCTATAAGCAACCCCAAACAACTCCCTATCCCCGGTAATAGTAACGCTTGGTTTCCCATTTGGAGAACATCCAGACGTAAATGAGCTCATTGCAACCGGGGTTACTACCCTCTCACCACCAAACATGGAAATCCCAGAGCCCATTTTTTCTTCCTTCTTTCTCAAACACGCCCATTTTGCAACCAAACCTGTTTTATCCCCACCAATTTTCAAGCCCTTGCGCGCCTCGCGGCTTTTGGGTCGACTCGTCTCCTCTCGTTTTTGTCGCCGCGGGCGTCGCGGCGGCTCGCGTCGCGGCGGCTCGCGTCGCCAGGCGCGGCGGGCGGCGGCTTCCCGCTGCGGGACCTGCTGTCGGGGCCCGGGCGGCGCCTCATCGACGTGAAGCCCGGGGAGCTCGCCCAAGGCGCGGGGGCCATCGCTGGGCGAAATGCCCGTCTGCCCGTCTTGGGGGTTTTGGAGGTGGTTGCGGGGGTTGGGGGGGTTGGGGGTTTGGGAGGGTTTGATGGGCTATTAGATGGATGTTAACAAATAGAAAGCGTGGTTAGTGGGTTGTTTGTTGGGTTTGATGGGTTATTGGTTGAAAATAGATGAAGTCCACTGGCTTAAATGGGATGAATAAACTCATTTACCAGGGCGCAGCAAGCTGATCGGGATTTTCCGGGTTTTCGTTTGGTTTCATCCGAAACAAAAAAGGAGACCCGGAAAAGGGTACGAGCCTCAAGAATTAACACGCACGACAGGCGGTGGATGATGCAGGAAGTTGGTCTATGGGGTTGGACACTTGACCTAAGAGCATCCCCTGGCAGCTAACAAAACGTGTAAACGTGTCAGGTGCAGAAATTTTGCGAGGGTTCTATCTAGGTCAATGAGACAGTGAGGCTTATAAGGTTCGCTGTTTGAAATAGCCGCGCTAACTTTGACAAGCTTTCTTGACCAATGACAGCTTTACCGCCGGACTTCCAAGAAAAACTATGACTTTCAACCACTCAGTTGCACAAAGGCGACTACTTGCCGGGTCCAAACTGACCCAAGCTAGATACGCGTGTTTGTTCGGGGGCTTCGATGGGGTTTTGGGTCAGGTGCTCGGCTTGGGTTGTGGTGGGTGGGGTTACAGCCGGACCAGGGTTGGGCAAGTTTAAGCAGCCAGGCCCTAGAAACTGTTTAAGAGGGACACTGGGATTTGTTGAAACAGGAAATTTTCCGCATCTTTGAACCGGGGGTGCACCGGGTTGGCTGACCAACCCTTGTTGGGACTGTCGAGATGGCTGCGGAGCAGCGCTTCCGAATCCTCGTCATCTAATGAAGAAAGATGACATATCAAGTTACCACTAAAAGCTGGGGTTTACGTACCAAAATCCAATGGCAGTCGGGGTTCTTGTTCTAGCAATGAAGATTGCTAGCGGCTCAGTGGCTCATGCTCCTGGTCGGCCGAACTTGTCCATCTCGGCACAACTGTTGGCTTAATTTCTTCGGCTGGGTGCGGCGGCCAAGTTCAATGCCGACCCTGTAAATAGTAGGCATCTTGTTGGGTTTTCCTTCAAAGCCTCAGTGCAAGTAAACCGACCACAAGCTGTGGTAAATTGCGGCGGAGTGTTGGTGCTGCTGACTACTGACAGCCAGAAAATCGAAGTGGTAAGCAGCTTAGCTCCTATGTATCCACCTATTTGCCCTCTCTTTTTCCTCCCCCATTTTTTTCAATTCAGTTATGTTTTACATGATGGCTTGCCCATTTTGCCTGGTATCATAGAACCTATGGGTTTCCCCATCGGAAGCCCATAGGAAACCATAGAACCCCCATTGGGTTTCCCTGGGTTCCCGCCCATCCGGCGCCAGGCGCGGGTAGCGGCTACGGCTACGGGGGCTACGGCGGCTACGGCGGCAGCGGCTTCGGCGCCTTCGGAACTGCGGCTGCGGGGCCCAGATTTTGGAGCGATCGAAGGTGCCCGGCCGTGGTCCGACTTTTGGATTGCGAGGGATCTACAAGAAAGCTCCCAATAATTTTCCCATGGGCATGAGAAAACTGATAGGAAAGCCATGGGTTCTATGATACCCGGTAAAATGGGCAAAGCCGCATGCAAAAATACAAGCCTGGTTGCCCATTATAGAGGCAACTTAGCTTTTAGCAAGGGATCAACCCACGGATGAAGCCCTTCTGTCAGCGACTTTTTGCCTCCACTCTTCGCCTATCTTCCACAACTTTTGCCACTTGCATTCTGAGGCACTGTGCAAAAGCATACCAACATGTAAACCTATTCACCCCCCCGGCCAGGAGCTTCTACGTGATGTTTCAAGATCTTTCCATGTTGGCTCATGCATGATGTCTCGCGATTTACCAATACATGTAGGATAATACTTGGTTGATCAAGGTGTATAATGCTTTGTCAAGGTTTCTTGCATTTGCTTTCAGTTTGCAGCTGCTTTCAAACGTCCTAGATCAGGCCGTGGTGGCCATGTTTTTCATATTGTGACATCCTTCAAAGGACGGCTTCCGGTGTTCCCATGACAGCTTTTGCAACTCTTACATGCGATGCATTCAGGATCGCTGTTTTTTCTTTTTTCTCTTTGCTGGCTTCTACTGAAAAACACTGTATGCTGGCTTACGCCTGTCATACTGTGGGTGGACAATCTGGCACCACCTATGGATAAAACCCTACAAATATTGGGATTAACTACTTGCCGACTGGCGCGAAGCGGATTGTGTCCATTGACGGCAAGTTCCGTTTCCGCCGGCAGTGGAACAGGGTTCTTGTTTCATTTGGGCCAGCAAGACAACACCTCTTTTCCCCACCTTTTTTTCAAGGGTTCTCCTTGTGAAGGCAGCGGGTTCTTTGGGATTCCGTGCTTTTCCAGGGAAGCCTGCAAACCTGCGTGCAAAAGGGCTCCTGGAACCCTGAAAAGAGCTTCGATCTATCGGCACGCATCGCTTGTTTTGTCTTGGAAGCTATCCTTTTTTTCTTGTTGTTGGCGGGGGAGGAAGCCTCGTACCGGCCTCATTATTTTACCATGATCAAGTCATCCCCTAAGTGGTGGGTGAAAGGCCATTTTCTGACTTTGATAACCCCCAGAAACAGGCAAAATAATGACCCCTGTAGTAAAACGCGCTCGGAGACCTGCAGATGCCGAGGCCCCGGCAAATCCTTGGAGTGGCGCACAGGGAGCGCTGGGATCGGGGATGGCCATGGGAGCCATGGGAGCCATGGGGCCCATGGGAGCCATGGGGCCCATGGGGCCTGCGCCCATGGATTGGACGGCCCGGGGCCCCAGGAGGTGTTGAAAGCCACTTGGTGGCTTGTCATGGGTAATATGGGTTAGTCCCTTTACCATGAGGTGGTAAGCTTGTGATCATGGATATAAGTTATAAGTTACATCTGGGGGTATTTGGGGTGAGTCTTTGTGCCATGGTAACCTTAAGAAGGGCCGCAGAAGCGGCCGTGTTCAGGAGACGCGGCCGAGTGTGGCACCTGTTTTTTGAAGGTGGTACGTGGTTCAGCTCTCCCCCAAAGGCAGGCGCTTGGACCTTTTGGTGCTGTTCTTGATTTTGCTGGTTTTAGCCCAGCAGGTGTTGTGCCCTTCGTTTGGGTTGATTATGATTTCAGTTTCCCCACGCCAGCTGTGGCAATGGGCTTTGAATTCTCCATATTGAATTTTTCTTGTTGTTCAAATTGGGTTATAACATTTAATCGTTCGAACACCTCCTGCCGATCTCATTCCCACAACTCACTTGAAGCCATGATTGCAAAAATCGCTGATTCCCGACCCCATGACATGGCCAGTTCATTGCTTTGGGCGAAAAGGTATCAGAGAAGGTCCCAAGCCCCAGGTACAATTCTCCACCATTGCTGTTGAGCCCCTGCAAAAACTGAAAAAAAAACAACTCGTTGCTGGGCAGCACATCAAAAGTCAAATGCCGCAAAGAGTGGTCAAGCATAGGTCTGTGAAGATATGCGGCGCGGAGATCCAAGCGCATGTGCGTGAAGTCATCCGCTTCAGTGGGAACTATGACATAAACATACAATGTCACCCCCTTCTGTGATCCTTGCAGTAGGGGATTATTTTCCCTTTTCAATTCGGAAGGAGTCTATCCGTTCCGTTTGACCTCACCTAATCATGTCGGATTTGAATCAACCACTGCAGGGATCGGCATTTGGAGAGCCCAAACGCGATTTTCAGGCACACCCGTGTCGCCTTGAAACTGATACTTACTAACCTATTGTAGTTGGGCTTTTCTTTCAAGAAGTGAATCCCACCCCAGAGAATCAAAGGCCGCTTCCTCTTTTCAGGGCTACGTTGAAGTGCTTTTTCTGGTGCTGTCAGGCGCCGGGTGCGGGGTCGTGGAACACGGCGGTGCCGCCCGGGGCCCAGTGGAAGGCTGTGTTTGCAGGAATCTTGCTTTGGGGAACCCCGACAAGTCGGGTTCAGAGTTGATGTGCAGGGGAGTAGGGAAGATGGGCGACTTCTTTGGAGAGAGCGATGGGTGAAGAGAATGCATCATGGTTGCTCTTTGGAACGACCGACATGAACTTCTTGACCTGGAAAACTGCAGTTTTCACCCACTTACTTGTAGCACACGGTCGATCAGCTTTGACGAGCACAAAAAGTTCTGACCACGTCGCAGGTGTTTTGCACGGAACGTCTCTGCAGAGGTCGCCCTACGGCAGCGGTTTGGGCGTGGGGCCTTCCCAAACGTTGGGCGGCAGCCACAGCCACATGGGAAGTCAGACGAACCAGGCGCACCAGGCGCGGATGGCTTCCAAGAGGTGGGGTTTGTTTTCTCGAAACGGGGAAAAGACCCTAGGCCTGCAGTTTTTTTGGTTTCTGCTTAAGCCGCACCCTAGAGGGTGATATTGAAGGGGACTTGTGAGGACTCTTGTCTTAGGTTGGGTGGGTCAGGGCTCCTTCAAGATTTTGCAACCTGACCAGAAATGCATCAATCTTTTCCAAAAGACCAACAGGCAATTTCCATCTTGGGGCTAGTGTTCTGGGGGAGAATATGAACCCCTGTTGGTCAAAACTAAGGGCTATGTTATGACTACGGAGTGGACGTATTAGGGCCACACACTCAGGGCTATAATTTCCAGTTGATGGGAGCAGATTGTTCCCTTTCGAGGATGGTTCAAAAGCTTTTGACATTATCTTTGCGAAGGCTAAGCATCAGCTGAGAAGCGCCCAACATCTGTATTGGCCATTTTAGCAGGTGGTCCCACTACCCGGTTTCATAAGGACTATGTTTTTAAGGCCTATAGAAAAAACCTGTAGAGCCATGCCGGCAGAACCAAGCAGCAACAGGTTTCGTGATCTGCGCACCTTTTGGCAAGGGAGACCCCGGGGATTCGGAGCCCTGGCATTGCCCTTGTGCCAAAACCCATTTGATTCCCACCAGACGACCCCGCCAGAACCGCATCCAAGGGTCAGTGAGGAGATTGCAAAGAGCAACTCCGTGGAAATTCGTAGCACCGACAGGGAGTATTGCAAATGAAATCGCGCTGATGGCCAACTTGGGTGAACGTGGCAAGCTGGACCGGCTGCTAAGGAGGCGATCGATTTGGCTACTGCATGAAAGTGGTCAACCTTGGGCAAACAATCTACGGAAGAGGGACTTACAACAGGGGAAATTTGGATATGTGCTACCACATACACCAACGACTTACCTGACGTTGATGGCCTTCCAAATCAATGGCCCTCCCAAATTGATTTGGTCCCATTTTACACTTCTCCAAATCAGCCCTCTGTAGGTGAAAGGCAACCAACCCCAACGAATGACTTTCATAACTCCCAGAAACAGTCCCTGTGGCATTTGCTTTGAGCAGTAGGGAACAACCGGGTTTCGGAAATGAGCCTGATGCCCTTAAAGGAAACTACAAGGATGGTGTCATTCCCTCATTCCTTGCTGCACAGCACCCCCAATTGATGACCTGGATTGCATGTTGGGGATTTGAACCCCTGGTTTTTTTGGCAGAGGGTGAATGAAAAAACCACCCCCGGAGCGCCTCCAAACCACCGACCCACCAATTTCCTGCCAGGGCATGCAGTCCTACCCCTGGCGCGGCTTCGGGGCGGGGCCCACAGAGACAGAGGCCGGCAGCAGCGACGCTGCGGACACGCTGGTCGTGTTTTCCGACTTGAACCAAACGGGTCTGATGTTTGTTGAGGGTGCCCTTTGTGGGGTTGGTTTATGGGGTTTGTTCTGTTTTGAGGGTACCCTGGGGTTTGCTCTGTTTATGCAAAAGTTGGTTTCTGGGCAAACGCAAAGTAAGCCACCAAGGCCTCTCGCTGAGATAGTCAGTACCTCAATTCGAGCAACCCAGAAACACAAAATCATCGCTGTCAGATTTCGTGCACCAGACTTTGTTTCGGGATTTCGACACTACTGCAAACTTGAAGTTTGTTAGAAGCTTTCCAGGGCATTTCTGCTCTTTGGGGGGATTCTCTGAGAGTGTGTCTGAAACTTACCAGGTATTTTGGCCCGCCTTTCTCCAACACGAGCCAACCAAAGGTTGGCTCTCTGAGACCTGCCGGGTTTCATGCAACGATGGGAGGTTAGTTGTGTTCATGCAAATGCAATGTATGCATTGTATGAACATTCCGCCTAGCTGACTAGTGTGTCCCTTGCATCCGCCAGGTCCAAGAGACCTACGCCATGTTCGGCGTGCAGCTGCGGTGCCGGCGAAGTGTTGAGTGTTGACCCCGAAGTCCGTTCGTCGGGAGGGCGTCATGAGGTGAGGGCACCCTTTTTGGCAAACAGTTTTTTTTTGTTGTTGTTGTTTCTTAAGAGGAACAGCAAGAGTCGACACCAGCCATTTTGGGCTGCAAGCTTCTTCCAGATGCTTGCATTGGTGTGCCACAAATTCCAGGCCGTGGTTAAGGAAGGGTCAGTGTTTTCCCTTCGAAGGTGTTTCGGATTTTCCCTGACGTTAAACATCCTTGGGGCCAGTTTAGAGTGCTTTGCCTTTTAACCATGATCATGAGGCTGTCATTATGTTCCGTGTCACCTAGCACTTGTGGGTTGGTGAAACCACAAGGCTCTTGAGACTTTGTTTGCCCGGGTCTCTTTGGTTACATCTTGAGGGGTACATGAGGTCCAAATTGCTGGGGTTGGCTTCCCTTAGGCTTCCTTTGAAGCAGCATCCGCAGGCAACTTAGAAGCCACATGTCCGTGTCCAACGACTCGTGGGATCTCAGCAAGGAGTCTCACTCGCTGAGACCGAAGCACTCTGTGTATGTTAGTGGGAGGAAGCATGTCGTGCAGATTCCGCTTGTTCTTTGTGTGGCTGTTAATGTGGTTGAGGCAACCGAGGGTCAATTTTCGACAGACCCCTCACATGCGCTTGGTTTCGCCTCTTCCTGGATCCACCGCGGATCCGACTCTGCGGCCTTTTGGATTCAGAGACGGGCCACGCGATAGCTACCAGGCCACCGTTGGTTTTGTAGGACTTCACAGCCCAGGGAGTGAAGTAGTTCTCCAGAGACGGGGCACAGCCGTGACAAACGTGTAATCGGGTTTCTTTGATTTCCCCTTACCAGGGTCTCCAAATTTCTACCCTAAAAGCACCCTTCGACAACTCGCATTCCTTTTACCCGGGTTGAAAAAGATGTACCCTGCCGATCTTTGGAACCCGGTTTGTGCGGAGAAACCGCTACGGCTTCGGGTGGCCAGGCAGCAGTGGGTCCCCGCCATTGCTGCAGCCATCGACCAAGAGGCGCATCGACTCATCGATTGACCCCGGGTCGACGCATCGACTGTACCGTTTTGTGGGCGAAACTGGGCTCATGAGATTTCTGGCTACTCCCAGGTGCTGCCACCTTTTTTTCAATTCCAAAAAGGATGTGAGTTTGAATTTGATCAAACGCATGGTGTGGGCAGACGCAAAAAGGTCCCTGCCACCAAGCTCTGCTTCCCGCCATCTGCGCAGGTCATTGGCCCAGTGCTGCGGCAGCTGGAAGAGAGCGCCGGGGGCCTCGAGCGAGATAGCAACTCTTCTTTTTGTGGGGGGGAAGGGGGAAGGGGAAGGGGAAGGGGAAGGAGGGGGGAGGGCAAGGGGGCGAGGGCCTTTTCTGTTTTGTTTTTCTTCTGTTGCGTTTGTCATTATTATTAGTGTTACGTCACTTTTAAGGATCGCTCCACCAACTAGCTTACAAAAGGTCACGTTAGATTGACCCAACGGCCGATGTTGAAATCACCCAACAAGAGAGGGTTAGCGGCCCAGACGTGCCCGCCCCCAAGAGAGATATACAAACCACCCAGTGTGCTGATGTTTTCTGGTTCGGTCAGTGTGCTTATGTTGCCAGCGCCCAGCAAACAGCAGCAGTTTTGGCGTTTTGCCTCTCTGTCTTGCTCCCGGCTTGTCCTAGCGACTCAAGTGTCCGACTCTGACAGCAAGACTGCCGCCGATATTTGGCAGCAGGTTGTCAACAAGAGAAAGGCATTGTGCCCAATTACTTTGCCAGAGGAAGGGGCCAAACTGGCCGCCAAGTTGAAGGCCACGTTCGCCCCATGAGGAAGTCCAGGTATCCTCGCGCAGAAGCCTGGTAGGTCGACTGAGTGTTCCTGGAGTGCGACCAGAGGGAGCCATGGAATCTTTCAATGGAGAAAGGCTGGTCACTCACACCTCTACAAGGGGCGTGGCCAAGAGGGCGGGCGCAGCAATCACAAGAGCTTCAGAATGGGCGGGGCCCCTCAACTAATTCGTATTGGCCATCTTGGTAGGTGGTTCGGTTCCCACCTGGTTTCATGTCCTTTTTAGTCAAACCAATCTTTTTAAGGGCAGAGCCCGTAGTCTGCTCAAGACCCGGTGAGGTGTTCCGGGCACCTTTCAGAGTTCAAGAGCTGAAGCCCAGTAGATTGCGTGAGGCCAAGACACCACCAGCGTTTTTGTCGCGTGTCGGTGTGTCTTGTGTTTTAGGGGACTTTCAAAATTGTGGTTTTCCTTTTGGTTTTACAAGATAAAATCAACCAAAAAGGGTATCCTCAAAGAAAGGACAGACCAATGTTGCTGCTTTATCACTGGTCCCGATCAAAAGGAGCGTAAAACCAAATTGGGAGTTGGAGGGCAGCAACTCTTCGACCTCTGGTTTATAGGAAATCTCAGCTTGAACAGCTGCGAGATTTGGATTCGGAGTAGGAAATGTCTCTGCTTGAGACAGGTAGTACCCGATCAATGTAGATTCCAGGGAGGGCGAAGCGAGGAGTTGTGTTTGTTCCCCTCTCTTGTCGATGACTCCCCTCCCAGCACCTGTCTGGAATAAAGCCCAGGTACAGAAACACTATATGAGCCCTCTTCCCTAAAACAGTGAGCCCCCCAAGTGGGGGCGATCTTCCGTCCGGTTTCTCTTTTTCCCCGGTCCCCAAACGGGGCGCAGGTCGGCACAGCGGGGCCCGCCCCGTCCCCCCGTCCCCCCCGTCCCCCCGTCCGAGGATCAGCTCTGGCTGCAAGCCTTGGGCCCGCGAGGTGGGCTCCGTCGAGGACCTCTCCGTCGTTTTGTTCTTCTTCTTTTTCTTTGGGGGGGGGTTTGGTTTGGCAGGGGGGAGGCGAGTGGAAGGTGCTTTTTGTTTTTGTTTTGTTTTGTTTTTTTTTTTTGGGGGGGGCTTTGGTTTGGGTTTCGGGTTGGGGAAGGGGGTTGGTTTGGGTTTTGGCGGGGGGGGCGAGTGGGAGGAAATGCGGTGGGTGTCTGGGCCTGGGTGTGACTTAGCGATTTTTGGCGCGGGGAGCTAGATGTGGTCTTCTCTCACCTGATTCTTGTTTCGATATGTACAGGCGGTCAATAGTTTCACTCTGGATTCACAGGTCGCCTACCTCTGGAGAACCCGAAAAGCATGTTTGCAGATTTCTCCCCTTGGGTCTGGGCTATCCTTACGTCTTATGCCACGTTTTTTGGTTTGGCCGTTAGTGTTTCGTACCCATGCTTTAAACAGGGGAATGCAAGGGGCTAGCTGCCTGTTGACTCCGTTTCGTATAACCTCACCAGGTTACGGGGTAACCGCGAAAATATGTGGTCCTGGAGATTGTGCCAAACCCGATGGAACACAATGGGCACCCACCCCAATTCAAGTGTACTTGAACACAGTTGAAGCCAAGCCAAACCTTTGGACGTCGGACATCCTGCAGCTGCTCGGAGAACTGAAGATGGGGGGACAGGCCAAATACGCCAAACCGCCTCGGATTGTTTGCAGTTTTGATCCATCAAGCATATGTCTTTGAGTCGAGAAGTCTTCCAAGTCAGTTGTTCAACAAAACTCTCACCAAAGCGGATTCCACTCAGAAAACGCATGAGTTCATTTTTCCGGGTGGTCCAGCAGCATCGACCCCATGCGTCAAGCAGCGAAGTGTGAGAGGATGTAGCGCCCAGAAAAAAAAGACCCTTCGCACGAGCCTGGCACAGGCTGGCGCCTGAGCACCGAGCCCCCGCAGCACCCAGGCGATCGAGGGGTCTAAAGCGCGGTTTCGAACAACTCGCGGCGACGTCGGTCCCTGAGTCTTTTAGGGCGGTTTCGAACATCACCCTTTTGGGTCATGGGAGAGGTTTTGCCTAGGGGTGACGGGTTTAGGGGTAAGATCTCACTCCCTAAGTTCCTGGCCCACTTTTGGGTTAAAGATGATGGACATGGAGCTGGAAGGCAGCCTAGGGCTAAGTTGTGGGTTGTGGGCTTTCTTTGGCCCCTCCGCTCAACTGAGGAAACGGCACCCTGGATTCAATGGCTCAAAGGGTTCCTGGATTGATTGCTTGAATCAAATCCCCAGTTCCATTCAACGGTGGATCCGGATCAACGTCACTTTCGGGGGGATCTCGGGCTCCGTCGGGTTGACTCCAGAGTTCGCCTTTTAGCCATCCAGAGAGGCCGTTGAGGTGGCACAGATGGGTGGATCGATTGCCGCAAGCCACCCTTGCCTCGGTATTGCCTGCCCACACTTTACTGGTCGCTTTTGGGGGGGAGGGTCCTGCTGGCGTTCTGCCTTTGCGAAAGGCGGTTTGCAAGTTTTCATCCTCGGCGGGTCTGAAAGACTTTGGCGCGCGCGTTCCTTCACTTGAGTCTCACCAAGAACCTACCGCCTGCACTGGAGCTATCGGTTTTCACCGGGCAGATTCCTGGAGAAGCTTGGAACACCCTCTCGCCGGCGTCCGATTTCAGGATCTTGGAAGTTTTATCCTTTTTGAAGCTCAGATTTCCTGATTCACCTTTGTCAGGCTCGGAGTGTTCTTTGATCTTTCCTGGCATATTCGCCGATGTCCTTTAAACTTTTGTGCTCGGTGTGATTGATTCCCAAACCTGCCAGCCTGGTGTCTTTCCTTTCCAGGAGCACCAACTTTCGGTTAGGTATTTGGCCTGGGCTTGCCAGACGACATTTTCCTTCACTTTCGGGGTTTCCACTAATTATTTTTGTCGATTTGCCCATGGTTTCTGTCGTTTTGACGACAATTCAGATGCGGGGACGCAACAAATTAGTAGGGGGGTCAGATTTGGGGTTGTTTCAGACTGAGGCTTCAGGAGGAAGCCAACCCTGAATATGGTGGATTCCTAAGCAAGGTGGGGAAGCCTGAGTCAAACGGCTTCGATTCGGGTCTTACTTTTGTTCTTTTAGGGACCAACCACATGCATCGACTTGAGGGAGCCCACGCAATTGTCAGCTCAAAGAGCCCTGAAAAGGGGAAATGCCATTACTTGGATTGCACCCTTTCTCAGATGCCCAGTGGCCATTGACAAAAAAAGACACCCTTTTTTGTTGGTTGAGTTGAATGGCGACCCCTTACCCAACAAAGGGGGAAAAAAGGGCACCACTGGGCAACAGAGTTTTGGAACCAAAGCTCAGCCTGACCAGCTACGCTCAATTTACTACTTGTTTCCTTCTCGCCTCTTTGACCAAGCCGAGAAGCAAAGGATTGTTTGTTCACGGAACGAGGCCTTCGGGCACAGCTTGGGTGCTCACAAGCACGCCCAGATCTCGGGAAGAAGTAAAGCCGATCTTGCGCTTCTTTAGGAAGAACTGTGAATCACACGCAAGTGCCCTTTGATTCTTTTGCGGGGGGGCTGCGAACAGTCCCGACCTGAGTATTTCGGGACTGGCCACTGGATAATAGACGAAATCCACTTTGCACCAGTTGGTATGTGGGTTATCCCATAGGTTTTTTGTTCCATCCCAACAGGTGCAAAGCGGACTTTGTCCATAGGGAACCCGGTTGCCTTTCAACCCGGCTGGGGGCTTGGGTTGGCTTTCCTGGCGGTTTCTCTTTAAACAAACCCCAAAGGGTTTGACCACGAGGCCACAGATACGGTCTGGGCATCGCTCGGGCTCTCAGGATGCGCGGCTGGGGCAACCTTGCAAGTTGGGAGGATGAAAGCAATATGTGGGTCAAAATAATCCCACCAGGAATCGGGCCGCAGGTTTTAGTCTTTGGTTCCATGTACCAGGGTCCATTTTGGGGTTACCCCATTTTTGACCCACAGCCAGATGAGGGAGTTGTGCCATGTACTTTCAACTGAGCCGTCAGCAAACATGCTAAAAGAAGAAGCCATTGCCATTGAAATCCAGCACAATGGTCTTGAAGTTCCATGTTACGTAAGTTGCCAGTGATAAAAAACAAACAAACAAACGACCACATATTTACAATGGCAATAACAGTCGGTTTGTCTGAGAATCAGCTGCAAAGACCAAATTCTTGCTGCCGTGCAGTCCAGAAGAAGCAGCTGGCAGTGCTCATCTACAACGAGTACAAGCACACACCAGCGGCTCGAATTCTGCTCGAAGATGTTTGTGTTCAAGGGCCGCGAGGCAGCGATGATGCCAAAGCTGCAGAAGACTCTGCTTGGGTCAAAGGTGTCGTTTGACACCTCCATCTCGCAGCGGCGGCAGCACGAAGGCCCTGTCCCTCATGAGAAGCTGCGCGAGCAGCATGCTGCTGTTCGAGTACATGAGGGGCCGGAAATGATGAGAGCTGCGATGACGGTGCTGCGGCGCGTGTGTCTGTGTGTGTGAAAATGTATGTGTACGTATATATATATATATATATATATACACACACATGTAAACATGAGTAAAATCCCCATTGAGCCAAAGCAACTCGCCATTCTTATTTGCTCCGAGTTACAATTCAATCTTGAACAGGTCTACCAAAAATGGTGAGAGTCAGAACGGTGGCGGGTTTTCGGCGCGCCAATCCATGGCAAAAAGACCAAACTGAATTCTAAGGGTTCCTTTCAGAGGAGCATGGTCTTGCGGGAGGCTTCAGGTTCCATGTTTCAACATCTGTGAAATACCTACAAAAAGGGGCTCCAACAACACCCAGTATTTTGAACATCCCCACTCCCAACCCGTACTCTGTCGGACAAAAGGGAGTTCAGCAACACCCAGGATGAACATCTGAATCTAACCCACCCCATACGCTTCAGAAAATGGCGGTTTTCTTGCTTGTTTTCAATTGTGAACGTTCTATCCTTGTGGCGTAGGCGTCTCAGCTCCTGTGGTGAGTGGTTCAGGCGGTTTCGAAACCGCAGTAGCCTCAGACCAGCATTTCCTTTTGCAACTGCTCCATTGGCAATCACTCTGGGCCCCTTCAAAGGGTATCCAACCGCCCAAGGCACCTTAGTCTTTCAGGCTTTGGGTGCTACGAGTTAGGGTCCAATGGATTCCTAGTGTGGATGGACGAAACCCATTTCGCGCCACTTGGAAACCATGGTTGAAACCATTCTTGGTAGGGGCTCGCTTCAGCCCCGCGTTTCTTTTTCCGGCTCCACCGACCTCTGACCGCGAGCCCCTCCGCGTGCGCTCGACTTGAGTCACAATCAAAACCTGGGTGGATGAAGGTTAGCAAGGGACAATGCCACCCATAAATAGCTGCGGATGTCCGCCTTCTTAATTCTTTACATGCTTCTGGGTGGACCATTTGAATACCAGGTCCTGATGACTCAAATGACTCCAGGGGTTGGCTCACTTGAACCATGTTCTCCAGGGGTTAACAGCTGGTTTTGAGTATGACTCCCTTGAAGCTGAGGCCAGCGCTCAGGAGATCTCCGTCTTCGACCGGAACCTGCCGAAGCCCTTCTGCGACGACCCGCAGGTGGGATGCGATGCGAGGTGAATCGATGCAGGGTTTCGCTGCTCGTGTCGCAGGGAGAAAAAGGACGAAAAAAGCGAGCCTCGAACACAAAGCGAACCCCCTCCTTGTTGTTTTTTTGGCTGCCGTGTCCCCTAGTTCAGGTAACCGTCAGGTTGCTGGGTTGGATTGGTGGCTTGGATTTGGATTTGAAGGTTCTGGTTCTGGTAGATCGAGTGAATGGGAAACTGTCCTTAACCACCAAACCACCAATCCAGACCACGAGTGAAAGGGAAGCTGATTATTTGTTGGGTTTCTCGAACCGACCATTTTCGGAGCTACAAAACTGGGGCTTGGGCTTTTGGTTGGGTTTCTCGAACCAATCTCGTGCTGGGAATTGCCGTTCTGTCTACCACAGATCTTGGGTTTTTGGGTGGGCAACTTGGGTTCCAAAGACCCGTCTCCACCACCCAATCTTGGAGTCTGCTGGTGAATGGGTTGGGTTTCCCTGGCGTTTCCTCACCCATCCTTTGAAATGCCAAGAACGGTCGGTTTTTTTCTGAACTTCCCTCCGGAGCTCCCCAACTTCGCCGCCGGGATTGGGGGGACACCATCCGGAAAAGCTCGAAGGCGATGTCCGTCCGGAGGCGAGCCAACAGTGGCAGAGGCGGCAGCAGCTGGAAACCTTTCTGGTGCCGCGGTGAGTGGTGGAATGGGGCGTGGCGGGGAAATTGGGAGGGGGGGGGGGTTGAACAAATTCCCCTGACCCAGTCTGAATTCCTAACATTTGGATCGGGTCTCAAACAAATCTTTTGGGGTGGTTTCCTGTAAGCTGAGTTGCAACTGCGGCGAATCGGCAGCCCCTAGCTTTTAGCTTTCCGATGTTGGTCCATTTGTGGTAGGTTTGGTTTTCCGAATTTTGGTGTTGGTAGGTTTGGTGTCATCAATGGGTATGAATTTGAATGGGGAAAGCACTCGCAATTTTCTTGGACAGAAAACCCTACCGAATATTGATGTCCACCACTATTTGTGTGTGTGTGTGTCATTTCAGGGTTTCACGAATTTCACCATAGACCCAAGGGTTCAAAACATGCGCCACAATCAAAATGCGGGTAGATGAAGGCTATCAAGGGATGGTCCCAACCATCACTGGGTGCAGCCTTCTTTTGCAATTCTTTACATATTTCTGCGTAGACCATGTGAATACCAGATTCTGATGACTCAAATGACTCCAGGGGTTGGCTCCCCCTTCCTCCCCCGTCCGAGTCGATAACTCGAAAGATTCGACTCGCTCGACTTGCGTCCGTTACAAGGTGCACCCGAGCTTTCCGCTTAGCTCGCGGCAGTATGTGCTGGAGCGGCTCCGGGATTGGCGCCAGCGGGGCGCCGGGGGTCTTGAGTGGGGGGGGGGGGAAAATTGGGGCGGGGGGTTGGTCTCAGATCTCAACAACAGCCTGAAGTCAACCCGAAAAGCCCTGAACAACTCTAAAATATCCTTACCAACACCAACCAAGCCCAAACCGACACTTTACTGCCGATGATGGCGCAGTCGTACTACGGGACTCTCAAAATTTGACAAAAACAATCCGATGAGCTGCAAAATATCTCGAAGTCCGATTTCCATCGCGCCTTCCGAATTTGAAGTGACCGATTCTCCGAATTGCCTTCGGTTCCATGTCCATCGAAGTGGAAGTTTTGGCACGCTGCTGGGCCCTGTTAGTAGATATATTCCTCCCAACGGAATATCATTTGGCAGGGAGAGTCCGTATTTGCTATTAGCTTGTCTATTTTGCAACTATTTTCTTACCCAATTCTAACTTTGGTATTGGGGATTTAGAAAGCTGATGTTTGTTTCAGGGTGCAGGGAGCTTGACATATTCGTTTTCCGATGCGCTGACTGCACATCTCGCCTTGGCTCTTGAAATAAGGGCCTAGACCATTTCCAACGTGTTGCGCCCATCACATCTCAAAATTGAAAGTACCTCACCACACCATTCCGATTGTCTAGGTCTGTCTTGTTTTGAGGGTACCTGCGTTTTTGGGGGGTTTTAAGGGGACACCTAAAGGACACCCACCGTTTTGTAGGGTCCCCAAAAAAGGAGAGACCCCTTTCGGCCCCGTAGGGACCAACCCCGAGGGCGCCTTCGCCGAAGTCTGCGTCGCCAAAGTCTGAGGTGCTGAGTGGGGTCCGGCAGGACGACTGGCGGCCCAACGGGACCATGCCTACAGAGACTCGGCGCAGCGGGAAGAAAACCCTTCCACTGCGAAATCCATGTGGATGGTTGCGAGCTCCTTTTCGCAACACAAAAGGAAAACCATGGTTGAAACCTTACGTGGGGGAATCATCAGAAACCAGGGTTCTGAACGGTGGTGCGAAATGGATTTGTCCATCCACAGTAGTTTCCTCCTATTACCCTCCTAGGATTTCTGGAAGAACCACTTCCTCTTTGGGGACTTTGTCGGGTGCTATGTTTGCGGGAGGGAGGATAACTGTTGTTACCCCCTTATTTTTTGAGTTCCAAAGGCTTTGGCGAGCTCAAGAAAAGAGATTGCGGATTGACCTTCCGTTCTTCCCAGATCTTTGACTGTCGTTCTTGACCAATTGCAGGTCGTGACCCCACAACTCTAGGTGTACTTGTTGGGTCAGTTTGGTCGACTGCAGGGGACCCCCAAAGGGACAGTTGACTCTGTTGGGTGGCTATTTCTCCCCATTTCCCGTGGCAAGGAAGGAACTGGACTCCAAACGCACACCTAGGCCCAACACACTTTGTGCACTTTGTGTGCTTTGTCCACTGCACTTTGGGTGGAACAATGGTCTGTATTGCAAACACAATGTTGATCCACCTGCTGGATGATTAATGGGGTGGTCCCCAAAAACGTGATCCGGCATCCCTCTAGAAAGCGTTTGTGCCCTCCTACAGGCTTGTGAATCCTGGGCGGTGTGATTGTGTGTTACCAGGAGACATCACTTGTGCACATACCGCAAACATATTCCTTTGTTTGGGTATATAGTGTAACCATCATCTTTGGCCAAGTTTGATGAGCAAGTCTTGTCTCGGTGGGGTGCTGTTTACTGCTCGGAGCTGTAGCTGCTACTCTGTCAAGCTTCCCCTTTTGCAAGGATCAACTCTTGCAAAGACCAAGGACCCATGCCCCCACCTCCTTGCCTGTGCCAGCTCCATCCAGTCTAATGTGTTCCATCCTTGCCATCCTCTCTCATGGGCAAATGACTCTTTTTTCGGGATGAAGCCGTTCCAGAAGTGGGCTTTCGAGCCAGCCGCTTTTCTGCGATTTTCTCCTCTCCCGCTTTCCGACAGCGTGGCCATTTCCCGGGTTGTACTTCAACGGTTCCATTCCTCAGGCGACTCCATGGTCCCGCCAGGTAGCCTATAGGCAGGTTCCGCCAAAGGCTCGGTAGAAGGAGCTTTCATGGAATCGCCGGTGAGTCCCGCAGATTTTTTTTTGGGCCGGGTGGTTCTGTGCGTCTTGAGCAATGAATCGAGTTCTGCCGATCTGAGGATGCACACATTCTGGAGAATGTGGTCTTCCGCATGCACGGGGACCCAAGATCCTGGGGCCGATTGGTAAGCTGTTTTCAGGGGGTTCTCAAATGTTTTTTTTTGGGGGTTCCCCGGAGAAAAAAAACACCCACACACACAACAAGCACCATTCATGTCATTGTAAAGGACACCCTCTTGGGGTCGATGGGCTCAGTTGGCGCACTTCCCGCATAGGACTCTTTTACCCTATCGTGCCATCTTTCATGTTTTGTCGCGCACATCACAGCTTGGGAAGTTTTATATTTTGATCCATAAAGAATCGGCCAGAGCATCATGAAGCTGATAAACTCTGCTTGGGAATGCAGGATGGACAAAATCCACTTCGCACCAGTTGGTAGGTGGTCTGTCCTGTCGGAACGAGGGTGTCATGCATCCTAGCTGGTGCGGAATTTACTGTGGGAAAAGTGGGGGTTTCGTGTGGGCAGAGAACAAAGCCAACTTTAGAAACAACGTTTACCTCCATAAACAAAACCAATGGTGACTAAACCAACCAACCTGGGGTTGTTCAATCTTAGTCCTTACCAACTCAATACCCAGAAGGTGGTTGTCAAATAGACCCTAACGGTTCACCATCCCTCATTTTTCAACCACCCTGTCATGGGGGACACTAAATTAGAAACCACTGCCATTTGAGTGCCCAAAACCCCTATTGGCCACAGGTAGTTCTACTAGGTAAGGCCGATATGGTGCTGACGGGGAACCCCCTCCAAAGTGGTTGGTGGACATAAATCTCCGCCGAATTTTGATGTCCACCATTTCGTAATATGAGTGTGACCTTTTTCAGGGCACTCCCCAAAAAAGCGGTTCTTCTTCCGGTTTCTTCTTTTAAATCCACCAAAACGGGGGTAGTTTTCCAAAAAAGCAGTGGCACACACCCACACCCATTGCCTTTGGCATTCCGCGGGCCAAAGTCTCTCGTTGGAAGTGGCGCGGAATCGCTTCGCCTCCAGCTTCTTCAGGCTGAACCTCTCGCTGGAGTTCTGCGACTGCTTCCTGCGGCGGCCTGAGATCTGACTGGGGACTGGGGGGACTGGGGGGACTGGGGGGGGGAATTGGGGGGTTGGGACGACCAAAGGGACATTCATCTGCCTGCATGTCTTGTACTAGCCCTTGTTTTGGTGTTGGAATCACAGGAACTGCAGATCTGTGCAACGGATTGTGAATCATCCGCCTATGTAAGAATCTAGTCTGGTCGAGCTTGTCTATTTTCTAGTCCGATCCAGTCCAGTCCAAGCTGATCTAGTCTACTCTAATCTATCCATCTACCGGCCTACCAATTTATTTGTCTCGGGTCCCTTAGGCACACCTGTCCACTGGGTAATAAAGTGTGCGCGCCAGGCTCTGGTTCTGGCGCTCAATTCGTACTGGGGTTTGTATCAAAATGGGTGGCTCGTCTCATTTGGAGGGTGCCCCTTTTGTGGTGGTTTAAAGGGAAACCAAGAGGAACACCACAGCTTCTTTTTTTTGGCGGGGGGGATAAGAACGACAGACGCACATGGGACATCCCCACAAAGTCGGACTTGTCCTCTGATTTCCTTTAAACAAACCCAGTACACATTCATGGTTTGATTTCCCTGTCTTTTCAGTGTCTCCTTGTTGAGCATTCCCAAAGGGCCCCTGGGCACGTTGAGCATTCCCAAAAGGGCCCCTGGGCACGTTGATGCAGCGACTTTCAGAGGCGACAGGCAGTGGATGTTAAAGCAAAGCACTTTCATTGAGCAAATTCCAGGCAACTCACAAAGGGTTTTCGGTTGTGTCCGCTTTCACCCGCGACGATGGCCTTTTCTTGGTGTTCCTGGTTTCAGGTTGGAGAATAATGATCTTTCACCCAGTTTTCAGCATTTCATGTCCTTGAGGACCATGGTTGTGGGAGTGATAAAGCAGCGGGTATGGATTTGAATTCCACTTTGGCATCACAGGGCCCATTTGTGGCATGTTTTGCAGACAGCTAGTGCAGCTGGTTCTCCGCGCCTCTTGTTCGATGACCAACTCAGGGATGCGCAGTTCCTTTGGTTTTCTTTCATCGGGCTCCAAAGAGTCTACCCTTGTGTGAGGATTTTTGGGGCCAATCTCCTTTCAAAGCCACCCGGCAACGGAACCTCTGCCTTTTCTTTGGGGAGGTGGCGGCCCACTTGTTGCTTTCCATGCGAGAGACGCCAGTTTCGCTTGTTCTTCCCGGATATTGTTTTTCTCCTGGGGCTTGCAACCTGCGGTCGCTTGGGCCCCACCTGGACCGCAATCGACTGCCAGGGCTTCGGGGCAATCTCCGCCGCAGGCGCGGGAGCAACCCATTTTTGGCGGGGGACGGGGGTGATGTAGGCTCGACACGTGTGTCTGGGCATGCGGGCTCGACTTCGTTGGAGGGTGTCTTTGGGGGTTGCTGGAGAAAGAGATCAAAAGGAACACGACACAATTTTTGGGGTTGACTCCTAAAGTACTGCAAGTGACTCAACCACGTCAAACCACCAAATCCTGGTAAACTCTTCACGGAGTGTATAACTCGGGCAACAGGGTTGAAGCTTTGCTCGAGAACTACTTGCCATATTTCGGGCATCGGCTGTACCCTTTTTTGGTGGTTTCAAAGAAAAGCCCCAAACAGGGAACCTTCGATTTTGGGTCGCCCATTTCGAGAGAAGCCTGAAGGAAGGTGGGATTAAGTTGGAAAGCGAAAAGCCAATATCATTCTTACACGCACACACACCCAACCCTTGGTGGCTCCCAGCCATCCCCTTAGCCTTTTAGCTTTTAGTGTTTAGTGTTTGTTTCCATTTAACCCACTAAAAGTCAAGCTTTTAGCGGGGGATGTGAGGGCAGCGCAGCCACACATGCACTCTTTGGTGGGATGTGTTTCATTTTCGCCCGCGCCAGCGGTCGCAGGTGAAGCACCTGGGCCAGGACCCCACTTGCTTCCTGCGGCAGACGGTGGACCAAACTCTGACGCCGAAGCCGGCGCCCCACTACGAGGTGGTGGTGCTGCAAAAGCCCGGGCCCTCGGCTGAGGGTTGGGTTGGGGCGGTGGGGGGGGCGGTGGGGGGGAGGGGTGGTTGGTGGGGTGGAGTTGGGTGGGGGGGATTGGGTGGGTTGGGTGTTTTTTTTTTGGGGGGGGGGAGTCGGTTGTGGTTGGGGAGGTCCTATGGATCTGATTGGCCGAGGTGTGGCTGGGACGTGCTCGGACTATGTGCCTAAACTAGTTGGTGCCAACCGGAAGCATGTCAAAAAAATTGGTCTAGTCCCTCGCAGCTTCGGACCGTCGAACCTGGCCGCACCTTCGATTCAAAGTCCGATCCGTTTCAATCTGGGTGCCGTTTGCTTGAGACCCTTGGGCGGGCCCGGATACGCCCAAGCCACACTTCTCTGGGACTTATGTAGATGGTTTGTGGGGCCTTAACATGTTTCTACCGTGCTTATATGTTGGTTTCAAAGTACCAGAAAGCTCCACTTACGGGTAACCGGCACACACTCAGTCAATATGCGGACTGAGGTAGTAAATGCATCCCCAAAAAACGCTAGAACAACAGCTTTGGTTATATATACTACCCTCCCACCAATTAACATGGAACCTGACGTTCGGGGTGTCCTGGAACTACTGTGGATGGACGAAATCCTGTACCACCTAAGAATTCCTGGAATCCCTGGATCCCCTGCAAATGCCAACCAACGCATGGTTTCAACCATGGTTTCCTTTTGTGGTGCGGTTAATGGATTTCGCAACCATCCACGCTTTCAGTACTTGGTCCAGTCTTCTTTTCTGCTCTTTTCAGGATGTGGAGGCTGCGGGCAGGCAACCGCAACCTGCTGGAGGCCTCTTGCTGCGAGATATCGACTCGCTGGGAGAGGTCTGCGCTCCTGATATCAACTCGATGCGAAGCATTCTGCTTTGGTAAAGCAACGGGACCGTGGACGATTTTATGGTATGGGGCCTTTCCTTGTTCCCTTCCTTGCACTATTTAGGGCGTCCAGCTGATCTGCTCAAAGCTTCGGCGACTCTTCCCAGATTTTGCTCCGGAGGGGATACGGCCTGGGCTTGGGGTATTCCTCTGAAAGCGCTCACCCTTTGACCGATACATGGATCATGACATCACCAAGGCCCAGTGGGTTTCGGGCGGCCCGGCTTCGGTCGGGCAGGCTAGACGAGTAACGGATACTCGAGATTCTTCCAAGACCCCTCCGCGGAACGGAAGGTCGCTTCTGCCCGCATCTTCCAAATGCCCCCAATCAGGTTCCATGTTAAAAGGGGCAATCCTCTTGGTTTGGGGTGCCGGATCAAAAACCAAACAAATAAGGATCAACAAACTATTCCAGGTTGATCAACAAAAAGCAAATAGGTGTGGTTTGCATGGGGTCCGGGTTTTTGTCTTAGCACATGTTGCTGTGGCTCCAAAACGTGGTACCCCGCTCTTGGGCCCCGGATGGTTCAGCAAAGACCAGGACCTCCGGTTTGCCCCAGCTCTTTAAAAAATGAGCCACAGCAACAGATGTTAAGATATATGTCCCGGACTCCATGCAAACTACACCTACTTGTGTTTTTTTTGGATCCACCTGCAATAGTTGTTTTTTTGATCCGGTACCCCAAACCAAGAGGATCGCCCCTTTTAACATGGAACCTGATTGGGGGCATTTGGAAGATGCGGGCAACAGAGACTGGAGCTGCCCTGTGCACTGTGCCGACTCTGCCCTCTCCGCCGCATCAAACTCGCCAAAAAGAACCTTTTTCTTTCATGAAATAAAACGTTTGGGATTTTCAGGAAACCGCAAGGGGATGGATGGTGGGATTGGAGTAGGAAAGTCCTGCTTGAAATAAGTGGTTCTGCACATGGACCATCAAAACGTTTGCTTCCTTTGTGGGTTTCTCTTGGATGTCATGGGGGTTCCCAGCCATCCGCCTAGACTGTAGATTTTTACGGTTTAGTTGGATGCATGTCATTTTCCAGCAGCTTGTTGCAACAAATCCCTCTTTCTTGAAGCCAACGTGTCAGATCCCCTTGAGGCCTTTGGCGGAGACCAGGGGAGGGGAGGGTTGAGATAGGACCCCACAGTGGCTTAACGAAATCCGGCCGAGCTGCCTACCAACTCGGCAGGATGTTTTTGGTCCATCCACTGTATGCAGGATCTTCTTGCTGGTGCTCAGGGCATCTGGGAATGAACCTAGGGATTAAGGAAACCACCAGGATTGGATGGTTTGTCCTTGGGCTCATTTCACTCTGGTGGCTCCCAGCCATCCGGCTTTTGGCCTTTTAGCTTTTTAGAGTTTAGTGGTAGTTTCCATTTAACCCACCAAGAGTTAGTCACTTTTCGCGGGGGACCTGAAAACGGGCAGCCCAGTTCAGTTCTCATTCCCTGCATCCCCAAACCGCACCAAGCGCACGCTTTTTGGTCCTTTTGACCAGGCGCTGGCGCTGCTTTTGCACTTCCTGCGGAAGCACTCCAGGCGAAATGGCTGTGGGTCAAAAATAGGGTAACCCCAAAATGGAACCCTGGCAAATGGAACCAAAGACTAAAACCTGCGGTTTTGTGGTGGCTTAATTTTGACCCACGCCCAAATGGACATGCCGCAAGTTGGATTCGTGGCTCCGGGTCCGGGGCAACCAACGACCAGCATCTTCAAAACATGCCATCTTGACAAGAATACGATGGCTTGGAAAGAGGGCTGTTGAGGTTCCAGGCGAACTGTTGGGTTCGGACCCAAGAAGCCCCAAAAGCAATTTGATGGATTTAGACTCGCATGAGACTTTTAGAGCTTTGTCAGCTTCCTGATGGCCCAACCCGGCGTCAGGAAACAGTGCGTCTTTCCTGGTAGCTCCCCAAGGGGTTTTTGAGTACCTTCTACCGGGAAATGGTGGTGACTCCCTCTACAGATGAGGCTTTTTGGGGTTTCCATGTTGATCTGGGGTGTACTGTGAGCAGTGCCCCATGATTTCCCAGTCTGTTTCGCCATGCTTGCTGAACTGGCAAGTCCGGCTTCGGCGAACGTTGGGACATTTGTCAGACAATACTGCGGGGAACTCGTTGTGAGGCGCTCCAGCTCGGCAACACGCGGTCACGGCGTCGAGCGTTTCGCAACCTGTTTTCGGGGTTCTTTGACTGACCAATTCTAGCTTTGCCGGACTCCCCCTTTCACCAAATATCGGATTGCGCTTCTGCGGAACGGCAGAAGCTGACACATTTTTGACCGGGTTCAGCTGGGCTCGTTTGCGCGTGCAGCATTATCAGAAAGTCAGACACGGGTTCCTGGTAAGGGAACCACCTCAGCTTGGATGACATATCCCAGGTTAGAGTAAATAGGATCCTTGACTCATGGCCCAGGCCCAGGGTTGTTGATGGATTTTTTAATTGATTCCGAGAAGCATAGGGTCCTCTGAAGTGAACCCTGACCATGGCCGGCGCAAGTTTTCGACATTGTGGCTTTTTGGTTGGAATGGCTCGTTTCTTCACGCAGTTGACCACAGCCGGCTCTTTTGGGCCACCTGGTGTCCGCCTTCGTTTTGGGGTTGCCAGTTTTTGTTTTTTGTTAATACAGTTGCGGGCAAGTCAGCCCAAACACCGTTCCTCAGGTAGCCCGTCAGGTTGGTGGTTTGGGTTTGGATTGGTGGTTTGGGTTTGGATTTGAACGCCTGGGTCTTGTAGAGGGTAATGTTGACCCAGGATTAGTAAACACATCCCACAATTAATAATTAGGGGGTGTTCCCTCCAAAAGCGATGAATCCCCACAAGGCGACACCCCCCTATTAATCAACCAGGGGTTATCAATCCGGGGTTAACATTGAAAGGGAAGCAACCCTTAGCGAAATCCAAACCACCGCGCTCCAAACCGCCTGGAGGGGCGTAACGATTTACACACCCGGGATCGCCGATAGGGTTGGTTTCATGATGGCTGCTTGAGCCATCATGAAACTTGTGGGTTTCCAACAGTTTCTCATTCAACCAGCGGTTGATGAATCCTGGGTTCCCATTACGCTGAAAGCCAAAAGCCATACGGGTACAAGAAGGCCAACGCCATTCCCAACATCGAATGCATCCCAGTTACCGGTATTTAGTGGGTTTTAAGCCATTCTCCATTGGGTTCGTGAAGGGTGGATCTTTTGGTTGCCAGGGGCCATGACCTGTGAATCACTTCCGGCCGACCCGCTCGAACCGCCCGTGTGCAGGTCCTACACCAGCTTCCCGCAGGCAAGCGCGGTGCCAGATGAGCCGCGGGTTTGATTTCTTGGGCTTGGTGGGAAATGAATCCGAGCCGGGCAAACAAAAGTACACATCTCTTGTTTTAAACAAGACCGTTCTCTTCTTTCTTTCTTTCTTTTTGGGGGGGGGAAACGTGGGGTGTGTGTGCGCGCACGCGGGGCGCATGGTTGGTTTTTTGGGTAAGGGGGATCGATACGCAGACCGCGATGCGCCCCATTTCGACATCCCCACCTCCTTAAAAAATAGGAATTGTGAGAGACCCCTGCAATTCCATTTCTGGTTCCATTGTTACTTTTGTGGGGAATACTAGATAAATGGAATTGGGAGACCCGCACCAACACCCTCCTCCCCCTTAAGGTACGGCGAATATTTCGACCCCACACCCAACTCCAAAGAATCACTCTAAGTTCTTGGTATGCGCCCTTTTTGATTGTTTTGCTAGAAAAATAGATGGCCCTGGTTTACCTGGTGGTTTAATCATCTACCAGGGCCATCTATTTCCCCTAAAAGGGCACCTATGTTGGCATGTGTTTTCTCGTCGTTTGCTTTTTGTGCATTGCCACTGGGCTGCAAGCGACGACGTGTAGAAGTTTCTATGTCATCCTTGACGGGTTTGGAGAGTTCTCAGGGGCAGAAGATGAACCCCGAACTCCCCAGTTCCTCTCGTCCAATGGGAAGACAGCGCAACCCCTCAAGCACCAACCCAGAGCAACCACTAGAAGAAAGGACCTCTGTGAATTTGCCGCGTTCCTCATGCCTTGCATAATATGAGCAGGCTGGTGTGTGTGTGTGTGTGTATTGTTTTTGTGACCACTGCCATTCCATACTAGCGAATGTCGACCGTTGCCCTTGGGGGCTGCTCAAATACGTGTGTGCAAACAGGCGTCGCAGGTGCGATGGGTCGGGGACGGTATTTATGAAGGACTAGGGGGATGGCCAGGGGATGCGACGGGTGCCAGGCGATTCTCGAAGGGCAAAGGGCCGCTGAAGGGACTTTTTGTTGGATGCTCCAGCAACTTCTAATCTTTCGGGAACGCGTTGCCCCCTTGTGCAGAGTTTGCGGTTTTTGGTGTCAACCACGAGAAGTGCCTTTGCCGTGTTTTGAGCAAACCCAAGAATGAAGGCAGATACCCACAGGGTTTGAGGAAATCAACCATCCCGAAGATCAACATCTACCTGACAAATCGAAAGGTTTGTCTTTCCCTTTCTTGTAGAATAGGGGTCACCCCTTATTTTGGGCTGTTTTATTTTGAATTTTCGGCGCGAAGGGGCGAACAACAAGTCGGCCAAGCTGCGCAATACCCCATGGCACTCCTCGCCAACACCGGCGCTGGGTACCGGCGGGTCGCGCGCCAGTCCCTGCGGAACGTGCTGGAGGGTCAAAACTCGAGTGCCTGGCTGGAGCCTGAGGATGGGCGGAGGCGGAGGCGGAGGAGCCATGTTGACCATACTGTGGATGGACGAAATCCATTTCGCACCGCTAACCATGGGAAACCATTGTATGGGTGTCCAGAAAATAGCGCCTAGGTACTGTGGATGGACCACATTTGCACCATTGTTTGCCGGTATTTACAGGTGAATCATCATTCCAGGGTTTCTTAGGTGCTGCGAAATGGATTTCGCCCATCCACAGTAGGTGCCTTTTTTTAGCGGCCAAATTTGGGACCACGAGCTGGGTGCAACCAGCAAGAACTTGGAAGCTCCAGCTGGCAGGTCTTTTCAAGGAACCGAGTCTTGTCAGCCATAGGTGTCCCTTTTCATCGGGTGAGTTTGGATAGAAATAGATGGGTTCCACTGGTTTAGATGGGTTTTATACGCCATTTACCAAAGAAACCCATGTATTTCACCAAAAGCACACCTGTGATGTTGACACAATCCAAGTTTCTGGTTTCTTGATCTTTTGGAGAGATTGTGTTTGCGTGGTGAGCTCGGGAAGTTTTCCAGGTTTTGTGTTGGGCAACCTATTCAGGAGATGAGATGCGTGGTTTTGTGTTCGCGGGCTACCGTGGAGGCTTCCCCGGGCTTGTGTTGGTGTTTGGTGGTGGTTTTCTAGACGAAGCATCCCGCGAAAGAATAGGGACATTCATTCTGGAAGGTTTGTTCAAATCTGTCTTCTTTTGGCTTGGTCAGCAGGCTGGGGCTGCGAACGAGCACATTGAGCTGACGATATTATTGGTAGTCTTGTTGGCTTTGGGACGAGAAGAAGGGACCACAGGAATCCATGCCGGGAGTTCTACTGATGCCCATTGGAGGCCTTCGTAATTTTGTGCCTCTATCTATCAACAGAATCAGGCGCATTGTTACTTAGCTTGCCTACCAAGGGCGCGGATAAAAAGCGAACTGAGTGTTCAAAAGTTCTGCTTGGCCAATTTTGCAGCGGACTTTACTTGTAAGGCTTGTTGATAAGACGGTTGCATGTGATTTTCATCCGCTGTTTGGCACTTCAGCATTGATTGACCTATGACTCTATTCCAAAGAAACCCAAAGGAAGCTTTCATCACTCTTCATGTTTGTTTGTCATCTTCATCTAGCGCTGCTGCCGCTCAATCTCTTCCGTGGTTCTTCTGGGCTATTCAAGACCAATCGTAGATCCTGCTTGATGGTGCTGTCTTGCTTTTATTGTAGCTCAGTTGTCCAAAAGCCAACCTTTTAACCTTTTGGTTTCCCCCTTTTGGTCCATTGTTAGTAAAGGTTCCAAAAGGTTCACCTTTTATTTCCGGGCCTTTTGGGGCAAAGGTAGTCCTGTTCACGGGTTGCGGATTTGGATTTTCGGGATCTCCCCCATTGGATTGGATCTCCCCCCATTTGAATCCAGTCCTTCGCCTCTTCACTTCCTCTTCCTTTACTAGGTCCCCCAGCTAGATGCCCTTTTACCGTTTCTTTTTTGGGGCAGGGCTCCCCAGAAACAAGGGTGCCCTGGTTTCTGACCTCTCTACTGGAGGACCTAGCTTAATTACTGTCCTCCACTTTCCTCCATCCTTGAGCCGTCCCAAAGCTTTCGCATTGGCAACACTTGCCTTGGAATCACAGAGTCTCGCTCATGAGAAAGGTGCTCACGGGTTCAACTGCCTGCCATTGGCATTGGGTTCATGGACATGCCACCAGCAAACACATCAGGGGACGCACAAAGACAATAGTTGTCCTTCAAGTATTGACAATTGAGCAGTGCCCAGTGTCTTGATTGATTGGCCATTTTAGAAAGTAGCTCTACTACCTGGTTACAAGGGTTGTTCTCAGACTTGTATAGGACTCTAGAATCATTTCGGTAGACGCAGCCGTCGATTGGTTTCGAGCGCTGCTCAATTGGCGACTTGAAGGGAACCAAGAGGAATCCAACAGGGGCCGATCCTGTCATACGGTCACGTGGGTTCCAGTGGGCAAAGAGGTCAAGCGCACAAGCTCTAGCTTCGGATGTATGCAGATGGCCATAGAAATCGAGCACATCTCCCAAATGAGTTGACTCCCCACAGCGGAACCTCCTGAGTGCGTCCCAGGTCGAGCATCCAGAATCTCTACAACCGATTCTTTTAAGCAGCGATGAACTGAACGCGCCGCTTCAGTTTCGATCCTGCTGGATTGGGAGGAGTTGTCTTTGGTTTCCCTTTCGAACAGCTCCAACATGAGTACCCAGACCACAAAAAGACAACTCAACGTCCCTGTTTTCCGTTGAGGACCGCCATCGACAGCGTCAGGATAGCAAAAGCCGCTTTTCGGGCGTTGGACGTGGGTTGGGTTGGGCGGGCAGGGGTGGGCCAAATTGATTTCAGAAGTGGTTTGAACATGTAAGTGTTGTTCAACATGTCCAGTCGTCCAATTATACTTGGATCTTCTGCCAAGTTAGTAAGTGGTTGATTTGAGGCTACAGCTTTCTTTTGGGCGGGAATGACCCAGGGTGTTGGGAATGAATCTAGGGATTCCCCGAAGGGAGACGGGTCGTTCCGGGTCATTTCAGTTCTCATTCCCTGCCTATCGAACCAGCGAGCAGTTCGCGTGGCTCGGCTCAAGGTTATCTGAAGGCCTGAAGCTTGCCGGTCGCCTAAAGCTAACGGCCTGGCGCTATAGAGACGAACCCAGCAGACACGTTCCGAGAGATGGCCACAGCGGGATTCACGCTCCCTTGGGGTTTGGTGACGTAGAAACCAGAAGAATCAAGCAACCAAAGAGGTTCTAGTTACGCTGTTGCAAGGGGCAGTTGACCATCACTCTTGTTTGGCTTTAGACTTCCAGTGTAAAGCTGATCACCTATCCTTACCTGAGTTGGCCTCGCACCCACTTGGTATGAAGCTTTATCCATGTTGGTTGGTGGGAGGATACCCCACTTAAATCTTTATGTCAGTGAAGGCCCGGACACCTTGAGCGCCTTTTCCGGCACGTCAACTCGGCAGGCTGGTTGATAAAAAGCAACATCCAAGTTTGGGACGCAATCATCAACCGATTGTTTATCCAAGAACTCTCCACCAATCGTTTTGGTTGGTCAAGAAGGGGAAGGTTCCGATTCCCACCAAAGGACCCCCCATGAACAATCCATCCAGCTTGCTCTACGACCCTAACACATACACTGTGGTTGTGCGGCACTTCACAATCAAACTACGCCATGATAAGACAACACATATGCTCACACACACACACACATGCAATACATATATATATATATATATGGTACCCCCCCCCCCGAAATCCCCCCCAAGTTAAAAAAAGCTCAAGAACAGGGGGAAAAAGCAGAAACATCAAGGAAAAAACATGTCTTCTGGAATAGGAAAAAACAAGATCCTGTGGAAGTGAAAGAAGCCAAGATCTTCTGGTGGAAGGGCACCAAACCAGAAAAACCAGAAGAACCAGACAAAAACCAGAAAAACCAGAAAAAGCTAGAAACAACCAGAGAAACCAGAAAAGCCAGAAAAACCAGAAAAAACCCAGAAAAACCAGAAAACAAAAAATAAAATATCAAAAATAACAACAACAAAAACCAGGGGCCTCGTGAAGAAGGGCCCCAAACCAGAAAAACCAGAAAAACCAGAAAAACCAGACAAACCAAAAACCAGGGTTCTCCAGAAGAAGGCTGACCTCCATCATCTATCTCCTAGACCCTGGTTTTTGTTTTTTCTGGTTTTTCTGTTTTTTTCTGGTTTCTTCATGAGGCCCCTGGTTTTTTGGTTTCTGTGTTTTTTTTTCTGTTTTTTTTCCTGGTTTGGGGCCCTTCTTCATGAGGACCCTAGTTATTGTTGTTTTTTTGTTGTTTGAAGAGATAGATCTCAACAACCCAACAAAACTCAGGGAAAACTAAACAACATAACACGGGCAAAAACCACAAAGACCAAACCCATTTGGCAAAAAAGACAACACTTCTCCTCTGGGCTGTTTTGTTGTTTTCTCGAGTTGTGTTTCTTGGCATATCAATAATTTGGGCAGGTTTGGTACTGCCATGATTCAGCCTTCTTGGAGCCACAGTGAACGGGTGTGACCAGTGCACTAGATGTTCAATGCTAAGTTGGAATTCAACACGCCTTTTCAAGCTCCTGATGCGAAGGCTCCTAAATGAAGGCTCCTGGTCCAGCTCCTTTTCACACTCGTTATAAGGCTCTTTGTACAAGGCTCCTTATAAAACTCCTCATAAAGCTCCTGTAAAGTCTTGTCGGACTCCTTTTGAAGCTCCTTATACAGCTCTTCTATGTCATCGCTCCATATAAGGATCGCAGTATAAAGCTGCTTGCAAAGCTCCTTTTGAAGCTCACTTGGGTGCTTATAAGACTGTTTGAATGAAGCTTCAAATAAAGCTCCTGACACGACTCGTCATCAAGCTCTGATTCAGGCTCCTTAAAGGCTCCTTGTGCAATTTCTTGCACAAATGCTTGTACAGCTCCATTTAAGGCTCATGATAAAGCTCTTTACAAGGGCTGCATTTAAGGCTCCTTATACAGCTTATAGTGCACATGTTACAGTTCTTATAAAGCTCCTTATACTCCTTGAAAAGCTGCTTGTCGGGCTCCATGTGCAGCTCCTGCTAAAGCTCTGTAAGAAGAACTCCTTATAAGGCTCCTTGGACTCCAACTGAGGTTTAATCAGTGTTTAAAGGAAGAAAGTCTAGTAGGATGTCTATGTTGAATGAGAATGGAAAGGAGAAGTCCTTTCCATGTGTGATGTGAAACTAACATTAACTAGCAGAACGTGCAAATAATTTAATAGCGCACGAGTTTCACTAGACTTCTATCTTCACTTAGAAACTAAGTAAGGCGTCCTGTCCATGAATAGAATTTAGTACGCGAATAGCTCGAAGTATATTTGCTGTATCACTTAAAGAATATTTGAATCAACATCTAGTTGGATTTGTAATAGAATTGAAGAACAAACATGTGCGGTTGAATGTCTATTCTATCTGAGGATTAAAGTAGGAGGTACTTTCCAAATCGGCCTTTAATCAAGATAATTGCTATGTAAATAGAATTTGAATGTCTATTTTGATTGCCAATTTGAGTAGGAAATCCTTTCCAAACAGGACTTTTGATGAAAGTTAACTGCAGTTTGGCAAGCACCGGGAAAGGTAATGAAGTGGAGCAGATGGAAAAAGGTGGAAGATGGCAAATGAGCAAATGTGCAAAGCTATGGTAGCTTTTGAGTGGACTTGCAAAACTGGAAGATGTGCAAAGGAGGAAAAGTGGATCATGGGTGGGGTGTGAGCATATATATATATATAGCAAGTGCGTGGGTCCTGGGGGGGGTCCCGGGCGGGGGGGTAGAATATATAAATATATAATATATATATATATATGTATGTATATACATATATATATACACACATCACACATCTTGTTCGAAGTTCCTCACCCCATCTTCCCGCCGCGCCGCCTTCCCCGGCGCACGCAAATCCGCACGCTTCCCGCGTCCACGCGGCCCGCGTGCCCATGGCGCCGGCGCAGTCGCCGCCGGAGCTGCTGCGAGCGACGTCCCGGAGCTCGGCGGCGTCCGAGCGGCGGGGGCGCCGAGGGGCGCGGGGGGGCGTGGGTCGTGGGGGTGGGGGGCTGTGGGGTGCAGCTCTAAGGGTGTTAGGGTCCCAGGTTTGCTGGGGATTGAGGTGCTCCTTGACTCTTTTCTGGCGGCAAAAGTGGGGGTCGGGGAGACCACACATTTCAGCTTAAGGGGCTCTGAGCCACATTCAAAGCGAGTGGACGAAGGGTAGCCGAGAGTCCCAACCATAAAATTGGTACGGATATACCTTTTCCGTCCAAAGCCATGGGCTTTGAGCTTCCTGTATCGGTTTTTGATAGGCCTTGGCAAGTCCCCAGTCAAATCTGCAGCGGTACTTGGCTTTGTTTCGGAATAGCCACCACATGGCTTTCCCCTTTAACCTCCCACCAATTCACATGGAACCTGACGGGGCGGTGCTGGAAGACCATTTTCCTTTTCAAGGGACCCCCAAACGTCAGGTTCCATGTTACTTGGTGGGAGGGTACTTTCTCTTTCAACTAAGCCCAAACCATGGCGTTTCCCTTTGATCCCCTTGCAAAGCGAGCCTTACTTGGCAGCTTGCTGAGGTTCTCCTTCGAGGATGACGAGTCCTTGGACTTTGAGGCGTGGTGGGTTACTCCGCACACCCGTTGCGACCCTTCTCCGAACCAGCCATCTTGCACCACGGAAACCCTGGTTTCTGATTTGATTCTCCTGGAAACACCCATGTTATGGTTTCAACCATGGTTCCCAAGTGGTGCAAAATGGATCTCGCAACCATCCACAGTAGGGGTGTGTCTGCTTTTGCGGGGTTGGCCTCAGTTTGGTTTGAACAAGCAAGGGGATGCCAAGAAGGGGGAGTCGGAAAATCGGGGAGCCCTCAGAATGGTGGTTGCTTTGTTTTATTCTTTAAATAAACCAACCCCAAAAAGGGACCCACAACAAGAGACAGACCCACAAGCACCTTCCCCCCAAATCCAAGCCATGGATTGCTTCAGGTGGCAGACGCCAGCAACAAGTGTTCGGAGGGCAGGTTTGGCTAGCTTCCCCCACTTCAGTGGAATCCCAGTACATCCCTTTTTATTTGGGTGTTTGCTCCGCCGGAATGGGCACCTCCATTCGTTCAACAAGTTAGACGGTCTAAATGCAGGCTCGTGTTTTGAGGGGTTCGATGATCTTTCATCAAACTAAATACCTCGGAAGGGCATGGGATACATCTACAGCAGTGACTGCACTTGAATTCATCCCTCAGGGACAAACAAGTGTTCCTCAGATACGAGGATTTGCCATAAGCATCGGCTGGTTTTGTAACCAAGGATGAACGGCCAACAACACAGGACGGGACATGTGCTGCTGGCATCGTCCTCTGGCGGGCGGTTGGGAGCAGTCAGCGGGACAGGCACCCACAAAAGTGGCTGGTCGCCTGGTGTTTTCCTCTTGAAGCTGAACAAGGGGGAGGAGGAGCAGGAAGAAGTTTTAACAAATACGGGTGGTTTCAACACGTTTGATCAGGCGGCCCCTACTTGATTGGCATTCGGATGGCATTTGGCAGTCAGACTGAACCCTAGGTACTCCCAGGAATCCGAAAAGTGAGATGACCGTTTGCGTGGCTCCAGGCCTTTTTTCTGTTGGTCCAATTCTCAGATCCGCTGCGGGGTTTCCACGACCCCCAAGCCATTTGGATTCCCCATGCGTGTGGTGTGTGGTTGAGGTCCATTAAACTGATATCCTCCACTTTAATCTCTGCGCAGGTTTGAAGGGACACTGCCCCCAAAAAGATTTTTTTGAGCACCCAACATGTGGATATGGGTCAAATTAAACCACCGGGAATTGGACCGCAGGAATTTTCGTCCTTGGTTCCATTTACCGATCGGGCTCCAGCCATTTTGGGGTTACCAACTATTTCTGACAACCACAGCCAAAGAAGAGTTGTTTTGTTGGAGAGATCTCTCCTTTGCAACATGACATTGTGGGTCTGTTTTTTAGGGAGTCCCCCCAAATGGTGGTTTTCCGCATGGGTAACCCAGGCGTTTGATCTGTGGGGAAAAATATCCCTCTCAAGCCTCTGCAGGCGAAGCAGGAAGACGCAGGTTCGGGAACCCGAACGGGGGGGGGGGGGGATTTCCCTTTGGTTTCTCTTTAGAATTACAAGTTCTAATCGATTGGAGCAAAATCATTTAAACAAATCAAACAGAAACACCAAAAATACAAGTCCCAGCAGTGCGAACCACCCCGAAACGGGTACCCTCAAGCGAATGACACATGCATGCACCGTCCCACCAACAAACATGGAAGTGCACAGAGGATAACCGTGGGGTTAGGAGGGAGCATTCACCTTTCGGGCAAAGGAGAGAAAAAGGAAAGCAACCAAGCACCAGTTGGTCATTGAGCCACTGGACAACAAAACGGGGAGACACAAGCAATAAGAGGAATAGGACAGGGTTCGCAAGGCAAGTGCACAGGCACAGCGGGTGGGTGCCAGGTACTTGTAGTGGAGGCACATGAAAAACAGACCTCGGGTGTTCCTCCGGACCTGGCCAGTCCTCTCCAGTCCTTTCCTATGTGGAGCCCTGTCTGGCCCGTTGGGGGGGGGGGTTCGCCGTTCGCCTTGGAGGGGGGGAGGTACCTTTTACATGCTGGTCAAGCCTGGTATCTAAACAGATTGTAATAAGACATTTGCTGTTTCCGGATAGCTGTTTATTGTTGATTTCTGGAATGGCCACCCTTGAGATTTTGAAAGGAGTTGGAGTTGGCAAAGTATTGGCACTATCTTTGGTAATTGAACAATGGGCTGGAAAGGGACGTCTTCTATCAGAGGGGGTTCTGCGAAGTGCCAAACAAGTATTGAGCGGGGTCCTTTGGCCGAACCTCGCGGGTGCCGTGAAAGGAGTATTGGCTGGCAGTTGGCTGGCAGTCGGTGGGGGCATCTTGAATCAGAGGTTTATGAACCGCGTGGCCGTGGCTCAAAAACATGAGAGCCCAAAAATGGCATGGCAAATGGCACCAAAAGACCAAAACCAGCGGTTTGCCCTAGCTCTTTGACTTTGAGCCACACGCATTTTTGACAGTACAGGGCACACCCTTAGGCAAGCCTGGGAACACTGTCCTCTTGGACCCCCGCCCCCCAAATCCGCTTCTTTGGATCTGCAAAATGGCCTCCAAGAAACGGGGACAACACTTCACCGTGTTTGGCACTTGTTCAAATACTTTTTTCAGTTGGGAGTTTAAATGGTGGACCTCCTTTTTGGTTGAATTTAAAGGAAAACCAGAAGGAAACCAGAAGGAACGGAAACCACCAATTCTGGGACTCGCTCTGGGGCCTAGGTCTCCCCCCCCAGGGAAAGATGTTGCAACAAGCTAGGGAGCAGGGCTTGGCTGTTTTTCCGTTTCCCGGGGGCTTGGCCAGTTTTGAAGGCTCGCTGGCAGGCTCGGCGGCAAGAAAGAAAGAAGACCGGTTCTTTCGTGGGTTCCAATTTGGGCTAAACCGGAGCCAGGGCGGATGTCACCGGTTCCGTTTTGCCCGTGGAAACCGTTGGGCACCAACAGGCCCCCGGGCCCGGATCCTGGACCTGGCGGGCTTGGAGCAGGAGCGAGCTTGATTCGAGCGAGAGGGGACCTCGAGAACTAGGTCCCCCAAGTGGTGCCCGTCTCTAGCGCTTCTTTTCTGGGGGAGGGTTCCCCTACTAAAACGGACTACAGAAAAAGGGTACCCTTATTCTAACCTCTCTACTGGAGGACCTAGCTCTTCTACTTGCGATCGGTGCGATAGGTGGTTGGAATGAGTTGGAATGAGCCGTTTTGGGATTCTCGAATAAAGGAAAACCGCAAGTTGGATGGTTTTTAAAGGGGTCAGGTTGTGGGATGACTCGGGGTTGATCCAGCCATGTTTGTGAGACTTTTGGGAATCTTGGCCTTGTGGGGGGTTATAGGCGCTTTTTGTTGTATCACAGATTCATATTGGGGGCGCGTTTGCTGCCCGTTTGGTCGTCAGGTACGGGAGGGACCTCTACCTTGAAGGACCCAACTGGCTTCCTTCAAAGGGTCTTGAGAGAGGGGGAATGAGCTCGAAGGATTGGTTTCCTCAAAGAAGCCCACATGTCCTCTTCATTCCCTACTGGATCCCAAAACGGTTCATTTCCAAAACCCCTCAAAAGCATTCCCGACTGACCGGCAAGTTGATTATGGAACTCCCAAATTTTCGTTGTATTCCCTTACAGACCAGCAAGAGGAGGTTGTGGACAGTACCCAGTGCTTCCAGGCAAGCCACTATAGCCAGGGTTCCTTACCAGATTTTACATGATGGTTCCCAGGTTACTTACTATAGTGGCAACTGGAAGCCCTGGGATAGGTTTTAGGCCACTTTCTGGGAATCATGTACTAGCAGAACAAACGCCTGCACGTTTGTCCCATTGTGGAGCTTCATTCACGCCATCTACCATCTCGTTCGACTTGGATTAACCAGGAGAGTCCCCTTCAAAATGGCTGTGGCTCAAAAAACCGGTACCAAAATGGAACCCTGGCAAGTGGAAACATGGACCAACATCTGCGGTTTGCCCCTCCTGTTTAATTTTGAGCCACGCCCAAATGACAAAGTGGTCACAGAGAGGGGCCCACAGAAAGGCCAATTATTTGCCGCCACGAAGGGAGCAAGCTTCGGCACCCGTGTGCGGGGTTCTTCGGAGCACCCGTGTTACATCTGCCCCCCGTTTTTGCCCTGGTTTGCCCCGTTCTTGGGGGGTGGCTCAAAATAGGGAACCGCCAAAATGGGCGGTGTCCCGTTGGTTTCCCTTTGAACCGCCCCCCACAGAGTACCAAACAAAAAGGTCACGCGCAAGCCAGGAGCAAAACCGCCTCATCGCAGAGGCTGTGGAGTGCACAGGCCGGGGGTTGGAGGAACTTTCTTCGGGGTTCTTTTGGAGGGCTTGCCAGAGGTTTTTCTTCGATTCAACCACAGGGGTTGACCGACCCGCTGAAGTTTCCGACCTTTCTCGGGCTCGGCTCAGCCCACTTTTTTCTCCGTCAAAAACTCGGGGTTGGGCTCTTCCCTTCGTTTTTCAGCCATGGCGCCTCCCGGAAGCCAGGCGTCTCGGTTTCTGGCTCGAGGCAAGAGCGGGAAGTTGCGTGGAGGAAGGCCCCGGGGCTGGAGGACGAGATCTGGCTGGCTCTCTGGCGGCGTGATTGGGGACCGGCGCAAGGCTTCTGCGCTCTCTGTCGGCCCTGCACAGAGAGAGCGTCACAGAGAGCAACATGTGGCCAAGTCATATCAGAGCACAAAGTAGCTCCAGGCATCGCAGGTTTGCTGCAAGTCTGCGACACAGACTTCTTCAGCACGCTTGAAGGCTTCCTTGAGGGACCTTGATATTTATCTACGTTTATGGTTTACTTTGGGAGATCGAAGGTGGACGAAATCTAACGAGAACGGCTGGGAAGGAATGATAAGCTTGTTATACATATTACATAGGTTCTACATATATATGTATATATATATATACACATGTGTTTCCTATCTTAATTCATTCGTGCGCTGTTTTTCCCGAAAGCATGGCGAAGGGTTCTTCCGCTGGGTTCACTTGAATTGTTCTCATGAGAGTCATTACAAGGTGTCATTGCAAGGAATCATCATCATGAAAGTCAATGCAAGGAGTCATTGCAAGGAGTCATTGCAAGGAGTCATTGCAAGGAGTCATTGCAAGGAGTCATTGCAAGGAGTCATTGCAAGGAGTCATGGCAAGGATTGCAACTTGCACTTGACTCCTTGCACTTGCAACTTGCTTGACTCCTTGCACTTGCACTTGACTTGCACTTGCACTTGCAACTTGCACTTGACTCCATGCACTTGCAACTTGCACTTGACTCCATGCACTTGGCTCCTTGCACTTGGCTCCTTGCACTTGGCTCCTTGCACTTGGCTCCTTGCACTTGCAACTTGCACTTAACTCCGTGCACTTGCGACTTGCACTTGACTCCATGCACTTGGCTGACTCCTTGCAATGACTCCTTGCAATGACTCCTTGCAATGACTCCTTGCAATGACTCCTTGCAATGACTCCTTGCAATGACTCCTTGCAATGACTCCTTGCAATGACTCCTTGCAATGACTCCTTGCAATGACTCCTTGCAATGACTCCTTGCAATGACTGCTTGCAATGACTCCTTGAAACAAGCAAGGAGTCAAGTGCAAGTTGCAAGTGCAAGGAGTCAAGTGCAATTGACTTGCGAGGAGTTAAAATCTCTTCTTAGGGCGGCGGGGTAGTGCCGACGACACTACACGAAAATCGACCCTCTGCGGGGATCGGCGTGGTCGAGGTGCAAAAACCCATGGTTTTTTGCGATTTCTAACCTGCTCGCGCGACCCTCTGCGGGGATCGGCGTGGTCGAGGTGCAAAAACCCATGGTTTTTTGCCTGCTCGCGCGACCCTCTGCGGGGATCGGCGTGGTCGAGGTGCAAAAACCCATGGTTTTTTGCGATTTCTGCGGTGCTCGCGCGACCCTCTGCGGGGATCGGCGTGGTCGAGGTGCAAAAACCCATGGTTTTTGCGATTTCTAACTTGCTCGCGCGACCCTCTGCGGGGATCGGCGTGGTCGAGGTGCAAAAACGCATGGTTTTTTGCGATTTCTGCGGTGCTCGCGCAACCCTCTGCGGGAATCGGCGTGGTCGAGGTGCAAAAACTCAAGGTTTTTTGCAACTTTTGTTGTTCGAACTGGTCCTCGGGAGTTGTCTCGTGGTTCGCGCGCCTGCTCCCGGAACCGGCGGGTCGCGGGTTCGATTCCTCCCTGGTCCGCGGGCGGGCGTCGCAAGATGCAACTTGCATTTTACAGCAACTTGCGCAGAGCAACTTGCGCAGAGCAAGTTGCACAGAGCAACTTGCGCAGACCAACTTGCACCGACCAGTTTGCGCAGAGCGCCTTGCCTAGAGCAACTTGCGCAGAGCAACTTACGCAGAGCAACTTGCACAGAGCAACTTGCACAGAGCAGCTTGCACAGAGCAACTTGCAGGGAGCGCAATTTGCACAGAGCAACTTGCAGGGACCAACTTGCCGGAGCAACTTGCGCGGAGCAACTTGCGCAGAGCAACTTGCACAGTGCAACTTGCGTAGAGCAACTTGCGCAGACCAACTTGCACCGACCAGTTTGCGCAGAGCACCTTGCCTGGTGCTGTCTCGCGCTTGCTTCACGAAGTGTAGGGAAAAAGAACGCATCCTGCAGCGTTGGGCCGACCTCGCTTGCGATGTTCTGCTTTCGGGCCAACCGTGGTCTAGTTTTTTTTTTTGCTTTCTTGCCTGCCTTATCCCTTCAGGATCTCTTCCCAATTGCAGCCGAGATGAGTTAATAGTTAATACACAGACAATGAAGAGGGGGCATGTCCAAAAAAGAGTATACTATCTCTGCCTATTTATATCTTGGACACATTGCGGTTCAAACTTACATAGGCTTATGTTGTTTTGACTTTTGCATTTCCTTCGATTCATGTTTACAGGATTGGCAGTAGTTTCTAGCTTGCACTGGTGAATGATGGGAGGAGAACTTCTTACATTTGGTCCCTTTTTCGGGTTTGGGTGCCTGGTGGTTTTGACATGTTTAGACTCCTCAACTCAACCTCTGACACCATATTTTCACGCTGAAACCAGTGGATTCCATTCATTCCTTACCAAGCTGAGCCCGAAAGGACGCTTGCTAGGGCTCCTGATCCCTCCAATGAGAACGCGGACCCGAGGAAACAACAACAACCTTGCAGGACCCAAAACAAGCCTGCCCAAGGCTTCCACTTGTCATAGTATAGGCACGGGAAGCCATGTAGCACCTTGAAAGAAACCCCTACTATAGTTAGTGGAAACTGGTTCCGCACTGGCTTAGGGGTGATTCTTGCTGGTTGTCAGGGAATCAACCTTTGAATGAACCACTGGATCCTCTAGGAAACTAAACGGGAAGAGGCTGGCTATAAAGGGATGGGATTAAGGATGCTATAAACTTGACGCCATCTATAGGGGGAGATCCCCCAGCAAACTACAAGAGAACGAGGGATGGTAAAGGGATGGGACTAAGGACGCTAGGGAAACCTGAAGGAACAACTCTGGAGTCAATCCCTGAGGGATGGTTTCCTATTAAATCAACCTTGGTTACCTCCTATAGTTAGTGGAAACTGGAAGCACCATTTGTAGGGGATGGTTTCTGGGCCTCTACAAGGGACTGTGGATGAACAAAAACCATTTCGCACCACCTAAGAAATCATGGTTGAAACCATTGTTTGCTGGTATGTACAGGTGAATCATCATTCCAGGGGGCGAACATCGGAAAAGAAAAGAGCGCAAAAAGCGAAATGGTTGTGATGGTTGAAATATCATATGGGTGGAATCCTTACCGGGGAAGCCGAAAATCCTTCCGCTTCTGAACGGCGCGAACGGCTCCCCCGCCAGGCGTCTCCGAGGACGAGGCGGTGCTCCTGCTGCGCTTCTGCCACTGGGACGTCGCGGCCTTCAACGAGGCGCCTGAGGAAACCGAGTCGGCGAGGGGCTTCCAAAGGAAGCGGAGGGAGTCTTCCCCCAGTTTTTCTCATCTCCTTTTCACATTTCCCGTTCTTTGTTTGTTTTGTTTGTTTGGTTGTTTGTTTTGTTTGTTTTGATTGTTTTGTTTGTTTGGTTGGTTGGTTGGTATGTTTGAATTTCCCCAATACATTTGCCGGCAGGTTCCGTGCTTTGCCGTTTGGTCTTCGGATGTTCCGTTAAATGCTTATGTTTGAATAGGCTTGGTTGACTTCATTGTTCCTCGTTTTTTTTTTTTTTTTTTGTCTTTTTCGTTTTCGTGTTTGGGGGGGGTTGGAAGGGCAGGGTGCGTCAGTAAGTTCCGAAAGGAGATCCCTCTTTGAAGACTTTTTTGGGTGTTCTGTGTTACTTTGCACGAGCATTCTAAGGAAACAGTTGACCGGCCAGCTCAAGATTGCAAGCACACCACCCGCAAGACAGAGTAGCTTACGGGGCTATCAAGTTGTTCCGTGCGTGCTTTATATTTAGGAAATCAGCTGCTTCGATTTGTTGCTCATTTTGAGGGACAGAAAGTATATAGGCGTAGTCCAGGGTTTGGCTTGTTTTAGTCCTGGCCATTTTTGTGTGGGGAGCTGCAAAGAATGGTGTGGTTGCCAGCATGCTGTGGATTCCCTGCTTTTTGCAAAGAACCAACCACATTCAAACAAGACTACCCTGCAACTTGCAGGTTTTGTTGCAGGCTTTTGGAATCGTTGCCCTTGCGTCCTTATGCTTAGAACGGCCACTGTACTTGTTTCATCTCCAACTGATTTGAACCATGTTCATTTTTTCCACTAAGCAGGAGCACAAGAAACTTGATGGGCACGGCCACGGCAATAGCCACCAAGACAGAATGGCCCCTACTTACATACACAGCCATCCTTTCACATGACAAAGCAATTAGTTGGGATGGGACTCCCATTTCGGTATCACAGATTTCGGGTTTTTCCCACAACCATGCTTTCCGGGGAGAATGCACGCATGTGTGTTTGATATGGCTGTGGATTTCAAAAGGGAACCACCTCCAAAGTGGTTGGTGGACTTTTGGGTTCCCACCCGAATTCTGTCCACCATTTGGGGCCCTACCGAAATTCATGCATTTGGTCCATCGATTCGGGTCCATGTCTCGCTAGATTGGTTTCCGTTCGTACCAGCAATTGAACCAACACCAATACCAACAAAAGAGCCAACATCACCAACATCCAAACCAACATCACCAACATCTAAACCAAGAATGCTGTCTATAAACCAACAAATACCAACAAAATCCCAACCAGACCACCACCCATCCAAACCCCCCCCCCCCCCGCCGTCTACGGCCCGCGCGGGTGGCTCGAGGCCTTCTTCGAGGACGCCGCGGCGCTGAGAGGCGCCGCCGGGGTCTCCGAGGCCCAGGCGCGGTTGGGCGAGAGGGAGGCGGGGCCGGCGGCCTTCTCTGGCCCTTTTTACGAAGACAAAACCGCGGGCTGGGCTTTTTCTCAGGAAAAAAACAATCCATTGGGTTTGGGTTTATATGTATATATATATATATAAAAAGCATTGGTTGTTGACGAGGGACTAAGGGCGGCAAAGCGCTGATGGGGTTGACTCTAGCAGATCCAGGAGGACACGAGCGAGCGAGCGAGCGAGCGAGCGAGCGAGTCATACTGGCCGTCCACCCCAGGCGGTCCATCGGCCGTCGCGACGCGAGAGCTCGTGACTTTGCCACGAGGTTTGCTGATGGAGTGGCTGGAAGCGCTGACCAATCCGAATTGGTCAGGTCGGCATCAAGAGCTGCTCACCCCCCGCCATCAATCAACATGGAACCTGTCGTTCGGGAAGTTCTGGAAGACCGTAGGGACCCCTGAACGTCAGGTTCCGTGTGACTTGGTGGGAGGGTACGCCATAGGTGGCAAGGCGGGGACGCAGCCCAAAGCGCACCCGTGACGCCACCCCGTTGCCGGAAAGATAAATGGGACAGAGACACGTTGACTGGTTGCTTTGGAATTTATTGCACAGTTTGAGGTCAAAAAGACTGGGATCAAAGATCTGGTTTTTGCTTGGGGGCAAAGCTTAGATAGTTTGGTTGTTTGTCTCAACATGGAGGGTGAAACCATAGCTCCGAGCCCCAAATGACGGAGCTATCTTTGGAAAGCGACTTTCTGAGGATGTCAACTTCGTGTTCTGGAGGGTTGTGCTTGTCATCCTGGTTACCAGCGAATCGTCTGGTTCCTGGGTTTTTGGGCTTTTAGGGTTCAATGGGGGTTTCCATTTAACCCACTGAAAGTTAAAGCTTTAGCCGGGGATTGCAAGACATAGAAGCATGCTGCGCTTATTTGGTGGTTTGGATTGGAATGGGGAGTGGTTCATCAAACTGAAGTTCCCTCGCTCGACCCATGTACCACCAATTGAAATTCCAGGCTGCTGACGCTTATCAAAACCCCCCACACCCCCATTCCCACTCTATCGGTTGACCCCCCTGTTTGGTTGATCCCGCTCCTTCTGCCTTCTTCTGATTTAACTTTTAACCCCCCTCCTCTTTGTTGACTCAAGCCCTCATCCTCCTCATTTCACTCGACCCCCTCTCCTCTCGTACGATCATGGTTCAAAAGCTTTCGGCCTGTTGGGGACGCTGAAGCCAACCCCCCCCCCCCCCCCCTTCCCCCCCCTTGCCCAGGCCGGGCATCTGATGTCTTGGGCCCCCGCATCGACCCCCTTTCCAGGCCCGAAACGTTGGCCATGGGTCAAAACCCAAATCGTATCCCCAGTGAACATCCCAATCCAACCACTAAAATAGGTTTTAAAATGGGTGGTGCACCTACCCCAAAATGGGATCCCATTGGTTTTGACAACCACAGCCATTTTGTGTGTCCCGTTCTCCGGGTTTGTTTTTGATCGAGGGTTGCGAATCACGTCCCCCACTTCAAGGAGCAGGGGAACCTCGGGAAACGTTTGGTAGCCATGGTCGCACCCCACTAAAAATGGTGGTAAGACGTCAGCCTGAGATAATTTGTGTCATAAAGTAGACCCTGCTTGTGGGTGTTCAAGCCAGTAAGTAGGTTGCAATGATGTTTTTACGAGGGCCTAAGTTGGTTGATCATCCAAGCTGCCAGGGAGATGAATGAGAAAGGACCACCCGCCTTTCCCTCCATTTTTAACCGGAAAAAAAGCCCACCAACAACGGGAATTCCGTCCAAAGAGAGATTCCCCCCCAACGCCCAAGCCCCCCCCAAGCCGCCCCGACCGACCACTTTTCCCCCGGCGAAACAATCGCGCGGCCACCGGCGAGCGTCCGGCGCGCGACCGACTCGCGGCCGACTCGCGGCGCGAGGACGTGCCCATGTCGCCCCGGGCCTGTGGGATCTGCTTCTGCGAGCCCGGGAAGGCGCTGATGGCCTGCCCCGAGGCGCGGAAGCCTTCCGCGGCCGCGAGCAAGCCAGCAAAGGGCTCGCGGCGTCGGGTCGGTCGGCTTCAAGCGGAGGGGTTGTCTCAACATGGATTTGACCTTTTGGTGTTTCAAGAGCCGGAAGGAAGACCTCTTGTTTTTGGGGGGAATTTTGGGAGCCCTCCGGATTTTGGAAAGCCCATTTGGGGCTTTCCTTTTAAGACATTGCCATTTCTTGCTTCAAGGTTGAGGTGCTGTGAAGGGTCCGGCTCTATTTCCCTTTCTGGGTCTGATTTTCAAGTGAGTTTTCGTTAGGGGGGATGGGTGATGCTCGGACGCCCGTTTAAAAAACGGGGGCATGCGGTTGGCAGTGATCCACGTGGATTCCGGGAGGAAACCAACGGCCCCCCAAAGCAATCACCAGGAAGAGTATCTCCCTAGAAGCAGGTCCTAGGGTTTGGATCGCACCATTCTGGGGTGCAGGGGGCGCTAATGTTGAACTGTTGGACATTTTGTGACGCCCACGTAAGGCAGGCTACAAGGGTAGAAGATTGGAAAGCATGTTTCCTTTGGTCCCTCGGTTTCCGTTGGGTTCCATTGATTTCCATATGGAGCAAACTTCCACCCCAAGGTAGCCGCCCTGGAAGCCATCTTTCTTCCCATGATTTGAGGGACACCTCACCTCCATGCTTCAAAAGAAGTCAGTTCGCTGAAAGATGGATGACGCTGGCTTCAGTTGGGCTTCCAATCATAGTTCCCGCGGTGCAGAGAGCCCTCGGGCTGAGTCCTCATCATGAGTTGTTACCCGGGCCGGGTTCGCGGGTCAGTTTCCAGCAGCTTCGGCTCCAAGCGCAACATCTCTGGATTGAGCAAATCCCGCCATAAAGTCATCTGGCTGGGGTTCAATGTTCCACGACCATGCGTATTACTTCAAATGTGCTCGGTTCCAACCCGACCCCAGCCAGCTACCATCACACCAAACTGGCACAACTGCGTGCTCGAGCATCGCCCCGGCTACCCACCCAGGTGGTACCCCAAGGTGTCCAGTTGGAGCAGGTGATCGTCAACTCGTCTTCCCGCATGAGCCGGCTGGAATCGTCTAGGCATCAGAGCCAATACAACTGAGGAGGCTATCTGCAAATACAGCAGATGGTAGCCTCGTGGCTCCTGGTGTTCGTCCTATGCGACTGAGCATAGCTTTTATCGAAGCATTCACGGGTTACACAACTGAAGAGCGCAATGAAGAAACTGCACCAGCGTGGAAGGGCATATGCACAGCAGGTCAAAAATGAATCTGCATTATCAGGTCACGCATTTTTAGGATCTAGCCTCCGAGAGTAAGAACTGACCAGCCACAGAAGATGCGTGCGTCAGAGTCAGCAGACCTTGGGGAATTTCCTGCCAACATGGCACCTTCAAGCGGAAACATTTACTCCGCAATGAGTGCACAACCGAGCCGTGATAGAATAGTGTTTCGGCCTGAAGCTCAGTCAAGGTAAGATCACCATTTGTTGCCACTTGTCAAAATCCCGTACCCCCAGTGAACATCCTAATCCCCACTAAAATAGGTTCTAAAATGGGTGGTGCACCTACCTCAAGCTGGGATCCCATTGGTTTTGACCCACAGCCACTTGAGTTCGGTGGTTCCAATTCTGAAAATTCGGATCCCCTCCCCCCAAAGCACCACTGCTTTAAGGCCGAGCGATGTCCACGGCCTTTTTTTGGCCGAGCGATGTATGACAGCCATCAAACAGCTCGAGAGGCGCACCCCCTCTTCTGCGAGACCTGCTGGCGCCAGTACCTAGACCATGCGGTCCGCGACGGGAAAGGCGCTCGCCGATATGGCGGCAACCACGGGGCAGTGGAGGGGTTGAAATGGGGGGGGGGGACCTGAGGTACCCAGGCGGTTTTTGCGGAAAAGGGGCTGGGAGTCTCTTGGATTTGTCCAGATTGTGGGAATAGTACGGCCTCATTCGATGTCACCTGGCACCAATTTCGATAGCGTTTTTGGTTTTGGAGCGAAGCTTGATGGGTGGAGTGATGCTTAGATTGGACGCACGACCAACCAAGGCCTTCCCGATAAATCGCCGGAGTTTGTTCGAGGGGGCAACCTCTGGGACCTTGCGGCGTTTCTGGGGAGGCAGTTTGGATTTCCATGGTTTGTTGGTTGTTTGCAATCTAAAGCAAGAGCGAAGCCTAGAAGAAAAGGCGGTCTTAGGATCCGGAAACATGTCTTGCGACCCTTCCAAAAAATGACCGGATTTTCATGGAACTCAATGTGGTCCTTTTTTGGCCCAGGGAGGAAGATCCTCAGATTTGGGGAGTGTTGACACGATGATGTCCGCAGATGGCAGGGTGGTTCCCCTTCAACCAACCCAAAACTGGGTCAACTCGAGAAAAAAATAAAACCCAAAAAACACACTCAGAGAATGAGTATGGCTTGGGGACACTTAGGATACTTTACATCCAAACACAAACCAACACACACACACACATACATTGCGTCAATTCTGGAAAGTCCCTCTATGACACATTTTCTGTTTGTGGGAATCTCCCCTACAGATTCCCATTCCCCCCCCCAAAAAAAAAGAAAAGGGAAAGAAGACAAACCCACCATCCATTTGTTGGCCTTTTGGGTTTTGGGGGGTTTGTTTGTTTCTTTTGTGTCAGGGGGGTCTTTTTGCCGCCTTGTGTGACACAAATATCGAGCCCCTCGTAGTGAAGGATTCCTTCTTGAGGGGGTGGCCTTTTGTTCTTCCAATTTTCGCACAAAAGGTGGCAGCATCGCACATTGTCTCACAACAGGTGGCCATTTTTTCCCCAGATTTTCTCACCAAAGGCGGCAAAAAAAAAGACACCCCGGCTTTGGGGGGGGTTGGCTCCTTGAGATGAAGCCTCCGAGCTCACCCCATCCTCAAACTCGGAGGGTGCCTGGACCTGCGCTGCCCGGCGCCCGGGTGCCAGGCGGGGGTCGGCCAGCCCCTTTTTGCAGGGGTTTCCCCCCTGAAGCAGAAAAAAACCCTCGGGAAGCGCAGGTTTCTACACTGGCTTCCGCAGGTTTCCACTGGTTTCTATTGGTTTCCACTGGTTGGTTTCTATTGGTTTCCACTGGTAGTTTCCAAGTCAAGTCTGTTGTCCCCCAAGATTCGATTTCTCCTGTTTCATTTTTGACCCGCACCGCCAGTAGCTTTGCAGTTGCCAGCCATCGGTTCCGTAGACTTTAGGACTTTTAGACTGTCAGAGTTTATTCAGGGGTTCTTGACAGATCCTACTAAATGTTAAACTTGTAGCGATCATATTGGTGGCAATACTTGGGCTTTTCATTTGTCGGAGTTTGTAGCCTTTGTGCGCGTTTAAAGAGAAACCAAATGAACAATCAGTCTTGGCTTGGCCTGTTTCGAGACAGACCCAATTTCTGTAAAACTTGGTGGCAGTGCAGGGGCAGGGTGCCTAGAAACACTTGCCAGAGCTACAAGTCCCCGGTCAGTGGGTTGTAAACTATGGCTGCCAACGACTTGCCAAGTACACTGCCCCTTCAACACATACATTTCGGACCCGCAAGACTCTGTGCGGCTCGAGGAGTCTCAGGGGGAGAATGGCGACTTTTTGTATGTTGAACCCCCTCTCCCCCCTCTTGACCTGGGGAATTGCCTTGAATTTCTACAAAGTGAATCCGATTGCCAGGAAATGGTGCGGCCGTCGCTGTTCGATCAGCTCCTGGCGGAGGGAAGGCCAGGAGTGAGGTTGCTGTCGTTGTCATTGTCTTTGGACTGTGGCCCTTCTAACTCCCTGCTTGGGGAAATGCCTCAATCCCATCGGAAACCTAACAATTCGCCATGACTGCTCCGTTAAAAAACACATCGCGGATACGTCGCTTCCATCCGGGGCACGCGTTTTTTTTCTTCTTTCCCCCAGGCAACGGTACCGGCGCTTTCTGACCGAGAGCCTGGTGGATGCCGCTTGAGTTGCAGGGATTGTACAGGAGTTCTAAGGTTTCCCGGCTGGCTGTTGAGGGTTTGTTACGGGCTGGTTGACAGGTGTTTGAAGGCTTGGTTCACGGCGTGTTGAGGGTTGTTTAAGGGGTGTTTGCAAGGGTTTGTATGGGTTTTGGGTGGGGCCCAAAGTCTGATCCTTTTGTGAGGGTTCCAAGTTTTCTTTCCAAAAAGTCAACCAATATCACCTCACAACCCCAGCAATCAGAAAAGCTCTTAGAGGAATAGAGCAAACCCCAAAGCAAGCGCCATGGATTATAAATGCGGTTTTTTCACCCTCTTTTTGCAGGCGGCACAAGGGCCGCTGGGAATATATTTGATTTAGGGCATAGAAAATACAAAGCAACTAGAAGCAAAAGATCAACTGAGAAACCAACCTAGTTTATATAGTTTGTTTATGTGAGGCCAACACAAATAAGCTCAGGTGATATCCACGCGAGGCGCATTTGCGCGCACTCCATGGGCTCGGCCCCATCCGAACCGGAACTGGAACCGTCTCGCAGCCATCCCGGGAACCCTCCTCGAAGCCCATGGAGGCGCCGGCCACTGGGCCCCACAGCGTTGCTTGCGATCGGTGCGAGAGATGTAGGGAATGAGAAATCGAATGAACCCGATTTCAGCCATCCCCTATGGTGGTTTCCTTTAAAGGAAATCCCCAAAACCGGTTCATTCCTTCATTCCTTTGCTGAGCACCAGCAAGTTTGAGCGGTTGGGGAACAACAACAAGAAGCACACGAGGTCTCGTTTGGGCGATGCCCGTTGGACCTGCAAGTGGGGCTTGCTTCGGAGTGAATCCATTGGGTCGACTCCAATCGGGACTTTTTCTTGCCGAAGCCCTGCGGAAGCTTGGCTGTGAATCTCTTTGCCAAAGATGTGATGACGAAGTGTGAGACTTGGGATACCAAGGCCTGAGATCTCTTGAACGTGATAAAGTAGTTATGGCTGGATGGATTCGCATCCAAGACAGAAAGGGATCGGCCGCTGTTTCGGCACTCTTCGCGTTTGTCAAGATATAATATGGACTCCGCCAAAAGGTGGTTTCCCTATGTTTCCCTTTTGTTTCCATTCAGTAAATTTACCCTAAGGGTCCTGATGGAGTTTTGTCCCAAAATCATTTGTCTCACAAGGGTTAGTTTCCGCCCACAGAAGCCGGGAATACCCTGATCTTCGGGGGTACTCTGAGTCCAGTGGCAGGCTTTCCTTTGGGAAGGGCTTCCCTTCAGCATCACCAACCAACGGGTGCCAATTCTCTTTTTTTCCCCATGCAAATCATTGCATATTGTGCTGGTTCATTGGAAGGTATGGGTGTACCATGAGTTTACGCACAGATCTTATCAAAATCAACCTCTGAAATCCACTGGTGGTCTTGGCTTTAGCGGTTTGTGTCAAAATAGGGGACCTCACAAAATGCCTGGTTCGCCTACTCACAAAAACGACAACAGGCCTAAAAATTGGGTACCAACTCCACCCGTGAAATTAATTCTCCATCCACCCATCCCAAAGCCCCAAACCCTAATGGTTCGCCGCCCAAGAATGGTTCTTGTTTCGGTCCCCAAGGCCCTCGTGTAGGAACCCAAGAACCCAGCAGCCCAAGCGGACGTCTCTCAGGCCTCCAAGGGCCGGCTGCGCTGGTGCCCGGGCCAGAACTGCTGCTGCGCCGCCTCCGAGACCCCGGAGGCGGGCTCCTCCGGCCGTTCCGACGCGAGGGGAAGGAGCGACACGGCAGTCGAGTCAAAGCGGATCCGGGTGTCATATCTTTGCGGACTTTAACAACTTTTTGCCAACTAATGGGTTTTCCGTATTAAACCAGAAAAAGTTATAAACTTTTAGCAGGGGAGCAGAAAGCAACCGAGATATTCTAAGGGGGAGCTTTGACTGAACAGGGGGGTGGATCCTCCTTCCAGAAGGAGAGTCAAAGCAGAATGGTATCATCAGGCTAAGCTTCCCATTCTGCTCCTTCTGCTCCTTCCAGGAGGGTCATATTTTTTTCTCCACTCAGCCAAGGGATTGGTAGCAGAAAGACTATGAAGGGACACCTGTTGATTGAAAATGAAGTCCGCTTCCTGCTGGCCACTTGTCCAGTAGATTGCATGTTGGGGTTTTCTGGGCAATCATTGCGCAGCCCCTATGGTGACAGCTGGCCTTGCAAAGGGGAAGGCAGGATTAGCCTCTTTTGACCACCTGTTGATTGAAAATGATACCGGCCATAAAGAGGGATTCCGCAAATTTTGGGGGTAGCCCTTGGTTTGTGAAGCCAAAACAGGGGCCCAAGGGTAAGCTCCCATTCTGCTTCTCCCGGGGGGCGGGTGTCATAGATTTGTCCACTCAGGGGATTTCCACAGGCCTTCCATCTGCTGAAATGCATATTTTTTCCCAAGATAGCTGAAAAGAACGGGTGGGTGAGCGGTGAGACTCAGAATTCCGGTCAGGTGCTGTTGCAGGGTGCTGTTGTTGAGGGTGCTGCTGCAAGCCGAGACTCAGAGTTGAGACTCGGAGTCGCGCAGGGTGCTGTTGCAGGGTGCTGTCGCAGGGTGCTGCAGCAGGCCGAGACTCAGAGTTGCGCAGGGTGCTGTTTGCAGGGTGCTGTTGCAGGTGCTGCTGCAGGCCGAGACTCAGACATCCACAGGGTGCTGCTTCAGGGTGCTGCTGCAGGTGCTGCTGCAGGGGGTGCTGCTGCAGGCCGAGACTCAGAGTTGCGCAGGGTGCTCTTGCAGGGTGCTGTTGCAGGTGCTGCTGCAGGGGGTGCTGCAGCAGGCCGAGACTCAGAGTTGCGCAGCTGCCACAAAGCCGAGACTCAGAGTTGGGCAGGCTGTTGCAGGGGTCTTCCGGTGCGCCGCCGCCAGGTCCGGTGCTGTAGTCTTCTTGGGGCGCTTTCTTCTAGCTATCATCTTGCGTTGCCTGAGAGGCGTCACGTTAAGCAAAGCCGCCAAACCATCGGCTCTGGGAGGCGGCGCGCAATCCACGTAAATGTTGCGGTATAATAGCGCAGATTGCGGCAAGCGAATTGCCAGGGCATTCTGGTGTGAGACTTATTGTGGCCGCTCTACCCAGTGGCATGGCACGTTACTGGAATGGGCATTTTTAGTAAGCATGTTTTTGCTATCTGGGGTCTACGCTGGTGTAATTGTTTGATTTTCCCCGGTTGGTTTTGAAGGGGAAACGATTTCACTACTGGATATATTTTCTCATGTTTCCAGGCGACTTAACGGAAGTAGGTAAACCATCGTGTAGAACTTCCTGGTTACCTACTACAGTGGCAACTGCAAGGGGGGAATACAACTATGGGCTAGTTATGTTTAATTTTTCCCGAAACCAAGTCCACGCTCGATGTGAAAAGAAATTCACCCAGAGGTCTCATTCTGCTTCTTTGGCCCATCTTTCAGGATCCCTGACCTCTAGTTCTCCGAAGAAAGGCGCAGAGCCTGGATACTTTTGACACCGTGAGACCGACCAACAGGCCCCCTTCTCTTTTTTAGGCGAGTAGCCTTGGAAGTGAACGCATAGGGCAGTTTCTCTCATGGCTCGACCTTTCGGTTGAAACCCGGCCCCCTTGTAGGTGTCAAACATGTTTTCCCCCCTAAGACCAAAACTCAAAAAACACTCACGCACGCACACACGCACGCATGGTGTCGCCGTGCGTTTGCACTTCTGCCGCATCGGCTCGCATCGGCCCGTGGCGTAGGTGCAGTGCTTCTGCGGGTGCGGCTGGTGCTTCTTCTGCGGCAACGACCTGCACGCGCCGGTGGCCTGCGATACGGTGAAGAGTTGGGAGGAGAAGAACCGGGACGAAGGCGCGGTCCAGTCGGTCGGACGGCATGAAGGGGTGGCAGCGGAGGCAGCAAGCACTAGGATGGGAGCCAAAAGTGCGGTGTTAGGTGTAGCAGCCCATTGTAAACTCCCTGACCATGATCGTGATACGCCTCATCCCAGAAGTAGCAGCAATGCTTCTGAGCCCCCCAGGCCTGGCTGACAAGGAGGGCTTTGGGCTCCTGAAGCCCAGATAAAAGGGGAGGGAGGGGTGGAGGTTGTGGGTCCACGTGGGAGGTGGGATGGTGGAGTTTGGAGGGATGGTATGGAGCTCTGGCGAGGCTGTGACGCGGTGTGGATCAAGGTGAACACCAAGCTCTGCCCCAAGTGCGGCAACCCCATCGCTCCTCGGTTCTGGGGTCGGGATTTTCACTCCGAATCTCTGAATCTGCCCAGTGTTATAGCAAGATCGTTCCGGGGTACATCGAGCTCACCATTTTTCTCGGTCCTTTGCTTCTGAGCTCAGGGTTTTGGACATTTGGAGATCGTGAATGCGGCAGGTTGTGTCCATCCATTTGGAAGGGGTCAACAGGAGTCTTTTGAATCCTGGGTCTCCCCAGGCGAATCCAAAACCACTGGGACGTGGGATTGGCAGCGGCGAGATTTTGTGGTAACCCGAGTTTACCCATGAAGGCTCCCTGAGATGCAGCGATTTCCGCAGATGTCGCGAAGATCTCGGATTCACATTCAGACCTACAAAGCAAGTCAGGAAAAATGAGCGCACGGGAGTGTGCTCCGGCGGCAGTTATGCCGACAAGCGACTGAAATGCGACGGGCCTTCACAGAGAAGCCCAACAACTTGGGTTTTTCAAGGGATGGCTGTGGGTCAAAACCAACGGGATCCCATTTTGGGGTGGGTGCACCACTCATTTTAGAACCTATTTTAGTGGTTGGATTGGGATGTTCACTGGGGGTACGGGATTTTGACCCATGGCCATACGGTGTTGTTGTTTTTTTCAAGGTCCTAGAAGAAGCCAAGCCACGCACCCTGAAACGAATCTACGACTCTGCGTATGCCGGACTGCCACAAAAGTGGAGTTTGGTCATGTCGACACGTGGCCTCTTGATCTTTTTGGGTGAACATTTAGGGGTGGCGAAGTTTCTTGGAGGCAATGGAACAGGGAGGACTTGACAGTCTTTTTGTTGGTGTCTATAAGGGCCTAAATGGTTTGAATGTGGTGGGGCACCGTAGAACCATATGTAGTCCTGAGTGACGCATTAGATTATTACTCTCAGAGACACTGAAATCAGTGCTCCGAGCTTGTAAGGGACAATTTTCCCAATGGAGCGTCCTTACGCGGTGCATGAAGCTGGGCGAGTCTTCTTCGAGAAACGTAACCTTTTGCTTGGACTTTAAACAAGGGAATACGGAATACCCTTCTCCAGTTTTTAAAATGCATGGGCCCCAACCAACTTTCATTTCTAATTACAGGAATCTCGTTTTGATTGGGTATGAACAAAACCAGCCGGGCCAAAAACCCGTCGTTTTCCTGGGTTCCATGAGGAAAAGCTGCTGCGGGCGATCAGGCCTTTCTTAGGCCATGAAGAAAAAAAACTGGGGCCCCCGCCCTAAGCTCATTGGATCTGCCCCTTGGGTTGAAATCGGCCTGGCTTTAGGAGAAGTTGGTTCGGCCACATCCGCCTGGGCAGCCCTAGGTTCATCCATCTGCCCCCCAAAGGCTTGAAATAGGCCACCTCCCTCCCATGGCGTTTTTTTCGGCCCTCCACGCCGCCCTCCACGGCGTGTTTTGTTTTAGGAGAAGAACGGGGGCTGCATGCACATGACCTGCCGGAAGCCCGGGGGCTGCGGCCACGAGTTCTGCTGGATCTGCCTCAAGGACTGGCAGAACCACCAGCAGTGCAACGCGCGCCTCGGGAGAACTTTTCGCGTTTCGCTTTTCTGGCAAATGGGCGGCGGGGGTGCGGGCAAATGATGGGAGCTTCCAGTGGCTGAAGTTCGAAGTTGTTTTTCCTTTACTACACCTGTTGGTTGTGAAGGGACTCCATCACTATGCTTGTTTTGCATTTTCCAGCGGGGGCTTGGGCAAATGGACGGGAGCGAGTGGTTTGCGTTCTTGCTCCTGGGGAGCCTGGAGGTCCGTTGACCCCCCCAGACCCCTGCTGGCAACTGCATGGCTATGGTTGCGTGTCTTGTCTGAGAAAGCAGCCGACTTGAAAAGAACGAGCGTGAACCCCCCTTGTTTAGAAGCAAGCCAGAATTCCCCGAACTGGAGGGTTCAGCATCACCTTTGTGAGCTTCATTCGAGAGTTGCGAAGTCTTGTGGGAACCCACGGGCGATTGCAACTTTCGCAAGGGGACTTGTCCAAGTGACTGTCAAAGAAAATTCCTGCCGCGGCAAGGGCACCTGCGCAATTTCAATCAGTCGTTGGACACAATTCCTGATGAAGTTTGCAACATATACCCGGGCAAGAGAAACAAGGCAGGTCTTGGCGACCGGTTTCATGATGGCGACCGGTTCCTTGCCTCGATTTGATCAGTGGCTTTGGCCCCTAGGAACCTTGCTAGGTGAAAGTCGTGTACTTCATGTGTGAGGTTCGTTTTCAACGCCGGGGCCCAGCGTATGGTCAACGTAAAAGGGCCGCTCCAAGCACAACACCGGGGCTGGGTCAAGGTTTCAGCTTCCATCTTTGGGTTTGGGACCGATGAAGCAAAATGTAAACTAGGCTTTAAAGGCAGGTTGAGCAACGGCGCGGGAAGCTTGACGCTTCGAAATCTGTGGCCTTGAGCCTTGCTTCTTATGTTTGGGTTTAAGTATTTGGAGTCACGACACCCTCGTCCGGTATGGTTGAGCCAAGGGCCGACGACGACCTGGTGAATCGGTCCAAGGCCTCTATGGGTGAGAAGCCTTTGGAAGGGCGTCTTTGGCTTCCTTTTTGTTTCATTGGTTGGTTGTTGGTCTGTTTGTTGTTTTGTTGTTGGTTTCTTTTTGGGTTTCCCCATCGGTTCCCCTGCACTTTCCAGGCTTCTCCTTATTGCTTTCCTTACTCAGATGAGCATGGCGAAGAGCAAGTGCTGGCGGGAATCGGGCCCTACCACAAAAAGAACAACAACTGTAGGGGAGTAAGCGCGTCTGTCTTTGATGGTCCTTTTCAGGACCTCCATTTGATTATTTGTTTTGGGAAGCCAACATGGACGCCAGTCTTTTTTTGTGGGGGGACCCTGGCTTGAGACACACCCATGTCCTACAGAGGCTTGGCTTCCCCTTGGAATCCCTCCAACATAAAGCAAAAAAGGGACCCAACCTGTCCATCGGAGTCGTTCTTTGATTGGCGTTTAAGGGCTCCAACAGGCTTCGGCGTGGAATAACCAGTGCGGGAGGGTAGCCCTGTGATAAGGGTCCTTAGAGGCTTCCTGATTCCTTGTCCGGAGATTGCAGCAATACCCTATGAATCCCCTCAAGAAAAAAGACCACAAGGCATGGAGCATGCGGGTCCCTGGGGTGTGAAAATCTTCTGTGATAGCATCAGAAGGCCTTCAATGACTAGTTCTTCACTCGCTTTTTTCCGGTTTCACAGAAGTTGGAGCCCCTTTGTGCCCACAACCCTGTTTTGGCAAAATGCGAGGAAAAAGGGTCCATTGATATGTCAGGCACAGAACTGACAATTCTGTCAAGGGATCAAAACAGGGCCCAAAACTCAACACTTCATACCCGTGCAGCAACTCACAGCTGTGGGACCTGAAAGGTGGAGAAACATGGTTTTTGGTAGCCTGAGAGCCAAACAAGAGGCTGGTTCTCAGTGGGAAATTTTCGATGGAGCCTTTGTGAACCATCGAACTGGTTTCGTTCTAGTCAGGTTCGGTCCCAAAATCCGCCTTTCCCTGAGAGCCAACAGGTGATTAGGAACCTGAACGCTTCTGGACAGCCCCAAGCAAGATATACCCTGGTGGTCCTATACACCAAGCAAAAGGGTACCGAGCCTCGAACAAAAAGCGAACCGACACCCTTATTTTAGGTGTTGTTTTTTGGGCTGCCATGTCCCCTAGTTCAGGTAACCCTCAATTGGTGGTTTGGGTCCCCCGCCCCCCCCCGAAAGCCCAAAGCCAGCCGCCGATATGGAGGCAGCTTCAAAGCACGAGCTGCTGCGATACGCCCCTCGCACGCGGTTTGACCTCGGTTTGGTTTGGTGCAACATATCCAGCAGTCTACGGGTTTTATTTGTTTATTTGAGTTGGTTTTGTTTTAGTCTATGGTTGGTTGATTCATTGCTTTGGTTCTCTTCACCACTCTCTTCGCCCGGCGTTATTTTTCTTGCAAGGGTGGGCCCACTTTTGTTTTGGGGGAACCCCTTTGGGAAGGGAAACCACAAGGACTGGACATTCTTTCAACACTATCTCTTTCCTATACAGGGTCCAACTTGTTTTAAGTGACTTCTCACCCGCACATGAGCAGCAGGGTCCCAAACCCCGAGCTGTGTTTCGGGCCGGACCCCCCCCCCCCCCCGAGAAGGAGAAATTGAACCCACAAAACGGTTGAACACCAGACATTGCGAGGATTTAATACGGGGTACTCCCCAAATATTGCAAGTAGGGAATGAGGATTTCCGAGTGCACTATGTCCATTATGACTTGTGGCTTTACTTCCTTTACATGTATGGACACCAACCGCTTGCACATCCCCAAATGAGGGTCCCAAAGTGGTGTTTTTTTTGGGTTGCCCGTGTGGACAGGTTTTCCACATGTGCCTGGGCTGGGGCTTGGGCTGGTCATGGCCCCTTGTGGAGCTTCGACAATGACTGCAAGGGTTTTCTGTTTGCGGGGGCCATGACCGCGGCCCCCAGAAGTTTTGACGCAGTGCGGCATACAAGGGTCTAGTTGCTTTTGCTATCATGATTTCCCATGATCATGACTCAAGTTTCATTTGATGCTACTCCCCCCTGCTCCCCCCCCCCGCTTCTTACCCTGCTGCCCCTGCTCCCCCCCCCTGGCTCAACCCCGAACCCCTGCTCCCTCCCCCTCGAAGTATTTAGCCCCGGGCGTCTTTTCTCTCGGGCATCGCCGGGCTCGTTGAGGCCCACTACTTCGAGCGTGGCTTGGGCCGCACCTGGCGAAGCGGACAGGGTTTAAACGGGACGCGTCTTTGAGGATGGAACGGCCCTTTAGACAGCCACCAAAAGGGGGTACCAACCCCAAAGAAGACACTCACATCCAGGGTGGTTCCCCTCTAAGTGGTGGGGATAATAGCCTTTTTGTTTGGGGGGGAACCCTTTGATAAGTGCAGTATTGTGCATGTCGCGCGAAGATGATTGATCTTTGGTTGCTCTTTGGTTCTATATACCTTTCTCTTTTTAGCATTTTGGAGATGACGGCCCCATTCAAACATCAACCGTCAGAAAAGGACTTCTGGCTAGCCAGTTGGAGTGTTTCTTTGGTAAGAAACATAGCATTGGGTGTGTTTGCCCTGAACCACCATTTGGAGGAAATTGGAGGGTATCACTGCAAAATTGCCCGATTCTAGTGACCTGACTGGGGTTCGTGACCTTGGGCTGTATGAAGGCTTCTAAATTTCGGATTCCACTGGTCCTCATGCAGATTTGCTTTGCCACAGCCTGGTCTTTGGCGTTTCGTTGGTGCTTGTCGCCGCGGCAAAATGATGGTACCAAAGATTTGACTAGCCCTCTACATATTCTCTGATTTTCTGGTGATTTCTTCACCAAAGGGGTGTGTCTGTTTTCAAGGTGCCCTGTTTTCATATTTGCTCACGGCAAATCAACAGGACAACCAAAAACACAACGAGCATTGTAGGGGTCCGAGCCCATGTTGACGGTACGCCAAAGGGGGATAGTCCCAAGCTTCGCTCCTAAGTATGGGCCAAGTTCCTGGTGACTCCCTGCAAAGCACCCGCCAAAGCAGTGCACCGATCCAAGCGCGGCCTGTTTAGCATTACTGCAAAGGGGCGTCATCCGGGGAAAAGAAAAGGACACAAATGAGTTCGTGTCTTTTTTGTTCCTTCTTGCATGCTTGGTCCAGTACTGGTTTGACGCATACTCCAAGTGTGGAAATAGAAAACACTCAAAGTGATGTTCAATGTTAGTCGGATCAACCACTTCTTTTTGCATTGGGGTCCTCGGCACCCGGCTGATGGCCGAGCCCAGGGTGGTCTGCATAGCAAATGCACCACGTGCCAAACTAGCATGGCAAAGCCATCCCTTCCAACATACCACCTCTGCCAGATAGGGGGGTCCTTCGTGAGGAAATTTATCCAGGTAGGTGCTATGTTTGTGGGAGGAAGGGTAATCTAAAGGTCCGAACACTTACTCATAGTTCGACTATCCGGCTTGGTACTTCTCCGCAAAATAGTATGGGCAACAAGCATCAAAAGTCAGTTGGAGACACTTGTGGGTTGTGGGCAGGGCATGGTTCTGAGCATGCCTGCGCCGCCATTTGGTTTTGGCAAGGGCTCAGCGCCTTGACCTTTATATTAACATTACATAATCGTTTGCTCTGCGGCTTTGGCTTTGGTGGGCTTTGGCGGGCTTTGGTGGAGCTTTTTGGGGTTGCTCTGCCGAAGCTGGCGGCTGACAGCGCCCCGACTTCTGTCTCATCCTTGGCCATGCCGGGCTTTGTGGAGCTGGTGCAGGTTCTGCATTCAGATGCTAGAGGCAAGCGGCAAGGCGACCGAGGCACAGGAGGCAGCGGCTGGGGGCGATCACTTTGCCCTTCGTTCACCAAGTGTGTGAAAGAGCTGCCAGCAAAGAACTTTCTTAAAGTTGCCTGAGATAACTGTGTTCTGCGCCGCGCACGTGCAGCGCCGCGTTGAACGCAATGTGAGCGGGTTCCTGAAAGGACGTGCCGGGCAAAGGCGTAGCAAAGACATGTTTGGCATGAGCAGCAGCAGTAGCAAAGGAAGCAGGTTAGCTTGCCGTGCTCCATGTCAGAAAATTTGGGGATCCACGTGGCACGGGCGTTGAAGCTGGTGCTCCTAGCTCGGTTGGTGGTCGGATAACATTGGAGCGGACTACTTGGCACTTGGCATTTGATTCTTTGTGCCTTTGTGGGCCTCCAGACAACTTGCTGAGCAGATGGCTATCTCACTGACTGCGGGTCAGAGGCATGACTGTGTCACGCCATATTTGCAGGACAGCGTGAGCTCACAAAAGCTCAAAGAGCAAACGGATCGCCCAGCCTTCCTCTCTCACCCGCTTTGCAGATTTTTGGTTTCCATCAACAGGCGAAGGCTGTGCAGGCTGTCATTGTTGGCTGTTGCTGCTGTCACTGCTTAGAGGCTGCAAAGCGTCCTTTGAAGTTTGAACATTGTCTGGGCTTACATAAAAGGACCAAACCGCACAACCCCCATTCTAGTGGTCTAGGCCCTTCTCCCACCTTTCGGCGTCCTGAGGAAATTCACCCAGCTTCCGCCCCTCTCTTACAGGAGTTGTGTTCTTGGGTGCCACTTTTGCCGGCGCCGACGTTTGCAAATAATTTTAGCCGGCGTGGCTCGATGGATTGGTGAGGCTACTTGGCCCACCACAAGGCGGAGAAGTTCGCGGCGGCGGGCCAGCGCCAGGATCGATCAATTCGATTTGCGTGCGGGTGGAAACGGGGGGGGGTGGATGGCTGGTGTTTGGTGAGTGGGGGGTTTAGTGATAATAAATTGACATTGGCCCCGTGCATCAAAAGACACAATGCAAACCACCTATTTAAACAATTCCTTGTCTATTCCAAACACCCAATGTTCCCACTAGCTTGCTCCATCCGGGGCCGACATTAACTGCGGGAATGGCTTGGCAGAGGTTTTCTTCTTGGTCAGGTTGGGTGCAAATAGATGGTTTCAGTAGTCATTTCCCAGTGCCGTCCATCTTCCCAAGAGGACTAGTTGTTTTCAACGGGGACCCTAGGTGCCGACACGAGTGGCCGCAGAGACGTGTTGGCCAAGCCTCAGGGCCCAGCAGTTTAAGCAGCTGTGATCATTCCCTCAAAACATGGCCAGAGCGGACAACTGAAACTCCAAGTCGGGTATGTAAAATGGACTGACATTTCCCTAGGGGCACACCACTCTGGGGATTATGAGGTCTTCCCTGGTTGGATGTTGATTCCATTTAAAGGAAGGGAAACCATGGAACATGCACAAACGGTGCCACCTTACACGATGTGGCGGCGAGCTGCGTCCTAACGCAGAAATTCTACACACCCTGCGCGATGAGCTCCGCGTTCCATCGCGGTTTCGTTGTCAATCAAATGTTTGGGTGAGAGCAATGCCACCCGGTCAAGAGATGTGGTAAAAGCAACCTCAAAGACCCTGCGGACCCCCCCAAAAGTACCCGGGGAGCGTTTTGATGACCGCTAACCCTTGAAACCTCAGGGTCATTCGAGAAAAGTAAATACCTCCTACTATTCCGAACAGATTATTCATCCAGGCGTCTCTTTCTGGCCAGGGTTGAATGAGTTTGCTTGGGTGATGTGTGCAGATTGGACATAACACCCTGTGGCACTGCTTGATGTTGAGCGGCTAGGCCTTTTATTCGCATTGGTCTGGTCACGGACCCGGGATTTTAGACAACCATGACAAGGGGTTCCTGTTCAGGAACCATCACCATATCCAGCAATGTGGGAGTTCGACCATGGCTCACCTGGGTTTTGGGTGTTCGCTGCCAACTTTGCGAGATGCGGCTTTCAACCAGACGTGAGAGGGAACCCCTTGACTCAAAGGGCTAGGATCCACAAGCCAAACGTACTTCAGCCATGTTGCCAAGGTTCATAAGCCATACAAACGCCTTACACATGGGGATTTCTCTTGGGTCTTTGGGCTAGGGTCCCTTAGGTACGTGTTTTAAATCTTGCTGGTGCTCAATAGGGAATGACCTTCCGGGTGTTGGGAATGAACCTAGGGATTCCCGTCAAGGAGAACAAGCTTTTCTCGTTCTCGTTGGGTTTTCTTCCTCCTTTTGCCGAACATCTGGAAAAGCTCTGCGTTTTTGACATCATTTTTGCGAAACCGTGGGACAACCCGTGTGTTTTTCTCGGAAAAGCACCGGGGCGCGCTCGCGTGCTTTGCATGCCTCTGGGCGCAGGCCCTGGAGGCTGTGGCCGAGCAGTTCATCAAGAGCCTGGGCGTCACAGCCGGGAACCCGGAGCCTGCTTAAAGGGGCAGGGTACGTCAGGTGAGTGGTTTGCAAGACTGGTTAGTCTCCCACTGAACGGAGACTTATAGCCAAGATAAGTGGCTACAACCAGGCTTACTAACCACTTACTAAGCACCCTGCCCCTTTAAGTGGAGAGGGCAGGAAGGGAGGAAGGGAGACACAGGTGTGAGACCCTGAGCCACACCGAGGTCTGTCCTTTTTTGAGTTGGTGCCCCGCCTTTTGTGGGTTTTAACGGGAAACCAAAAGGAACACCCCTAAACAAGACGCACCCACCTTCACGCCTTTGCGCTGGTCTCCAGCAGATGCAGTCTAAATTCCAGCAGATGCAGTCTAAATTGTAAGGCGGCTTTTTCTCAAAGCGCAGGTAGTTGACAATAAATTAGAGTTGGGGGCACGACGAGCCATCAAATTTGGCTCTACCCCAGAGGAGCAAAGGAGCAAGCGGGTTTCCAAGAACCAGCCAGGAGAACAGGAGTGGGTTTTGGCACCCTGGCAATGTTGCGATGGAGTAGTGAATGGTCAAACCTCTGAGTTCTGAGAATTGATCCATCGAGGTGACGACCCAAAGAGCCCCTTCCCACCGGTGGGATGGGCCCCGCACCTGAAGTATTACACACACGATTTGCTTCTGGCTCTTATGGTCATGACTTCTGTTTGTTTTGAACCCCACAACCCCGTTCCAAGTACTTCGACCCTTCTGAAGGCGTGTGGAGCTTGTAGGAGATCGCTCGCACATTTTCCAACGAATGCTTTTCTACTGCGGATGGACGAAATCCATTTCGCACCACCTAAGAATTCCTGGATGGTTCCCCTATACCAACGAATGGTTTGGCCATGGTTTCCAAGTGGCGCGAATTGGTTTTCGTCCACCCGACTTCCTCAAAGCTAGGAAAGTCAGTAAGGTTTCCACTTCACTTCCCCAGAGAGGCGGATATGGGTTTTGAGTGGGCCTCATGTAGCCCTGTGATGGATCCAGGGTGTGCCTCTATCTCTAGCATCCGGCATCAAACGGTCATAATGGAGCTTATAGAGCCATAGATGGTATGTGGGATATGGTTTCAAGCAACTGAGGGGCCCTCAACCCCAGGTCGGAACACCCAGCACAAGGCAAAATTCCGGAGATCGCCTAGAATCCTGTCGGCTTCTGCTTGCCCCGTCAAAAATAGTTGTTTAAAGGGAAGCCGATGGGAACAGCGCCATATTTCTGAACGCCCCCGCAAGACAGGCCTCCTCATAGACCCCTATACTTCGCCATTGGTGAACATCGTCCATGGTGAGTTGCCCCTTGATATGAGCCAGGGGAAATAGGGAACCCTGTGGGTTCGTGTGCGTATGGACACATACAGTTATTTTCTGTATGTCAAGGGTCCGCCATGATAGCGTCCAAAATGACCTCGCATACGTCGTTTGGTGGGCTTCCCTTATCCGGGGCACTTGACAAACACCGGTTTTGGAGGAGTTTTGGAGTAGCCTGTGTTCTGCAGGTTCTCTCATGACAGCCGCCGCCTTTCAGCTCAAGCTGCGGTAACGGCTTGCGCGCATGCGCGCCCACCACGAGACGAGGGCGAAGTTTTGACACGCACGCATGCCTAAAATGTCTCTGGATTTCGCATCAGAAAGGCCCACAACTCCAAACCTACGGACTTGGAGGAGGTGTTTCTTGCGATATGTTTCAGCATGTTCCAAGCACAAAGTCGGGCGGATATCTACCTCTACGTTTGGTCGGATCCACGCGTGGCCCTTCCGCGTCCGCACGCCGGCTGGCAAGGGGTCAGCCGTCCGCTCAGCCTGGATCGATCCGGTCCAAAGGCATGGCGGCCTTTCTGGCGACCGTGGGCTCCGGCGCGGACCGGGTGATGAGTATGGGCAGCGGGCCCTTGGGCTCGGCGAGCATGCAGGACGGGGGGGGTCTGGTGGGTTTGTGGGGCGGGGTTGTGGGGTTTGGGGGGGAGGGTTGTGGGGTTTGGGGGGGAGGGGGTTGTGGGTTTGTGGGGTGGGGTCTGGTGGGTTTGTGGGGGTTGTGGGGTTGAGGTTTGGGGTGGCTTTGGTGGGAGGTTGGGGTTGGGCCAGCCGGGTCGGAATCCGAGTGAAAGGATACATCCGCGGAGTGGTGGATGGAGCCAAATCCGCTTGGCCCGTGTTTGGTTGACATGGACCGCTTTCCGGATCCGCAGGTTTCTCTCGTTGGGTTTTGTTTCTTACTTTTGTTTGGGGGCAGCTTCAACTTTTGAAAAGGCCCGTGTCAGCGCTCTGAAGTTGCCCCTGGCGATCCACATGTTGGAAGTTTATTTTTTAGGATGGACGCTTGCTTCCGCGACTGAAGTGCGTTCGTGCTTTGATCCGGGCCTTTCTGGTGATTCGGTGCAGACGACTCTCTCGCCAATTTGGGTCGCCAGTCAGAAGATGCAAACGAGGATCCGCCGAATTCGTGTCGCTCCTTTGCTGTAAGCAGCTTATCCTCCGGAAGGTCCAATTGCACATCACTAAGGGAGACCACGGTTTGCTACACCCAAATGCGGAGCTCTTTCGTGGACATGGGTTACTTGGGAGCTTATGTCCACCAGCCATGAGGTTCGTCAGTCCAGTGTTGACACATTAGAGTTTGCGCAAGAGTGTTTTTTAAATGGTAAAACCCCAGAGCCTAGCTGGTTCCAAAACCGCATGCTTGTGTTTGCTTAACACAACACAACCCTTTCGGGGGGATTCTCAGTGCGCCAGCCTTTGGGCGTTGCCGCTTCTGATGCGCGAAAGGTGCCTTGAAGTTTGAAGTTTGGGAGATTTGTTTGGCAGAAACGTTTCTCCAAAATAGGACCGTTTTGGAATGGGTGCGATGATATTTTGATGTCACACAAAGGTCTCAAGCAAAGGGCCGGGATGGGGAAGCCGGGGAGCCCTGTGAGAAACATCTGGGGCATTGCGGTGAAGCGCGAAAGGGTGAGGTTTAGTCTAGGCTTCAGGTAGGATTTAAGGCCAACATATCCTATCTTGCGAGCCCACGACTTGTTTGATGAAGAAGGCTGCTTTCCTTATTTCAGGCAATCAGCTGCAAGGCGAGCCCTTGCAACATAAATATCGCCAATGAGGGACTAATAACCTCCATGAGGGGCTATTGAGAATCAGTCAGCGCCATGGCCGTTTGCATGCCCGACGAGTAAATATCAGGCAGCCGTTCGCTGGTTTGGATTGGTTTGGGGATTTGACGCATGTTTCTGGTGGGTACATGTTCAACGACCCCGCAAACTTGGCCTTTATCCCTGCAAATACCAACAAACAATGGTTTCCCATGGTTTCAAATGGTGCAGGATTTCTTCCATACACAGTAGGGGGCAGTTGCTGGGGTCTGATGAAATCCTCGTCATATCTCGCCATTTTGTGGGGTCCCCGTGTCGAGAGGTTGCGCTCGCTCAAGAAGCTTGTTTAATTTGCAATAGCCGGGCGTTCCATGTAGGCAAACGAGAATGCACCCTCAAAATGACTTGCTTTGCCACCAATCTCCGTGCTTTGTCACCAATTTTCCTTTCTTGGTCCCATCTCTTCTGGTTGGATATTCTCAGCCAAATTCTGCGGTGTCCATGGCAAGTTTTAGCTTGGTGAATTACTCCGCAGAGCAGGAGAAGCTCAAAAAGGGCAGTCTCATTGACATTTCATGGGTTTCATGCCAATCCGCGGAGTTGACCCCGACATGTTTTTGGGACTTTCCATTTTTTTGTGGGGGGGGGGAGTTAAAAGGTTCTTCCAAAAGGAAGCCGGCCATTCCGATGTCTTTGACACAGCCACATGGATGGGGCCGTCCATCAGGAGTCCTTCTGGGAGCTGCACCGAAAGCTGGGGGAGAAGTATGAGCATGACCTGAGGCCCTTCGGCGCAATGTTTGGCTCGACCACACGAAGAGCTGCTAAAGTGACCCGTGTAATACAGGGCTCCTTAAAAGATACATTTTGCCAATTTGAAACATGGCTTTTCCCCCCAAAATAAAGGGAAACCGCCATTTGCAAGGCATCAGGTGTATAATGTAAGGATCCCTGTGTAAGTTGCCGTGCCGTGTTTTTTTTTCGGTGTTCCGTTTTTTTTTTTCCCCCGACGTAGCAGCCATTTCTTTGTGGTTCGTTTCTTCGGACCTTGAAGGATGATTGAACGGGGAAAAAGGAGCCGGGTGAAAGACCAAAGGCCCTAGAGCCCTGGCTCTCCATGGGCGAAAATCTTTGCTTCGACCCCCTTCCAATTGGGCAGGTTCTTGAACCTGTTCTGCGGGGTGGCATCTTCTCTCAAGTGGTAATCTCATACGGCGTGTTGCCTAGAGCGATTATGGTTGTCACGTTTGTTTGGACTGACCCACATGGCGTGTTCCCTCAAGCAATGCAGGCAATCATCAACAACCCCCCAGGGATCCAAGGGGTCAATTGCTTCTTTTTTCTCTCCTGCTGTACGACCTTAACAAGAGGGGGTGGTTGTCCCCAAACCTTACACTAAGCCTTACCATGGGCAAACAACAAATGGCTGTGGGTCAAAAATAGGTACCCACAATTGAACCCTGGTAAGTGGTAACATAGACTAAAACCTGCGGTCCCCTGTTGGTTTAATTTTGACCCATACCCAAATAAAAATGATCTCAACATGCAAGCATGTCAGCGCCCAGCTCTCTAGCAATCGCACTCCGACCAGCCCATAACAACGGCCCAGAATCAGCCCTTGCGCAGTCACGCCTCTTTTTTTCTTCTCCCCGAAAACACATCCCCAAATCAGGGTTCCTTTTCTCTGCACGGGTTGAGGTTGGCCCCACATTAGTCAACCCCTGCTTTTTAATGGGGGGATGGTGCTTCTAAAGTGGTCTGATTCCCCGCCTTTCGCCCTGAGACACCCTCAACACCTGTGAACAACCCGGTTGGTTGATGAATACTGTGGACGGACAAAATCCATTTCGCATGCAGAAACCCTGGTTTCTGATTCGATTCCCCAACGTAAACACCAACCTACGTTGTGGTTTCAGCCACGGTTTCCTTTGGTGCGAGATGGGTGTGGGTCAAAATGAAACCACCAGGAATTGGAGCGCAGGTTTTAGTCCTTGGTTCCATTTACCGTTCGGGTTTCATTTTGGGTACCTATTTTTGACCCACAGCCAGATTTCGCAACCATCCACATGGGCCAAAGCCACGGTTTCGAGGTGCCTGGAGCGCAGAGACTGCGTGGAGCGCAACGACTCGCAGCGCCGCCCGGCAGCTGTCGGCTAGGGACAAACTTACCCCCAAGGATTCTTAGAGCCTTCTTCGAGGTTTGTGGGGGAGAAGGCATTGGTCCTTCTGATGATTTCTTTTCGGGCTTCCAACAAGGACGGGGTTATCTTATGGGCTTCATCGCTTTCTTGTTTGCTGGTATGTGTTTTCCGTGTTTTTTTTTCATGGGGGCTTGCGTTTGAAATCAAAAGGACGGAAAGAGGGCAAGTAGTTTTTCTTCTTCGGTCACGAGCCGCAAGTCTGCATTTATCCCCTCATTTGTGTTCCTGAGACACGTGCTTCGTTTCCTGAGCCTTTGTGGCTTCGGGTGGACTTGGACCCTTGATTTCCACTTGTCTCAACTAAGACCTCGGCCCCTTGAGAATCTTTGTTGCTCCCGTTGGATTACGACCTCAGTGGGAAGAGGTAAAGATCTCATAAAGGTGTCCCGTATGGAGGTAGCAAGAAGGAGCTGATTTTGGTTGCGTGCATTCTTGGGCTCGGTAGCCTTTTTGATTCAAAATGGCAGGACAGCAATCTGTTTGGGGCCCCTAAATTTGAGACCTCCCGATGTGTCAACATAGAGATCTATAAAAGCGACGTGATTTTCCTTCAACCCAAGGGATGCCCTCAGGAAGGCAACAACTCATATCGAGCGGTGTTTTTGGCTTTAATTGGGCAAAGAGGTTGGGCCGTTGGGCCCCCCAGAATGGTTTTCAGAACCCTTGACCAGAATCCCTTCTAAGAAGGTAAGACACTTTCTGGGGGGCTGTGGGGGGAGATCATAGTTTCCACCGGTTTCGTGGTTGCGACAGCCTTTTAGTGTTTGTGATTTTTCTGCGCGGCTTCGTTCTCACACTGGTTTAAAGGGAAACTGCGAGGACCGCCATCTTTTGGGGTCGTCGAGTGTTGGGGTTGATTTGAAGAGAACCCAAAACAGAACCATCTTGGCATGGGTTCCTTTTAAAGGAGCACGGGTTTCCTTTGGTTTGCTTTTAAAGCCTAGCAAAGCGGGGTGCCTTCAAAAAATGCCTTCACAAAGAAAGTGGCAACAGCTTGCGGCTTGTGGGGGGTTCCCGTTTTTGGGCTTTTGTAGTGACTCTTGGCCTTCAGGAAAGCACCGGCGCCGGCCCTCCTCGCAAGAAGACGCAGACCTCGGCGCGCTCGTGCGCAGCCGCCGCAGCGGCCGCAGCGAGCGGGGCCCAAGAAGCGACACGCCAGTGCTGGACGTTGTCGCGGCTCGTTGCGCAAGCAGACGGGCACGTGGGAGGAGGCGCAAGCTTGAATGGCTATGGGTCAAAAAGCTCAGGTGATATCCCCAGCATGCGGTGCTCGACCCATTCCAGCCCTCGCAGAGCCTTGTGGAATGGAACCCTGGTGGAACCCTGGTGGAACCTTACCTCAGGGCCCCCCGGACCACCCCGGAGTTTATCTGGGCTGAGACCCCAAAGCTTTCAGCTGTTGGGGAATTAGACCACCAAAAAAACATACTTTAGTCCTTGGTTCCATTATCCAGGGTTCCATTTTGGGCCTTGTGGGTACCCATTTTTGACTTGCAGCCAAATAAGTGAAATCGGAATATGGCGGTGGCTCAAAAACATGAATTCCAAAATGGCACCTTGGTAAAGGGAACTAAAAACGAAGACCTGCGTAACCCTAGCTGCTTAATTGTGAGCCACACACAAATGAGTAAAATTGGATGTAAATGTTCACACATTTCAGCCGGGCTATATGTTGTTGTTTGGCACGTTGACCTGTTTGTGCTTGTTGTTGAGTTTGTGTGTTGTGTTGTTTTATGTTGAATTCAAGTGGTTGTTTTGTTTGTGTGCTTGTCTTGTTTTGCTTCTTTGCTTTGCTTTGCTTTGCTTTGCTTCTTTTTTACTTGGATTGGCTTTGCTTTGCTTTGCTTTGCTTCTTTTTTACTTGGCTTGGCTTTGCTTGCTTTGCTTTGCTTTGCTTTGCTTTGCTTTGCTTTGCTTTGCTTTGCTTTGCTTTGCTTTGCTTCTTTTTTACTTCTCTTGGCTTTGCTTGCTTGCTTTGTTGGTTGGTTGCTTGGCTTGGCTTGGCCTTGCTTGCTTTGCTTTGCTTTGCTTTGCTTCGCTTTGCTTTGCTTGGCTTGGCTTGGCCTTGCTTGCTTTGCCTTGCTTTGCTTTGCTTTGCTTCGTTTTTACTTCTCTTGGCTTTGCTTGCTTGCTTTGTTGGTTGGTTGCTTGCTTCGCTTTGCTTTGCTTGGCTTGGCTTGGCCTTGCTTGCTTTGCTTTGCTTTGCTTTGCTTGCTTTGCTTGCTTGCTTGCTTGCTTCACCTCCTTCATCTGGCTTTCACATTTTGAGTTTAATCTGGTTGTTTTGGGGTTATGGTGGCTGGAACCCATCCTGGTGGCCAAAGTCACACAGTCAGAGGGCGGCTGAATTTTTCTCTTGGGACACGATGATGGGGTGCCAGGTTAAGAGGAGTCCTTGATCTGCCTGGGGTCATCATTTTAACTGTTCCTGTGGGTTATTATAGGCAGAACTTGGGTTGTTGTTTCTCTTTAACCTACCGCTTGAGGGGCGACTTTGATCATGGTGAAATCATGGGGCCGGTCGCCTGGTTGTGAATTATAGCAGTTTGCCAAGATGGCTGCACAGAATGGGCCAACTGTGCTGGTCTTCGATTGGCGGATTTTGAATTCTTGGGGAAGTGCAGCTGAAGAAGCCCCCGCATGAATGGATTAGCATTGTCAATCGATTGGTGGTCGCCTCGGCGGTCGGGTCAACTTAACGCGAGATTTCTTTTCTGTGGGTGAGTTTTGCTTAGGTTGCACATATCGGGAATCGGAACCATGTCGTAGGCAGCCTTTGAACAACATTGACTCGTGGCTCCCTTGAAGCCGGGGTTTGAAACGATCCATCCCATCGATGGCACCCATCAGCAGCCCCATTTTGGGCTGCTGCAAAAGCCCGTCGGTCCAGACTCGTGAAAAAAAGAGCCTCCCGTCCACTTTAACATGCTTGGGCAAGAGGATGCAGTGAGGCCCTGGAAAGACACCGAGAGTTGATGTTTAGCAAGAGCCGATGGGAAAGGGCGCCGTATCTGGCTGAACGGCAAGGGCGTGGTCAAGAGGCGGAAACGCCACATGAAGCGAAGGTGCGCATCCAAGGGACCCACACTACTATACTCTTGACGGCGAGCCCTGTATAGAGCTCCTTACTACATGGGTGTGTCGTTTTTGGAGGGCACCTATTGGTTGGTTTAAACGGAATCCACGGAAAGCCACCCATTTTGGGGTCTGATTTCCCTTTTGCAAGGATCGGGAATTTCTGGATTGAGTGTGGAGCACGTTTTCGCATCGGTTGCTTTCCTTTATCCTGGGCTCAGTGATTCAGCTAGGATAGCTCACGTAGGAATTTGGGTGGCCAACCTGGTCTCAACTCAGTTGTACGGGTTCCAACCCAACCACATGACAGGTTGATCAAAGGTCCTTGACATGGGATGACCATTCGGGGCACCCACTAGGACCATTTTCCCACCTGGGAACAAGCTACCGGCTTCGATCTCCCTGGTGCCCAAGGATCCACCAAACTCCGCATTGGTGAGTTCCGACCGGAGCTTGGAGGAAGTGCGGCTCGGCATCCGTTTCCATGTCTGTTGACTGACTTCTTGGTTTCATTTTGCTTTCCGATTCTTTTGATTGGTCGTTGCCGGTTTGGCTTCTTTGGCCTCCTTTTGATTGATTTGTGGATTCTTTGGTGTTTCTTTTGGTTTCTTTCTGGTTTCTTCGTTTGGGGTCTCCTTGTATGATACCCATTGTTTTCTGATGGCTTTGTCATCGGTTCCCTTCCGGGTGGGACTGCCAATGTGTGATATCCAGTTCAAGCCGAAAGCTTAAACATGGTGTGTCTTTCCACCAAATGGTCCCCTTTTTGGTAATTTCAGGGTGAACCAAAGGAACCTACCCGGACTACCCTTTGGAGGATTCTCATAGAGACCAACTCAAAAGTGTTTTGGTGCGCCAGTCATGCTGATACGATTCGCCAAGGAAGACCGGAATCCCTCGAAGGGATCCCCTGAGAACAAAGCAAACACCGCTCGGGAGGTTCTGATCGGGGTCCTCGTCCAAAGGATCCCCAAAAAAGAGGTTCCCGTAGCACAGTTCCAAACCGCGTACAGAACTAGGTCAGATAGAGCCAAGTTCACAAAGGGGCGAGAGCCCCCTTTCTCACTTTGCTGAATCAAGCCCCAGTCTATCGAATTGGGCTTCAGCTGCCGGCAGGTGCCCTTGCCGAAACAGTTCCCTTGTTGGACAAACTCCTGGGGCAAGACACACACTTTTCGAAGGGGCAACCGAAAAGAGCCCGAAAAGAGACACGTTGTTTCCAGCTCGGAAAGCCCCGCCTCCCCCCCCCCCCCGCCTTCCTCCCCCCCACCCCTTTTGACCCGAGGCTCGGTGTGGTGGTCCCGGGTTTGGCCCCCGCCGCTCCCACCTCCGGTCGATCAAAAGAGACCCGAACCGCGAGCTTCGTGCAGCTCGGCGCGAAGATTCGGAGAGGGGCCGCTGGTTTGAGGCTCTTGAGGATTGCGCCTCCCCAAGGAAGCAGATTTCAAATTACGGGGGGCCGGGACCGAAACGCCAAAAAAAGGAGGACCCGTGGAGATATCCCGGCTGGTTTTTTCGGGGGCAAATGAGCAGGGGTTATCCAGCTGAATCTAGTGTTGGTATGGGCGGGCGGACGGCACGTTCCGGTGTTTTTCCAAGCACTGGAGCCAGCAAAAACATAGCGGCAAGATTCAAACAAGTTCACGGGTATAAACATGGGTGTGGGTCAAAAATAGGTACCCAAAATTGAACCCTGGCACGTGGTAACATAGACTAAAACCTGCGGTCCCCTGGTGGTTTAATTTGACCCACACCCACGAGCTTGCGGTCAAGCTTCACTCCGACTTTCCTTCTGATGGTTTGCGTGGTGCCAACCCATCTTGTGAGCTAAGAACGGAAGAGGAATCAAACACTGGAACTAGAATTCACACCTTCACGGGGTCAAGAGCACATCCAGAATGCTCAAAACGATAGAACAGTGGGGATTTCCCATGTTCCAACTTGCGAAAGGCGAGAATGTTCCCAGCTTTGAAAGAAAACCGAAGCACCGTGTGGACCACTTCCCACCTCTTCCCGGTTTTCGGCTTCCCTTTGGGTCTCACGTGAAAAGAGAAATCCGGGAAGCGAAAACAAGGTCACGGCGACCTTAGCGACGCGGGCCGCCGTCACCTTTTTCATACGCCGCTTTGGTGTGCCGCCTTCAAGACTTCGGGCACTTCTAGCCAGGCCACTCCAGCATGATATACATATATATATATATGAATTGAAAGCTGTGGTCCACTGCCACTGCCACACATGCGGGTTCAGCAGGCCAGACTTAACAACACGTTTAGTGCTTAGCTGCTTGGCCATGAAATCTTTACACATCCCCCAGCATCTATCCATCAGCTGCGTTCCAGCCATCAGTGGTTGCTTGGCCCGCGCCTGTTTGATGCGGCGACGCGCACGCCACACGACAGGGCAAACAAGTAGATAAGCACTCTCCTTTGCTTGTGTCAAAAGAAAGAGGACCTGCACGCGCCAAGCCTGCACAAACACCGACGCGCGGCAAGAAGCGCGCACCTGCTGCGCGTGGCTTGCGGCAAGCGCGAGCTGCCGCTGGCGGAGAATATAACTCGAAGTCATGCGAGCACTCTTACCCCCCCCCCCCCACCCACCACCCGCCCGCCCGCCCGCCCCACCCCACCCCACCCCACCCCACCCCACCCACCCCACCCCACCCCACCCACCCCACCCCACCCCACCCCACCCCACCCCACCCCACCCCACCCCACCCCACCCCACCTGAAACAGGACAAATCGAAGAATTCTTCCCTTCCGCATCGCGAACGTTGCCGTGAGCAAAAGCGACAAAAACAACCAGGCTTCCAGCTCGTTCATCCTCTTCCCGACTCGTGAGGTCACCAAGAAAAAGCAACAAAAAAGGCGGAACTCCTTGCGAAGACTCCCCGCGCTTTGGGCGGATCTTTCCTCGCGAGGGGCAGCGAAGAAGATGGGCGGAAGGGGAGGACCAGCAGATGCTCCTCGGCCTTCTCGGAGGATACGGTCTTCCTGCCGCGGAAGCAATGGGCGTCAAAGAGCAGGACCTATAAAAACCCGGGCCTGGGCCATGGCGCCATGTGGGCCGTGGGCCGTGTGGGGTGGATATGGTTTGGGTGAAGAAGCACCAGCATGGTTTGGGTTGGGGGTGGATATCGTTTGGAGGTGGTTCCCGGGAAGATTAAAGCCCAGTTGGTATATTCAAAGAAAGAAGCATCGGGTTTGAGTCCTTGCAGGGTGAGGGTAGGGAAGTGGGGTGGGGAGGGTGGCTGGGACGGTGTTGGCTGGAGTCCCATCCTGAAGCAAAGACTCCAAACGAAGAATAAGATGCAAAAAGTAAATGTCCCTTCCTATCGCTTGCGCTCTACCACAAAGACTCCAAACCAATAATAAAGATACAAGAGCCTCTGGGATTTGCCTTCCTCACGGTCTAATTTCGAAGAAATCTCCACATGAGGAAGAAAATATCTTGTGGATCTCCAAGACCCACAAGGCGGACCTGATATTCTATTCGTTGCTTCCAAGTTCTTGAGAGCACCAAAAGAGGAAGCATCTTGTGCTCCATTTTGGGGGTCCTTGACTCGGGCCAGACCTCTGATAGCTCTGTGGGCTTTCTTTCCCGTATGTAGTTTTCTTTCCGGTGACTTGAATCCAAACTGGGTGGGTTGCCCTACCAGCTTTCCCGCCCATCCCGTTCTGGATGGCGGATAACTATGCCTCTCCTATTAACAGGTCCCTCCCAAAGTGGTCTGAACCCTTACTAAAAGGAATTGGACACCCCCCGGTTAAAATCAAAGAAGGGTTTATTCCCATTGGGGAATCCCACTTTTTGTGGTAATGTTGGAGAATCCCCTCTGTGACAATGTTGGGCGAACCCTTCTCCACAAAAAAACATGCCGGCGGCCAAGCGTCGGACAGGTCCTGGCAAGTGAGAAGCCCATCCTTTCTGGTTGCAAGTTCCAACGAGCTGGTGGTAAAACGAGCGAACAAGCCTTTGTTTTAACTTTACTAGGCTTTCCCTTCTTCCGATTAGGGAAGTCTTGGAACTCAAGGTTCTTTCTAGAGTTTTTTTTCACAGCCTGCTGATGGGAAGTGGCGGCTTCGAGGACCAACACGGTGATGCGCCGCAAGAGCCGCGGGTCCTTGACTGGGGACCTGTCTAGTCTCATGCGAGACCAGCACCAGCTGTTGCAACAGCGCCTTGGGCGAGTTTACTTGTCTCGGGGGTGCAGCACTTCTTGGGGTGTAAGCATGGGCTGTTGAGGTTGCCCTCTAGAATGTTCCTTTTTAGGGTGAGGTTTAAAGGAGACACATACGGACCTGTGCGGTATCTTTGAAGATCGGATGCCTTTTTGTCTTGGTTTTCCGCATGGAAACCCAAGGAACACCACGTAGATTTCAGTTTATTTGCACATGTGGGCGCCTTGGGTTGAGGGGGCTGGAACAAAAAACACATCTTTTTTTTACATACATTTTCGGCCACACTCAGCGCCGGTTTGGGTCAAAAGGTGGAAGTTTCTACGGAGTCTCTCCATATCGGCGAGGTTGGTTTAGGGGCCCCGACACCCACGAAGCGCGGGGGCTATGGTTCTTGGCATCTCATGCCGCAGTGGGCGTTTTCTTGCGATCAGAGCGCGAGGTAGGGAATGAGAAATGGAATGAACCCAGGAAAGGAACCATCAGTTGCTCCCCTTAAAGGGACCAGGTATTTGTCCCAGCCAGAAGGGATGAATGAGGCAATGATCCCAGGGTTTCCTTAAAGGAAACCAGCAGTTGGATGGTTTTTCTCGGGGTCCGTTCCATTTCTCAGATGGCCCCAAGATCCCGAGATCTCCCTGGATTGAAAGTTTATCGCTAAGGAGCGAGAAGCTGATAGAGGCGACTTCTCCCTGGACCTTGCGCTGCCGGCCCAGGTACCGGGGGTGGGGTTCGAGCGGTTGCCTACCATTTTTTTGATGGGATGCGCGCGCGGATATTGAGGTCGCTCCTTTTCTGGGGAACTTTCGGTTTGTTCATTTCAGGTTTGGGAGCTTACACTTTGTGGGAATCCACGAGTTGCCCCAAAATGCCCAGGTTTCCCCCATGCTTCCCCTTCTTTTTGAGCCCGCCCAGACCGTCCCGATTTTTCTGGGGGCGGAACGCCCCAGGAAAAGCAACCGCCAGACGGAGGGTCTTGGAACCTCGGGGGTTGCGAGCGGGCAGAGATCAAACCGCAGGGTTTGTGTTCTTTGGGGCATTTTGCCAAGGGATGTTCGGACAGCTTTTTGCCCACTTAGAGGGGTTTTCCGTATTAAGCCACTAAAAGTTAAACTGTTAGCAGGGGAGCAGAAAGCAACCGAGTATTGTAGGCTGACCACTTTCGAACTTGGGCCTAGCGCCGCTGACACATCCAAAGGGAGACGGGTGATGTGGTGCCGCTCGCTCCGTTTTCAGCCCCTGGCTCAGATTGAGCCACTCGACATCCTCCGAACCGATCGACTTGCGAGGAAGAAACTGCGTCCGTTCCGTAGTCGCAGCAATCTGACATCTCATTGGCCCACAACATGTCTTGGCACGTTTTAGTGACATCAAACAAGATAGAAACTCGCGCATTGCTTTTCCGAGCAATCCAGGCCATGGCTCGAGGCTTTTTGGTGGTTGCCTCCTTGGCCTTGGCTCTGGGATCGGCCTGCGAAGGCGACTGCGAGGACCCTGGGGCTCCTTGAAAGATACATGTTGCAACCATTCGAAACATGGCTTTTGGCGCCGAAATAAGGGGAACCCACCATTGACAAGTTGCAAGGTTCAGGTGTTTAATGTGTTGGACCTTCGCAGGAGGAAGCTTTGGTGCAGCTCTCGCGGAAGGCGGCGAAGGCGGCCGTGGCTCCGAAGCTGCCGCCCTACGGCTCGAACCTGGGGGGCTGGCTGTGCCTGGAGGATTGGTTCTTCTCAGGGAGCTCTGGTCGCTACGTCTCCACCACGGATCCAGCAGGCCAGGGCGTTTGCCTCCCTCCCCTGCTGCAGGGCGGAAAGACCACATGGCCATCCGAAGGAGTGCCTCAGTACCAAACGACCTTTTGGCCTTTTGGTTTTCCCTTTCTGATCCATTTTCTCTAAAAGGGTATGGGTCCACAGGAGACCGCCAGGACTTGGACCGCAGGTTTTGCGACATGGTTCCATTTCCCAAGCCATTTTGAGGGTGACCAACTATTTTTGGACGAAAAAACACCGCCAAAAAGCTAGTTGTGAGGTCCAACTAAGGTGGGCAACCCTCGTTTCCGTTTCTTTCGCCGCCTTTTGTTTCCCGGGTCACCACCACATTCCCTCCTAACCCCAAAAAGGAATTGTCCTTACCCTCGAAACAGGGGACTCCTAACCCCGCAAGGGTCTGAATAGAAATTTTGGGTTCAACCACGAAACAGCCCAGACCACGAAGTCACGAAATGGGTATGGGTCAAGATTAAACCACCAGGGGACCGCAGCTTTTAGGCTTTTAGTCTATGTTTCCATTTACCAGGGCTCATTTTGGGTACCTATTTTTGACCCACACCCAAATCATCAGCTGAGGTCTTGGTGGACCGCCTGGCGAAGAGCAGCGGCAAGACCTACGCGGCGCAGGTCTTCGAGGCCCACCGGAACTCCTTCATTCAGCCGGGGGACCTCAAGGCCATGGCGGAGATCGGCCTCAAGGTGCGACCGGGGCAGGGGGGCTCCCCCCCATTCCCCCCCCCCACCTTTTTTGTGGTTTTGCACATGTGTGTCCTACCTCTTTTTTTTTCCGGGGTGTCCTATGTTTGGGGTTTCCTGTTGTTTTTTTGCGGTTTTATACGTGTGTTGGTGGTGATACCTACCTTTTTTGGCGGCGTTACCCCCCCGCCCCCTGTTTTTGGGCGGTTTTACTTCCGGCCTTCCGCTAAAATCTACCACCAAGATGAATTCGCTAAGAAGAAAGCATCGACCGACGCCAGGTGGTGCGGGTGCCAGTGGTCTGGGCCATGTTCGCGGACGCCTTGGCGCCTTTGGCGCCGGACGTCTATGGGGCGCATGATCCGCAGGTGGACAGCGTTGTGGTCCCTGACCCCTTCTACTCGGAGACCCAGCTGCCCAGTGCAATCTTTTTGGTGTGAAGGGTTCCCCCTTAAAAGTCAACCAACCCGGGCTCCACTCAGTACAATTGGGGGGGTGGGGTCTTGAGCAATGCGGCGGAACCAACCCAAAAAGGGATGCCCTTTTTCCCCGCGCGGCCACTGGGCATCTGAGGAGAACATCTCCTTGGTCACTATCCCTCGCCAGCTCCTGGAGAATCTCTTTGCGGAGGGTCATCAGTACGGCCTGAAGTTTTTGTTGGATCTGCACGCAATGCCGGGGGGATCCTCTGATGGCACCTACAACGCTGTTTGGCCCAACAAGCCGGTCTTCTGGCACCAGCAGACCAAGCTTGGCAAGCCCCTGGCCCTGCAGAAGGCGGGCCTCATGATCGTTCAGAAGCTCAGCCGCAATCTGACCTTTTGGTTTTCCTGTTTTGGTCCATATTTAATCAAGGCCCCAAAAGGTCGACCCTTGATTTCCAAGTCCTTTGGGCAAGGAAGGCGGTCGAGTGGATGGAGGGCTTGACCGGGGACGCCAAGGCGGCCCTGGAGGGCATCTCGCCCATGAACGAGCCGGGCCACCTGGCCGGGTTCCAGTCGCCCACCTGGGCGGAGCCACTGGAGATCCTGGAGTGGCTGGGCCAGTCCGTGCAGGTCTTCAAGGCCTCGAAGCTGCCCTCGCAGGGGAAGAAGCTCTACATGCAGGCGCTTGAAACCCAAGCCTTTCGGTTTTTTTTATGCGTCTTGGCCCATATTTTTGCAGTACCAGAGGTGCCTTGAAAGCTCAACCTTGAATGTTTCTTATTTGTTTCCCGTTTTTGTTTTTTGTCGGGCGACTGGGCAGGTCATTGAGACGGCCTTTCCAGACAACAGCTACTGGAGCACCGTGCCGAAGTGGTGGAAGGGCCTCACCACGGATGCCGAGCGCTGGAGCTGGGCGGTCTTCGACATGCATCTTGACTGCGATTGGGTTGGATCTTTAGACTTTAACTTTTTAGGACATACAGGTGTTTTCCACCAAACCCCCAAACAGTTGTCAACTTGTTGCAGGGAGAAAAAAAAGGTGTTTTCCACTACCCCCCCCCCCCCAAAAAAAAAGGAAGAAGTTGTCAACTTCTTGCAGGGGGGTCGTTGCAGCAACCGAGGCATTGGTACACCGCCTGGGGCACCAAGGCTGGCGTGCTGCCCGATGTGGCGGTGCTGTGCAGCGAGTCCATCGACGGCATCCTGAAGGTGCTGAAGCCGGGCTTGAAGGGCTTCTCACCGGCAAGCGTCTTTTTTGTTCTTCTTCTTTTTTTCTTCTTCTTTGTTTTTTCTATTTGTTTCTTCTTTTTTTTTGGCACCTTCTCAACCTTTGAGTTTCCCATGTGGCTGTGGCTCAAAGTATCACCTGCAAGACATTTCCACCTTCTTAACCTTTGAGTTTCCCATGTGGCTGTGGCTCAAAGTATCACCTGCAAGACATTTCCATCTTCTTAACCTTTGAGTTTCCCATGTGGCTGTGGCTCAAAGTATCACCTGCAAGACATTTCCACCTTCTTAACCTTTGAGTTTCCCATGTGGCTGTGGCTCAAAGTATCACCTGCAAGACATTTCCACCTTCTTAACCTTTGAGTTTCCCATGTGGCTGTGGCTCAACGTATCACCTGCAAGACATTTTCACCTTCTTAACCTTTGAGTTTCCGATTTGTAGCTGTGGCTCAAAGTATCACCTGCAAGAAATTTCCATCTTCTTAACCTTTGAGTTTCCGATTTGTGGCTGTGGCTCAAAGTATCACCTGCAAGAAATGTCCACCTTCTTAACCTTTGAGTTTCCACCTGCAAGACATTTCCACCTTCTTAACCTTTGAGTTTCCCATGTGGCTGTGGCTCAAAGTATAACCTTTGAGTTTCCCATGTGGCTGTGGCTCAAAGTATCACCTGCAAGACATTTCCACCTTCTTAACCTTTGAGTTTCCCATGTGGCTGTGGCTCAAAGTATCACCTGCAAGACATTTCCACCTTCTTAACCTGTGAGTTTCCCATGTGGCTGTGGCTCAAAGTATCACATGCAAGACATTTCCACCTTTTTAACCTTTGAGTTTCCCATGTGGCTGTGGCTCAAAGTATCACCTGCAAGACATTTCCACCTTCTTAACCTTTGAGTTTCCCATGTGGCTGTGGCTCAAAGTATCACCTGCAAGACATTTCCACCTTCTTAACCTTTGAGTTTCCCATGTGGCTGTGGCTCAACGTATCACCTGCAAGACATTTCCACCTTCTCAACCTGTGAGTTTCCCATGTGGCTGTGGCTCAAAGTATCACCTGCCAGACATGTCCACCTTCTTAACCTTTGAGATTCCCATGTGGCTGTGGCTCAAAGTATCACCTGCAAGACATTTCCACCTTCTTAACCTTTGAGTTTCCCATGTGGCTGTGGCTCAAAGTATCACCTGCAAGACATTTCCACCTTCTTAACCTTTGAGTTTCCCATGTGGCTGTGGCTCAACGTATCACCTGCAAGACATTTTCACCTTCTTAACCTTTGAGTTTCCGATTTGTAGCTGTGGCTCAAAGTATCACCTGCAAGACATTTCCATCTTCTTAACCTTTGAGTTTGTGATTTGTGGCCGTGGCTCAAAGTATCACCTGCAAGAAATGTCCACCTTCTTAACCTTTGAGTTTCCACCTGCAAGATATTTCCACCTTCTTAACCTTTGAGTTTCCCATGTGGCTGTGGCTCAAAGTATAACCTTTGAGTTTCCCATGTGGCTGTGGCTCAAAGTATCACCTGCAAGACATTTCCACCTTCTTAACCTTTGAGTTTCCCATGTGGCTGTGGCTCAAAGTATCACCTGCAAGACATTTCCACCTTCTTAACCTGTGAGTTTCCCATGTGGCTGTGGCTCAAAGTATCACATGCAAGACATTTCCACCTTTTTAACCTTTGAGTTTCCCATGTGGCTGTGGCTCAAAATATCACCTGCAAGACATTTCCACCTTCTTAATTTTTGAGTTTCCCATGTGGCTGTGGCTCAAAGTATCACCTGCAAGACATTTCCACCTTCTTAACCTTTGAGTTTCCCATGTGGCTGTGGCTCAACGTATCACCTGCAAGACATTTTCACCTTCTTAACCTTTGAGTTTCCGATTTGTAGCTGTGGCTCAAAGTATCACCTGCAAGAAATTTCCATCTTCTTAACCTTTGAGTTTCCGATTTGTGGCTGTGGCTCAAAGTATCACCTGCAAGAAATGTCCACCTTCTTAACCTTTGAGTTTCCCATGTGGCTGTGGCTCAAAGCATCACCTGCAAGAAATTTCCACCTTCTTAACCTTTGAGTCTCCGATTTGTGGCTGTGGCTCAATTTTTCAGGAGCTGGGGCAAACCGCAGGTTAGTGGTCTTTGGTTCCATTTACCAAGGGGGCCGGCCATTTTGGTCTCCGTTTGTTTGAGCCACAGCCGTGTGTGGTCCATTTTGGTCCAGGGCCCAACAGGTTGACCACTCTACGGGTTGATTCCCCATTCTTTTCAACCATCGTTCTTTTCAAAAGCCAGCTGTTTCCCCTGGGGTTCTGATGGTTTTCCGGAAAGAAGGACCCCTGGAGTGTCCCCTAGAACGGAAGCCCAAACTCAAACCGAGTGTTTTTTTTTCCGTAGCACCCCCAAGATTGGTGGTTTCCCTTTGGCTTCCCTCAACCAACAGGGGGCCCCCAAGTGTAGATATGAGCCGAACCACGGGCTTTTTCTCTCGCGCCCTTTCCGAGGCTTTGCGGAGCAGTTCGCCGAGAACATCCCCGGCCAGAAGTCCTGCACCGAGTTCTCGGCGAGCACCAACGCGGATGCGTTGCTGGCGTGCCAGGACGTGGATATCACCAAGGCCTTCATGTTGGCGCAGGCGCGGTGTTGTCAAACAAGTAGTTGGTACCCTCCAAAATGGGTTGCCCAATCGGCAAACCGGGCAAAAAAGGTCCTGCGGTCCAATTCCTGGTTTGATTTTGAATTACAGGGGGAAATGGACCACACAAAAATAGCTCCGGCGGTCCGATTCTCCTTTGTGACGAGGTGGAGGCTATGGAGTCCAAGGGCATCAAGCCCTTCTTCTGGAGCTTGAAGATGCCCTATGGCCGGGTCTTCGAGACGGAGTGGAGCCTCAAGAAGATCTACGGCTACGAGGCCGAGCCCGTCTTCGAGTGCGCCTTGGGGGCCGGCATGAAGGGCGCCGACGGCGCGGTGCCGTGCTTCGCGGGCGACTGCGGCTGATCCGATCCGATGTGATCAGATCACGGTTTCAAGAGCCTGCGGCGCGCGGAAGAGTTTTCCCAAAAGGTGAGCCGGCTCTGGGAATTCCACGTACGAAACACGATCCCATGTGAGCCACTTGCGATCCCAAAACCAGGTAGATGAAGGTTAAGGGAGAACTCCAACGACAAATGGGTGCCATCGCTGCCGTTTCAATTCTTGAAGCATGGTTTTGGTGTCGACCATTTCAATAGCGCACAGTTTTGATTATGACTCACATCCATTCTGTTCCGTACTAATTAGCTTGCATGCAACACGCGCAGACAGCCATAAGGGGTGGTCTCCCCCCTGTATGGCACAGCAAACGTCGAAGCGCGGCAGGTTTGTGGCTCTCAACCCCACCGGGAACTTCAGGCCGGCGAAGCTTCGAGCGACCCGAGGGTCTTGCAAGTCAGGAATGGGTCTGTCTTTTTAACATAGGTGAACCCTCAGACATGTACAACCATCCCAAAACAGGAATATGGCCATGGGTCAGAAC